AGTACGATTTTATTATTGCACAAAAATAGAGTAGACAGATTCATATATATATATAGGGACGATTTTTGTTATATCTATATAATCTAAGTTTCGAATACATGTCTTAACAATAGCAATATGCAATTAAATAAGTCCACTTAGCTGTCATTTTACATTATTGGATATTAAAACTAGTTTTTTTCTCGTATTCCATAATACTAGATTTGTCTTAGTTAATAAAAACGTAGATGAGTACAAAGTAAAGGATATTTTAACTATTAGTTGCGTACGTACACAATATTCAATTAGGGGCGGCAACTATAGCGCCGGATGCTCAGAACACTGGGCAATTTGTCCGACGGCGGATGCCGCACATCTCTAACAATCTCCCGGACCCCGCAGCTATCCAACACGTAACACGTAGGTACCTACTCATTATTTAAACATCCTACTATATATAGTTGTCTCATGTAAACAGTTAAAAGTTTAAAGATACATTAAAAGTTTAAATAGAAAACTCTAATAGAATGCTCATGGAATGACAACTGTCATCATTTTATTTACAAAGTAAAATAAAGGCTCGCTGATATATTTCTATTGATGTAAAATAAATGTCGACACGCAGATCGTAGGCAACTGCGCGCAGTTACACCCACAGTTCCGCTCAGAATTTATGTCGAAACCAGCATTCGTTGCAGAGAACATTCGCAGCAAATAACCTAGGCGTTAAAACAACTAGCACAAACAACTAGCGCACTTAACAAACAGACGTATCCGTATCAGATATAGCGTATCGAGACAGCAGGACATTACTTTTGCTATATCGATAAAGCTCAACGGTAAGTGAAATAGTTTTCCAGCACTGCAAACATAAATAATTGTCATAAAATAGATAGGGGTTGATGGATGAGTGCCACACCAGGCCCTAGGTTCAACGGTATCTCGATTAGAAGAGGCATCAATTTTCAGTGCAGTGCACTAAATGACATTCAGTCTGCACACATTATTTAACTATTGAACAATACGATAGTATCATCCTTATCTTATAGTAATTCCATTTATACCGCCGCTCATGAAAACTTATGTTTTTTGTATAGACTAGTGGCTATAGTCAGAACATGTAACCACAAAAACGCATTTTTTGATTCGTAGAACTATGTTCATCTACGTTATTTTATATTTCTTGTTCATTTGAAAATCAAGACGTACAGAAATATAATTATTATAATATCACTGGAGAATTAATACATCATCTAGCTCTAAACTAAACAAAGCTTGTGTTATAAATGTACTGATAAATGTATATTGTTTTATAAATACATGTATAGTATACATAGTAAAAATCCAGATTAATACAAACAATGATATTCGAAGCCGCAACTATTAAAGCGTTAGACTAATGAGATTGTCAAATATACTTAGTTACAATTGGAACTGTGTACATATAAACAAATTGTGTATACCTATATACATTATAAATTATTCCGTAACTAATAGTCACGCACTATTATATAAAGATTCACAAGAGCGTAACAGTAACGCATACAGATAAAATCTCAAGTAATTGTTTTGTTGATACGTTAACGACGTCATTAACTTACAATTTATGGGTAACAATAAGGCAGGTGTGTAGCGCCAAGCGAGAGCTTTCTGACAACCTCACAGCCACAGCATCAATGAGAAATAGACTTCAATATAGGAATAAAGTATGTACATGGTCTGGGACTATTATTAATTGGACTATTTGTCTCAAAATCGTATTTACAACTGCCATTGAAAAATATGTAAACTGAGTGCATTATATATGCATTTAAGTATATAATTGCTTTATAATAAAATTTGACTGCTTTAATATTGATGAGTAGAAATTACGAGAACAATTTTATTCTTGGTGTATTAAAATGTACTTGTGATAAATTGACTATCAAAAATGTAATTGAAAAATATATTATGTCGTAATTGAGATTTTGTTATTATCTACTGTTTATCTGCCGTGTACTAGGCAGCCATAAAACTAACGTTACATAAAAATGAATAATTATTTTAAGAAATTCCATTATTAGTTTATAACAAATAACTTATGGGTGATGTTATATAATGTTATCGGTGTCTATGTGCAGATTAACGATATCGGGCTGTCATATGTGGCCCAAGATACAGATCATCTGATTGCGTAGTTATACGTGAAATATATGCAATTGCTTATTTATTCAAATAGAGTGACGAAATTAATGTGGAGTGGCTGTCAGAATGTAATCGGCGAACGACACATAGCACAACACAAAGTGCCCGTAGCGTGTGTGTGACACACCAACACACGCCGCGAGAGAAAGCGTGCTTAATCAGATAACTCAGATTGTCAACCGAGCTCCTGAAATCGGGTCGAATGTCGATACACTCGATTAATTAATTGACGGTCCGAAAACTTTAAGGTAACTGGTTCAAAAAGCCAAAACCGTAGACTGGTACTTGGTACTGTTTTGATTTAAAAATTGTACATATAAATATGTATACCACGCTCGTTTTGTATTTATATAGATTTACAAAGGTATGTCTTTGTAAATATATATAAAGAATATTTAATCAATTAAGTCAAAATTCAATATTTTTTTCGGAAATAATCGTCAGCAAGATTAAATGATTACAATTGTTATGCATGTGGCTTTCCGTTTATTTCAATCCTTTCTGACACGTCAGCCTAATTAAAATATTAGCTATGGCAAGTGGCACTCCTGCTTGACTGATGGGACTTTAGTTTGAGGATATCGCTAGGGGTTCGAACCTCGGAAGGTTTGAGTGTTAAGTTATGCCTTTAGATATTCTTTCATTAACAGACATCAAAGTTTTCGACTTTAATTCAAATAGAATTAACGTAGGTAGTGTAGATATATTAGTAATAAAATTTGTATATTTAGTACTTAATTAGGTACATAAATATATCTGAAACTAGTAACTAGCAAATTAAATTATTTTAACTATGTATAGTTAAAATTAAGATTATGAATTGCACAATTATTGAAAACATTTAATATTGTTAGTTACAACAATGTATCTTGGCTTTGTTATAATACTTTATAATAGCCGTTTCATTGTTTAGTTCAATTGTAACTTCAAAATAGACACTAAATTGCCTAAACTATTAACTATAAACGAGACAATAAATTAGACAGCAAGTGTTTATGAATCATTAACGCTAATACAATAAATAAAAGTAAAGTAGGTAAGCAGGAAAGAGTAAATGTCAATTGATAATTTCGAAATTTAAGAAGTAGGTAGACATAGTCATTATAGCAAGTAACCAAACTAAAATTATTCTATAAAGTTTCGAACAAATATATATACATAGTTTGAAATTGTATATAACATGTCTTTTTATATATTTAAAATTGCCAATGACTTAATTTGACTTAAAAATATTAAATAAAAAATAACCTAAATAATCAATTTCAAAATTAACATATTTACTTGAATTGAACATATTGTTTTTACATTTACGTGAATAAAAATATGTAGATCATCATAAAATAAAAGCATCAACATCAATATGCTGACTGAGTAGATAATTTACGGAACCTAAATAGCAACTGTCTGTATAAAATAACTTCGATAGTGATATTAATTTGGGTTTACAGTTATGCATGTATTAAATATTCAAAAGATGCCTACGATCTATAGAATTCTAATAAAGCAGTAAATGTTTGTGTTTATTTACTATATAATCTATGAGTCGTTTAGGTAGAGCCAGAGTGCACCGTTACAATTTTATACATGGTTTTATCTATTAGTATGCGCGATTCCGTTGAGTTTACACGTCGTCCGATCTCCGGAGAAAGCTGGTGTCCCGCTTATTGAAATGCTGATCTATTCATCGACACAAATTACAAGTAAATACATCGATTCACAATAAAATTATTTTTTTACTATTTCGCTACGAGTCCATGCTGTACTTTTTTAACGACAATTCGAACGAATAAGTATTCATGTTAGCTAGCTTATCGTATATGTTTACATATTCATGACTGTAAGGTACCTGTGTACATAGATTATTAAATTTAAGTTGGAAACCAAAATGATAAACTGCTGTACATTTGGGTGGGCAAATACTGCGTTGCATGCAGCCGGGCTGATATTCATCCTTGTGGCAGCGACCGGAGCGCGCCTTCGCGCGTCGCGCCGATCCATCAATCCAAGGCGACGATCGGCAGTGCTTTCTCGTCGTTAGCCCTATAAGGCCAGCTTGCCACCACGCCTCGCGCAAGCCACTTCTTTTTCACTTCATTTTCTAACTCGCCGATAGAAATCGGTGTAACAACATATTTCACTTCTTTTAACCAAACGGAAATTTATGAAAGGTTTTACGGAGCTTTTTAAAAAACTATTTAAATACCTACGTATGAAATTAAGATGCCCGCTGTAACGACGTAATCGCTCTCGTTTAGTGTAATAGCTGAGAATGCGCACTGGTAATCGCGTTTTGCGTATTCGCGAAATGCTTACGGCGTAGCTGGTAGGCACTTTCGCCATTAATAGTTGGCAATAAATAATGTAGCGGCATAGTTACTGTATCTTTACCGATCATTCAAATTTTTTTCATTATACCTTTATAATATGTAACTTAACCAATTAAAATCTGTTTATTCATATACATATGTACGTTCAATGTTGTTCGATATTATTAAGGTCGCCTTTTGTACAAATTTTATGACATTTGTTCATAACAAATACATTAATATAAATTTACCTCCAAAAACAATCCACTGCATTGTATAGGATCTCCACCTTAAAAATAGAAAACCTTTATTACGCTGAGTAAACATTGAAAAATGTTTACTCAGCGTTATAAATTTATTGATTTTTATTTTTCTAAATTAGAGATTTTCCAAAATTAATGCAAATTAATAATTTTTTGTTGCCGTAAAATATATTTACTAAATTCTGGGTATGACTTTCATCTGTAAAGAATTAAGATAAAATTTACTGTAAAAATGCTAAATATTAAATTCAAAACATTTTTGTTTCAGAGTGTGGTAATGCTGATGTTCCGAGAAGAAAAATCGCCCGAGGACGAAATCAAAGCATGGCAGTTTTGGCATGGCAGACAACACTCAGTTAAACAAAGAATACTAGATGCTGGTGAGTAGAATCTGTAAATAAAATCATTAATAAGTATTTTATTGTTAGCGTCGCGTGATTTTGTGATTATTACATATTCAATGAATATAATGAGTCGTAGCTTTTTGTATGAATGTTGCGAACAGACAGTAGCGCTTGCAAGCGTTTGAGACATGATATTTACTGCACAAAAACGTAGTCGTGCTCGAGGCGACACAGTAACATGCCAGTAAAGTTGCGTGTAGAGGTGGCGGCGCAGTGCGCGGCGGTAGCAAGGGCGCGCGGCGGCGCCCGCTGGCACGCAGGACCTAATTACCGTGCTGCGAGGCAGAAAGCCACAGAGACGCACCCGCTCACCCCGCTACCCACCATTATATCTCGTTAGGACATTTGCATAAATAACGCGCACGACGTCCGCGGCCCACACCGACCGCTGTACCTATCAATCGCCCCGGCTAAATATAAACACCCGCTGAGCTACCACCTAGTCTCACCGCGCCACTTGTATCTAAATACCTTTACTGCAAGCCTCATATTACACGTACTCATAATGACATATGTAGACATTAAACAGATTGAAGATACACAGCTGAGGGCATCGTTTCCGAGAGACGAGCTTAAATAAAACGATTACTTAGTTTATCTGACACTGTGAGCTCTATGAACTCGGCGACGGAATAACAGGAAATCGTTAAAATTCGTGAGAAATCTTTTATAATACCTACTTGCTTACGGCCGATGTCTATGTAGTAGATAACAAAATAAAAACGATGTAAACTAATTTTAGTACACGGGAGTATGTATGAAGGTAAAGTATATGTCAGCTTGTCTAAAATTCTGAGAGGAGATATAAGCAATCATACAATATAGTCTCGTACGGACATAATTACTGTGATGATATCGGGGAGCGAGCTCATTACCATGTTAATTGCGCGATGAGCCTCGACATGCGCCCGCGCAATGCACCATACATTTTTACTACGAACCCAACAAAATAATTGCTTTTAATAATTGTATAAAATAGATTCTTGTAAATTAATGGTCCCTCTGATTTATTTATTAAATAATTATTTATCAATCATAAATTATCAAAGTAACTAAATTAAAATCAGGGCCAGGCGTATTAAAACATTTCATCCATCATTTTGTTGAAGTCTGGTAATAGTCATAAAATTCTGCTGGTTGGGTGTTCTTATAGCACATTTATCTCCTTATAATAACTATCATTGACATAAATAATAATAAAGTCGAAATAAATGTAAAGTAGTTTTTTGATTTAGTAACATTTAAATATGAGGATCGCATGAAGACTTCCACAAAATAGGTACCCACTTGCGTCATCGATGGAATGCTTGCTTATTAATTGCTTGGTCCGATGTAAACAGCGCTGATATATGACACTTTACACGTTCTAACATTACTTAACTGAGGCCCGTAGTATTTGTAATGAGTGACGCCGCAGCCACAAACAGTGTCTATAAATTAAATCTCAAGGAAAATAAAAACATGGAAGCCATTAATTCGCGCGGCCGGGCCAAGTTTAATGTCAAGGTTTTTTAGCTTATCTCGATGTTAGTTAAGTTTATTTCTTATTATGTTGGAGGTATTATTCAAAATTAAGTAATATCTAAACACATTATAATTTTTGTCTCATAAGTAACAATTCTAAATATAATTTGTGTTATTAAAATGTTGAATAATATCATATGTAGTACATACATTTTCCGTCATATAAATATATAAAGGGATAGTTTAATTTATAATCTTTAATCGCGTGATAAAGTTGATGGATTTTAGGTTCACTAAAAAGATAGGTGGTATGGTAATGCGCCATAAATGTATGGGACAAACTTGGAAGCAGCGTCAAGGGCGATATCGGACACCTGTATGCCGGACTGCAGGCGTGTGAAAGCATAGCGGGACGAGGGGGGAGGTCGTTCAGGAGAGGACACCAGGGGGCGGTAGAGAGGGGACGAGGGTCGCAACGCACTGCGCGCAAGCACAATGCCTTCTCCGATTACCTACATGTCTTCTTGTATCGCGTGTCTACCACTCGACGCACCAAGCCAATCCTTCTTTGCTCACGTGTTCATTCTATCGTACAATTTTCATACTATATCAGTTTTGATTTAACTGTAGAATAGACGTGTGACAATAAATTAGGTGTGTCATAATATATCTAAATAGATATAATATTTTTGTGTCTTAAAAGTATTATTTTTACGTAGAGTATGGTTTTTAACAATCGTGTTAGGTTATATTTATAACAATATCCTTAGGTGTTATTAGTAGTAACTGTATAATTATAAAATTGCCATTATACTTAGCGGATTGTAGAAAATGTTATTGGTAATAAAACAATTAAATATAAATTATTTTATTTTTCCTATAGACGATGCTACGATACCAACCACTGCGTTCTCTGTCAAAACAAACCATTTAAGTAACACAGAACTCAAAAAATTATACGTATCTATACATCCATGTCATGAAATAATACTGTCATTTTAGAATAAGATCTTATTAAACATAGAAATCTAAGAATGCCCTAAAAGAGACTACCTTCTAATTTGTTAGACCTTCAAAAATGTATTATTATTGAGTAAATTGGTGTAAATACAAGCATGAATTATATGCCCAATGTGTAGTCAAGTTTCCATTACACCCCAGGGCTTTGCCCGCGTCAATTAAGTAATTTATGTATATGCAAACATATTAACAAATTTTCACATTTATATTATGTAACAATAATAATATTATTCGATTTTCTTGAGGATAAATAACTGTCCTATCTTCCGATGAACTTAGATTCGATTCCTGCATTATACAAAGAATTTTTATATTAATAATACTATCAAACTTTGGACGGGTCGTTTTCTGATCTAGTCAAACACGTGACATTGTTTACAATTTATATACACATGTTATTTCAATACAGTTTCTAAAAACCTTTGAGTAAGTTTTCATTGTAGATTATATTTTTCTATTAGCATTGCGAGTTTACAGTTTGTATTAGTTGCGAGTATGTTAATAAGAGTGAGAATACGATGAAATTTATTATCATAAATTGGCTAGAGTAAGTTAAAACAATAACCATGTGGAGGCCGGGCGGGATGCACGTCCTCGTAAACACGTCAACGCGACGGGTTATGTGCGACCACGCGACTGCGCCCGCAGGCCGCACACATCGCGGACACACCGCTAATGTTGTTTGCCACCGCCTACGCATAGGTATCAACTTTAAAATTATATTTTCACGACGTAAATCCTAGAGTAGACAGTCACAACTGTGATGCATACAACACTTGACATGGCAGTATACTATCCTTAAATTAATACGGTTTATAATATTTCCATCATCACAGGGTTAGTCAGCAATATAATTTGACATACCTACAAAGATTTTAGTGACAGACAAATTAATATTCTCATTTTTTTTTGTATATTTATTTATTTATTTGAAACCAACAGCATACACAATACATAAAAACAGAAAGTACAAAACAATAGTATAGCTAATAATAGGTTTCACAATATCAGTAAAAAAATTTAACAAAGTGACGGACTTCACACAAAAGATAACAGGAATACATTCCGATGCTTCAGAAATGACCTAGGCCGCGTAATATGGGAGTTCATAATTCGCAGCACACGTCAGACTAGTCAGGACCGAAAGTAATTGTTATGTGTCTCTGCTACCATTACATACATTACTCTATATGATTATAATTTTACATGTTACATTTAAACGTAAAATAAGTATATTTTATACAAACTTAAACAATATATTTCAATACCCAACAAAAATAACACAAAAACAAAATTGCACTACAGTCAGAATTATCATACTATAAATCCAATTACTATGATGTCTATTCCTCAGCCATTTGTGTTATCTATTTATGATATAATAGGTAATTATTACTGATATAAGAGATCAGTTTAAGATGTGCTCGTAAACTTGCGATTTAAAATTGCATTTTGAACCGAAAAAAAGATCTACATTTTCAAAATTTTTATTGTAATTGCGTAGAATACGCACTATAGGCGCATTACTAGCATAATTGGTGGACCTTGATGGTACATGCATAAGCGGTGTATGACGTGTTCGCTTGGGAGGTGTACAGTATGCAACTCGCGCTACCAATTCAGGGCAATCTAAGTTACCGCGTACTATATCAAATAATAGGCACATTTCTGCTACAGCACGTCTTTCTTCAAGAGTAGGAATACGAAACTCCCGACAACACTCAAGATAGGAGTTAACAGGACGTCTAAAACGGTAGGCAAGATGATCAACAAATTTTTTCTGTATACGTTCAAGACGTTCCATATAAATTTCATATTGTGGTGACCATACCGGGCACGCATAATCCAAAATACTGCGAACATATGTATAGTACAGGTTTTTTAGCGTAGCTATATCGTGAAAAGGCGTAGTTACCCGCAGTACGAATCCCAAGAATTTAAAAGCCTTCGATGTTATTATATCAATATGTTGATCGAGGATCATTTTATAATCGAAATGTACACCAAGATCACGTACCTTATCTTTCCGTTCTATTGACAATGAATTAATACTGTAATTGTGTATTATAGGATTAATTTTCCTACTAAAACTGATACATTCGCATTTCTTGACATTTATTGTGATGTTATTTTTCTTATAGTAATTATTAAGAGAATTCAGGTCACTTTGAAGTTTTAAACAGTCATTGATGTCACGTATTCTGAAAAATAATATAATATATAAGCAGACTATCAATATTAAATTATTAATATAGGTAACTACCTATATTAATAATTTAATATTGATATTGTTAATTTTTTATTTTGTAATATCTGGTTTATAAACATTTAATTTTAATTGAATCCAACGTTATTAAATAGTCTGCTTATATATTATACAAAGAAAAAAATGAAAAAAAAAAATTAAATAAAACCTATTATTTTTAATACAATAGTTGCTATTAAAATGTAGGTATGATCCATAACTTTGATAACTAAACAGTATTATTTGATAATTATAATTGTCTTGGCTCTATCATATGTAATAATTTGATATTTTAATTTACACCTATATCAGGAAATATGTGTATGCGATTAGCAATTCATGTCAATTACTCACTAGCCTCCCGCGCCTGCGCTTGTCCGCTAATGTTGCCCTTATGTTCTAAATGCAATAAACAACTATAACAAAATAACACTGAATTATTTATAACCGAGGGAATTACGCCTACCAGCCGTCTCTGAGTTACCTTATATTGAGTAGCATTACAGTTATAGGTATCTATTAACAGATTTATTAACATAACTTGCAGATATCAGTTTATTTTGTTGGAATGAGAACCTTGTAGGTTAAATGATATGAACTTACATTTGGAATTTATTTAGCCTTTTACTTTTAGTACAAATTCACATACTATGCAGTGTTAGAATTTTATTAATAAAAATAAGAAACTTTAAATAGACGATTTATAATAGACCATTTTACTTTTCCGCCTTGTACTACTTCTGTATTAAGCAGTTTTGACACAAAACCACGCTTTACTTTTATTTATACAATATTACGCAATTTTTATTTATTTTGGTGTTATAGGAATTTAATTGGATACAATAACTATCAGAGACCTATCTATTTGATATTTATGTGTCTTATCCTTTAGAGTTGCTGCTTCAGCGTTTACTATCTTGCTTTTCGTATTAGAACTCTAATATAGTAATCTAAAGAATCTTGTCAATTAAGTATCCTTAATTTGTTCTGCGATTGGTTCTAAATGGATATGTACTAATTACCATAAACCTCAATCTAGAAAGGACAAAAGTGGAAACATTGCAATTGCTGATAAATCGATCCTACCATGTGATTATTCACGCCCCGCAAATAAATTTCCGTCGCCGATGACGTATTGTGCGTTGATATCTTAATCGAAATCTCCGCCGCCATTACTGCACAGTTACTCAAAGACAAGATTAATGACAGTTTGTTGTTTTGTTGCAGATACAAAGAATAGTATCGGGCTGGCCGGCTGCATCGAGGAGGTAGCGCACAATGCCATCGCTGTTTATTGGAATCCACTCGAAAGCGCCGCTAAGGTAATTGTTACTTCATCTACTATATACTTAGTACTGTATAATTGGACATTTTTATTCTGTTTTGTCAATTGAATTTCTCTTCGCTCTAGTCTTTTTATGAAATTCGTATTCTTTTTCTGTATGTTTGTGTGTTGTTAGGATCATTAATATGATTAATGCAAATAATCGAAATACTATACTTTTTTTGTAGGCTTCACGCAATATAATGACTATTGCGACGATCCGTGTGTTTTATTCTCATTATTCTCTTAAATACAGATTAGTGTAGAAATTAAATTTTGAAATGTTGAATATAATTACAACTAAATCGTAATTAATTAAATTATGTAAACAATCTAATACTTATCTATTCGATCGATTATGTTAGCTAAATGAGACACAAAGTGCCAGGCGCTGGCAGATAACTTATGTTAGGGCTGCTGCAGCAGGATCATTGAAAATTAATTAAAATATGGAATAATAGAAAGGACTGACTTTTTATAGAATTACCTGTAGGTTACCTACCTACCGTTTCTTATGACTACGATATTCAATCATCTGTGTTATTTACATATATTGTACTAATATGTGTATATAAGACAATGCAACCTGTTCAATATTCATTATCTATTTATCTGTGTTCGTCACATTATTGATAGATATTTAGGAAATTTAGTTACCTACATTGACGAGCAAAAAATACACAATTTCATAAATGAAACTTGTATTAACAAAGAAGGCGACTAGGTATATTAAAAACCATTAATCGTTAATGGCTAAAAGTGATTTGATCAACAAATTTAAATATGTCGTTGGCATATTATTGTAAGGTAGTTATCGATATCTGTAATTATTTATTGTTGGACAGCGAAACCGTAGCGGATGCGAGTCGTTTGCGACAGATAATATGCATATGGACAGTGATCGGTGGCAGTGTCGGCGGCGAGTAAAAACGCAAGGGGGTCATTTACATAGACCGCGGTAATGAGTGGTCGCCCAGCTAAGACGCGCACCGCCATGCTGTCGCCGCCTTACACATGCTAAAACACCATACGTGATTAACGTACATTCCCTGAGGCAAATCGAAAACCACCCTTTCAAATAAGGCTCTTTAAATAGTCTTCGAGAAACGGCTACTACATGGGACTATATCGTATTTATAAAACTAACTACACAGTACTATATAATAGATAGATAGATAACGATAAATTATTTATTTGTATCTTCAGTACCTTAACAAAATTAATAATGAACATGTGGTCAGTGCCATATATAGTATCTTATCTTATACAATGTATATTAAAGATTTTGTGTGCTGCACTAGTGCAAATAGGCCATCGATTACTATGTTTTAGTCCAGGAAGTAAACACTGATTTTTAGCTTCGAATTATATTCGAACTAGAAATCAGTGTTTACTAAATTTGTTTTTCTCTCAAGAACATTGCATAATACTATGTTTAAAGAGTTCTGACTATTTAATTTAATCGAGTGTATAAATAAGTATTAACGCACTCCAACTAAACAATAATAATATCGTAAGGGCTAGTTGTCTCTGCAGAAAGTAGAAAATACTTATGTATATTTTATCTAACTCTGTTGAATAAATGCGATAAAGATTGGAGCTTTTCTTAAATAGTTAGTTAAATATTGAATAGTTAAGTTACATACTGTATTATATCAGAGCAAAACTAGCTTCTTATGAGTACAAAAAAATTATAAAATCTGTGAAAACATTACCTAAAATTAATATGGATATGGATATTGATATTCGTTAATTACTAAATACACTCAATTAATAATAACTAAAGCAATTCAAACTGGGTATAAATTCCTGACAGTCCTGGCGCTTATCCTGGTAATCAGGATGTGCGTACTCTATAAAATGCCTGTGAATATTAATGAGCAATAATTTTGTAATTTCCATAGCCAGTTTTATAAATTGTCTTCGTCGAAGTACGAGAAAACATGTCAATGTCAATATTAATAATAAGTATTTTTTTTGCAGATCAACATTGCTGTGCAGTGTTTAAGTACAGACTTCAGCAGTCAAAAGGGAGTGAAGGTTGGTACTGATTCATTTTGTTTTTATTTTTTATACTTTACATGTTGCACAGAGAAAAATTTACAAAGTTAGGCTTTTATGATCCTATATGTATTTCTTAATATCTAATGGCTGAATATAGTAACCCTTCAAAAGAGATTTCTACAAGTTATAAACAATTCTAGTCAATTCGCGATAAATGAAGAGGCATGCAGCTTTTCAGTCATTATCAAAACAGTACATGTGTATGAGGGTCATGAAATCTAACCCCCGAATCAACGACTCGATGATAAAATAATGAATAAATAGGTATATATAATCGCAGCGTCATTTAATCCAAAACTAAGCAGTGCTTATACTCTGGGCACTGTAGAATTAACATATAGTTAACAACATTTTTCATAAATACGTGATATATTAAATACAATTAATATGTTGCTTTCATGTAATGTAATAAAAACTCACGTTGAAACGTTACTATATGCATTTGCAAGAACTAACTATGAACCTCAAAACATATTAACGGCTAACAAATATCGTTATGGTAAATACAGGTATTTTATAAATGTGAAACATTTATTGTAATGGTCAGGAATAATGATTAATATGTATTAAAATATGTGAGCAATTGAAGAGCAAAAGGTACATAGATTTATAATAATAATCATCTTGAGCAAATCACACAACTTTGTTATAGGTAGTACCTATAACAAAGTTGTGTGATTTGCTGACAGCTGATAGAAATGCTTAGGAACATAAATTTTCTTTTGTAAATACATAGATGTAGAATTATGATTACATTTAAATTAATTTTGATTATAGATGGATAGTCTTAATTAAGTTTACCGCAAAGTATTATGAACGTCTGATACGACATGTAAACGTCAAAGTATGAGGTCGGTAACCGTGTTGTCGCAGAGACGCGTCGATAACCACCGCACAGCGCAATACATGGGTGACTGATGCATAAATGTATGTTTTTTTTGTTAATATTAAACCTTTTTTGTCTTTTCTGAAATTGTTCAATTAAAAACAATGCAGACAAATAAGAAAGAAATATTTTATAAATGTATTACAGTGAAACATTTATTGTAATGGTCAGGAATAATGATTAATATGTATTAAAATATGTGAGCAATTGAAGAGCAAAAGGTACATAGATTTATAATAATAATCATCTTGAGCAAATCACACAACTTTGTTATAGGTAGTACCTATAACAAAGTTGTGTGATTTGCTGACAGCTGATAGAAATGCTTAGGAACATAAATTTTCTTTTGTAAATACATAGATGTAGAATTATGATTACATTTAAATTAATTTTGATTATAGATGGATAGTCTTAATTAAGTTTACCGCAAAGTATTATGAACGTCTGATACGACATGTAAACGTCAAAGTATGAGGTCGGTAACCGTGTTGTCGCAGAGACGCGTCGATAACCACCGCACAGCGCAATACATGGGTGACTGATGCATAAATGTATGTTTTTTTTGTTAATATTAAACCTTTTTTGTCTTTTCTGAAATTGTTCAATTAAAAACAATGCAGACAAATAAGAAAAAAACACATTATAGCCGTTATGCGCACCTAATATTAAGTTAGATATAATAATACTGACAGTGGAATATTAATTAACAATCGCAAACGAATGAATCGAGACCAAAATAAGAAAATTCGAATTCAAATTTGCTATTTCTGTTAATAGGTGTTTAAAAAGATATACTTCAATTTGACACGCCCAAATAATGTTAGTTAGATAACGCGCAAGCAGGCAATATTTTACAGCGCATGTAACATCAAGTGATTTCTCGAAGTGAAATCTTAAAAATGTCTATATAAATTCTCTGTAAAACCTTAAAACTGCAATGACTGTTAACTCGCACCGTACTGCTTGGTACTTGGTATTTGTTTTTTAAATTTTAAGCATTAAACGTTTAGTTCAATACTATTATACCTACACATTCAATAAACCTATATTAAATAATTGGCTAAGCGACTGAAAATTGGTGAATTAATATTGGATTGGATACGATAATTCAGTTGAACATACTACATGGCAGTAGGTAAATATTAGCGCCAGAAAAAAATTACTTTAGTGGATATGGTAGTACCACCATAATGTAGTGTTTTGTATAAGTACCAGCAGCTACTGCTGCAAAGGAAAGGGGAAGTAAGACAACGGTCACCATTATTTACATGTGATTATATTGAAAATATATTTACAGATTGTAGAAAAGAGATAATTCGGTCCCGAATGAATTGTTATTGTTCAGCCCATCAATGTCACTAGAATTCGCCACATAACTTAATTATTTTATAGGCAGTTTTGATAAATAATCAAGACATATGATTACTTAACTACATAATTAAGATCATAAGCATAATTATAATGTCTTCATCCTCAAAAGCTAGCTATACTAAGGTCTAGATGAACAATTTATGTTATATATATTCTCAAAAGCAATCCGCCTGAGTTTTAGTTGTGAAAAATGAATACTGTTAATATAAAAATAACACTATATTGAATATAAACGTAATTATTTAATTAATTTATTGTAATACATTTGTAATTTAATTTAATGTATATCACCGCTGTTTTGTGAGTCAGGCTATATTCACAGTGTACAATGTACTTTTGATATGAAACCAGTCCCCGCTATCAGGCTCTCAATTACCTATCCACTACGTGGTGACGCTGACGCCGCGCGCCGCCGCAATGCCGACCTCGAACGAACGCAATTAAGACGTTTTAACGCGATTCGATTCAGACACGTGCATATTTTCCTTATTCGTAAATTTATCGCAATTATCCCTTATGAACGTTTATTAAAACCGTTTTTTGTTATAATTCCAAGACAAGCGTAGAGTTCATGCGTGAAATTGCTTTAGTCAGAAATTTGTTGATTTGTCCATAAAATATGCATATGTATTGACTTTATGGCAGTTTCAATGAGGAAACTGTTAATATGACGGAACAGTTAAGTTTGCTATTTAAAAACAGCCAGCCTGTTGTTTCGTCCTTACACTTTATTTTTTGATAAAAAGTTACAAGCATTGATTTCATATTTTGACTTCATTCATTTATTATAAATTGTATGTGGGTCATTATTTTTTTTAACCTACATGATCTTAAAATTTTTACTCAAAATTTCCAAAAAAAAAATAGCGATTTCTAGTCAAATCTTGTATATTTTGTGATAGCTGAATGTCTATTCTATCTGAAAAAGTTGTTGGCCGCGAAGTTTACAAATTTTTATACGATTTTCGAGGCCTTAAAGCAGGATTGGGCGAATAATTGTACACCTCCGTCACAATATCTTTTATTTTTTTGTATCAAATAGTTTAACTCAGATAGCTTGCAAATTACTTTTTACAATAATAATCAAATGGTCCTTTTAGAAAACTTACAAGGCAAGACTTCTGTATATAACAATAAATATATATTTTTAATCTTATACCATTCTGTCACAATTCCAGTTTTTTAGAAGTATATTTTTGCTATAATTCAATTTTAACCACTTCTAGCACAGAAATATTAATGTCGTAGACTATATTATAGTTAACTATTTTTAATATAATTTTTCCGAAATTGTACTATTCATAAGAAAATATTAAAATGGCTATATAAATTTTAAAACCAGGAGACATATCGTGACAGAGTGGTAGAGTATGTGATAGAGTTGTTATTCTATATAATATCCGGTTATATTTTGGAATAAAACTAGTTTTAAATGAATATTTTATTTAGAATCATTTATTACTTCTTTAGAATAATTAAATATTTGACAGTATAACATTCTTACAACTGAAATACTCTCATACTAATAAAATCACATTACAGAAACTTTGGAATGATATCCGTATTAGTATAATTAAATTATAAGACTTCTAACTTGTCTCAAATAAAAAAAATGTCTAACTTGACTGAAAAATTAAAATAAAATAATAATCATCATCAACAAATAACTTTCTTCAGTCATACTTGTCCTAATCAGTCTTACTTTTCGAACACTGGCAAAAGCTCATCAAATTCAAAAAACCGTCTCTTTCCTTTTTTAACTACTTTTGGATTTGATAGAATTTTAATCAAATCCTCATACGGAACATCTAATAAGTCATTCTCCACTAATAAATAATCTTCCACAATCATCGACTGTTTTCAAGAACATCACCAGAACATCGCCTATGTGACGTATGTATATTGATCATTTAATTCACTTTTTACTTTAACGAGTACATGTACACCGTCTTCTATATTCCTATGATGAAAGGCCTTGAGGTGAAGTGTTTCTTAAGAAGTATTAGAAAAGGTCGTTGGATTAGAGGAATCTTTGCTTGCATATACATATGTGTGCAATGGCTGATCTTCCTCAGATGATTCATACATAATATCATAAAATCTTTTTCGAGGCATCCCAATTTTGTTCGTAATATCGTGAGCGACAAATCCTCCACTTCATGAATTGCAACATCTTCTTTTTCGTTAGGAAACAACTAGTCCAAAATATTGCCAACATTGGATTCTGTTTCAGGCAGAGGCTAATAAGTTTTAGAAACGACGAACAGAATTGTTCACAAAAACAACTCAGAACCCTAAAGTTTAAGATTCCACGAGTTTCTGAGAACAGTTGGTGGATTTGCATGGTTCCTTTCAGAGGTAAAATACTGCTTGGAATAGTCGATACTCCATTGTCATGTCTTCGTCTGCCACCAAAAACCATTTAATTTTGCTGGTATCTTGAATGGAGAAAAAGAATTCTAACACGTCTCCGAAATATTTTCCTATTGCTACAATAGCATCAGTTTGGCGTTTCAAAGTTCCACCAACACCATTAGCAATTCCCTTTCCATGTCCTGATTAAAAAAAATGGAAGTTTGGTATCGTTCTTTAATGACATTGGAAAGGACACTATATTTGTTTGCATTCTTCTCATTCATCTTTGCTATTGCTATCTTTTTTGGATTTTCTGTGCAAGCTGTTAATGACTTCTTTTTCGTCATAATAATATCTTGAGAAAGAAAATATGTAAATAAATTCGTAAACATTAGAAAAACACTAGATAAACTTTATATAGAAATAGTTGCCATAATAAGTACTGGCCCTGTTTCAACAGATTCTTATATTTTATGAGATAAAATAAATATTATATTCTTTGCAAGTATTTTTTACCCATCCGTCGCGTACTTTACTACTCCGTCACAATTTTATTGTGACGAAGTAGTAGCGTGACGGAGGGGTAAATCTTACTTACAAAATTATTAATATGTAAACGTTACCACAAAATACAAACGTAACAGGTTGGCATGAAAGTGTTTCTTATTACGCAAAAGTTAAATAACAAGAATTAACTGTAATTGATATATTATTGTCCAATACTTACGTGACGAAGTTGTCGCCGAATAAACACACGCACCTCCATACACAGATTCCGGGCGACTTACGCGCAATCTCTAAGTCCTAGAGAGCTTATCTCAGCAAGGGATAGGAAGGACTAAATATCCAATCGACGGCAACAAAAGCGACCCGCGTATACGCGTCGCTCGAATTAAAAAACATGTGACCGAATATACCCATTAAAACAGTCTGTAGTGAAAGACAAGACTTTAAGATTTTTCTATTTTTTTATTAGAAATGTCAAAAATTTTTAGTCAGTACAATAAAATGAACTATATCTTGTAGAATTAAAAAATACTTTTATATTTGCTACTGTCTTTATATTTTTTCGTACCATTATGAATTAAACACAGGCTCAGGTAGCGGGAGACAGCTATGATTTGTATGAAATACACCTCTGTCACGCGGATTGACGACTCTGTAACGTATTTTTTATTATAAAAATATAAATGTTTATTTATTGTGAACGTGTATAGCCGTTACATTTTTAGTACAGTACATATTGAAACAGTAATAATAAAATAATACGGATAATTTTCGATTATATTTTTTTTTAACTGATGAAGACACCTTTTTGTAGGTTAAAAAGAAGAACGACCCATGTTACATAATAAAATACATATCTATCTACATCTATTTGGGACCCATCTGAAGCTCAATATGTTTTGTGTCTCACTTTTGAGTTATTTTTTCTCTTGTATCTGTTTAATTTTATTATTAACTAAATTATCCTGAATATAATTAAGAAATACACGCATAAAATTGTCGTAGTTGTATTTATAAAAAAACATTTTCTAATTGTGATTCTATTTCTTGATTTCAGGGGTTACCTCTGCACATACAGATCGACACATTCGAAGATCCGCGTGACACGCAAATCTATCACAGAGGATACTGTCAAATCAAAGTGTTCTGCGATAAGGTATGTAAAATATTTTAATAAAGTAATAATAATAATAATTACCTACTATAGTATTGTATTTTGATATTTGTATCCAATATAATATAATACAAGACTAATATTGGATTATTCAATTCATAAATCGGCTAAACGTATAAGCAGGGATGATGTCTTCATCCCTGCAGTTTCAGTTTCAATTCTAGAAACATAATTTATTCAAATATATAGGGGAGTTAAATATGCAGTAGATAAATATAACATTTTTGCTAGTATCCTATCCTAAATGGTTTTTTTTTAAAATGATCGACTATGTATATCGCATACTTAAAATTAACCAAATAGATCCTAATGAAACTTCTAGTTATGTTTAAATTAATAAATTGCAGGGTGCCGAAAGAAAGACAAGGGATGAAGAAAGACGGGCAGCTAAAAGAAAAATGTCAGCTACAAATAGGAAGAAATTGGATGAAATTTACCATCCAGTAACGGAAAGAAGCGAGTTCTACTCGATGGCAGACTTAACGAAACCACCCGTCTTATTCAGTCCTGCTGAAGATATTGACAAGTTAGCCGGAATGGACATACAAGGATTTTATGGACATGACGAAGCGGCACTGACTGAAGCTCACCTTAAAGGTGCTTCACCATTCCTGTTACATGCAGCGAAACCTCAAGCGCCGGCGTTGAAATTCCACAATCATTTCCCACCAGACGCACCAGCGTACGTATTGATGATATTATTGTTATTAAGTAGCTAGTATAAATTGTTATTATTTATCTTCTTATCATTGAGCTGATTAATTAATTTGCTTACTGATATGCCTCCATACCGATCGTGTTATTGGTAAATACTGAGCTTAATAACTAAACGTCATGTTACATATTTTCTTTCACAGGTACAGTGTACCCGTGTCACCATACAGCGACCGCAAAGACTCTCTAGAATTAGAGGGTGTAATAGGCAAACGTGCGCGTACTTCCACTCCGCCGCTTAGCGAACGCGTCATGCTCTACGTACGCCAAGACACTGACGATGTATACACTCCCCTACACGTTGCGCCGCCAACAACGCAGGGCCTGATGCACGCTGTAAGTTGCATTCTTATACAAAACGCATGCTATTTGATACATTACATTGACCATGAGAAAATTTCTTCGAAGACGAGTCAAAGTAACGTATCAAGTGGTCCACCGCACGAAGCGGTAGCACGAGAATAACCTTGGTGATGTCGGCTAACCGCAGAGCACGAGTGAGCGAGATAACTTTGTTGTTTTCTCGGTTTCTCGTCAAACTGATGTTCGATTTTGAACGTATATTATTGTGCTATAATCTGTAAAGTAAAGAGTGGAATCGAGACGCTTCGTCTGCGCTGCGGGCGCTGGCCGCGCTATGTGCTCGGCCGCCGCCCGCGGCGCGCTGTAACCGATGTGGAGCTTCATAACCCGTCTAATACAATACACGATCATCATAACTGCATGTTGTAATTAACACCCGCGCGGCCGGCCGTGGCACCGGACACCCCTTACAATATTCGGTCGCGAAACGCAAATCTATAATTGTCCTTGCGAAACCACTAGACCGGTTACCGTACTTTCCGTTTAGACGAGACGTCTCGGTTAAAAAGGCAAAAGCCCATTGTAATCGTTTATTTTTTGCTTATTTTCAGATTGAGAATAAGTACAAAATTTCAAGTTCGGCAATTAATAATCTTTATCGAAAGAACAAGAAAGGGTAAGTGGTTTTCATTGGCCTCAAATAAGTAGTTTTGTTATTGTGAACACCGGCCGCCTCGCGTTAATGAAGAATCGCTTGTCCCGAGGGCGCGCCACTAACTTCGCAATGCTTAATGTTGGTCAGCAATCCCCATGATAATTCCGTAAATAAGTTAACTATGTTTTAAATAATCATTTAATCACCTATCCAAAACGCCTACCCGAACACTTTAATCAATACCTACCCACAATCTTAATTTGCATTAGCTAAGCACTCGCACTATTAATAAGTTGTGCACTTAATAGAAATATAATGTATTATCCATTTTAAATAATAAATTAATGTTTAGATATTATGAAATTAAATAATTAACTCTATGATATATTGTCCGTGTCTAATCATCTTGTAATATTGGTAATGGTTGCACGGTAATTCAATGGAAACTTTTTTTACAGGATTACGGCCAGAATTGATGACGAAATGTTGGCGTACTATTGTAATGAGGACCTGTTTTTGCTGGAGGTAAGGCCAGCGAGCGCTAATGAGGACGAGCCCCTCTACGACATTACGTTCGTGGAGCTGCCCCTGGAGCACTAGGGCTGCGCCCGCGCCGGCCGTCGGACGTCGGCGGCGCTTGTCACACAGTGCGCGCTAATCTCGTGTCTGTAGCACTTGTGATAACATGTGGCGAGCTCTGAACTCTTTGAGCGAACAATAAACATTCCCTTTTGACTCTTGATATGCGAAGAATATTAATTTATAAACGAGATAAGATTGTCTCAAAAAGTGTCGATCTCAGGTTGAAAATTTACTTTTAAGCGATTCCTCATCATAATAATGTCAGATCAGTTGAATGTCACAAATTCTAGCGTTGGTCGCTAATTAATTCACAAACGGTTAAGAGGGGCCATTTTGTATATATCTAATTTAGTGCCTTATGAAATTAAAGAGATATGCAACGGTCAATGGTATGATGGCAAAAGAATATAATGTATTCTGAATATAGTGATCTGTTGCTAATTATACGTATTTTAATGTGTGTGCCATTCGCTCGGTTATCATGATAGTTGTATGTAGTTATCGTTTCAACAGGTACCTTTTAATCTTGCCATGATGATAAAATAAGAAATTCTTGTCACAAAATGTAATAATTATGTAGAAATTGTTTATCTACATAAAGTTAAATCATAAAGTGCCTTCATTATTATTATTGTATCTTTAAATGTAAGTGGGTTAAGTCACTCATGCCATCCATTTGTTAAGTTTTGTATATCTACGTGTAAGTTTGATCTATAAGCTCGCTCAATTCATTCCTCTGACAAAGTTGATATTAATGTAAGCTCAACACGGTCGTAACGTCCATTACTTCAGTTAAAATCATCATTTATATTCATTTCAACACCAAAACGAGATTCATGCAACTATACAGTTACCTACTTGGTAAATTATCCATCGAGCCTTATCTTTCCAGTTAATATAATATTCTCTGATAGAAATGGAAGTATTGGACGATAATTACAACTTGAAATGAGGTATAGTCGCAGTTTACATAATGTATGTTAAATAATAGTCACATAAATATAGTCACAATAGTTGTCGATTTGAACAATATTAACATTAGCACCGTTGGGAGTGGTTTTGTGTATCTAATTTTAAGATTTTATACAAATTCTATTAAAATAATAGAATGTTACAATTTAACATTCTGATATTTTAATATAGTTTCGATACGTAAGTTATCGAGCCATGACAACAATTTAGTTTACGAAGAGTAACAGTGTCCAAGACTTGTATAAGTAAGGTTAGGTACATGATAAATAGAGCTATATACTTACTGTGAATAAAGGAGTGCAACTTTTACATAGAACTCGTTGTTAGTGTTTTTATACGCACTGACTTGTTATAAACATTATATAGTTTTTCCACCGATTTATATTCGAAATTCAGAACAAGGTTCTGCTTCTTTGAAGGGATTTGTCATAGACGAAATCGTACATGATGATCATTATTTAGTTGTGTGCCTAGTGCGGACGGTTCGATTAACTGCCATATTAAGACATAATAATTAGATTACTTAATGAATTTAGACGTAGTATTTTAAAGATAGTTTTACTTATTATGTGATTCGCATCACTAGACATCGAATTTTAATTAGAATAATGTTATCAATTTAATACGTATTTTGTATCGTTTTGTTTTTCATAACTCGGCTGCGATTGCGTTGTGACTGGGTCCGTCCTTCGCTTATTTTTATTTAAATATATCTTCCTTCAATCGGCGTAACTCCACTCGTTAACGACTATCCACTGTAGGTACCTATAAGTATTTTATTTTCTAAAATTAAATTTTAGACTTATCTGGCTGTTCATCCGAATTTAACTAACCTAAACTAAAAAGTAGCGCAGACTGTTTCTCTTTCAATAGCATAACGAACTAACAAAATTAAATTATATTTAACTAAATAGAAGTAATATATGATGAAATTACAATGTATATCTGTCTTTTTTATAATTTAGTATTGGTTTTAGTATTTATATTCGTTTTCTTGCTCTTAAATCTTATAATATCTCTCTCTATGAAATAAAGTTATATTTTTACAGATTGTACATCATTCCATAAGTTTAGTGTGAGTTTTATCGAATGAATCACCACCTAAGTCAAATGTTATAAGTTAATGCATTTCATTGCTCAAAATCTGCATTTGCCATTGCCGCGGAGCGGAATGTAACAGATTATTATTACTTATACCTACTTATACGTATTCGCATAATTATATTTATTTATGTACTTACTTATTGTAATAAATTGTGCAGCTTTAATTTTTACTTACAATGATGTTAGATCGTGATTTTGAATCTCGTCATAAGTCACAAATGTCAGTAGCAATAAATACATGCATAAATCAGGTTAGTGTGTAGTTAGGCGAATGCGTCGACGGCGTGCCGCCACGCGCCATGCCACAGCTCGCAGCAGCTCACCTGTGGCAGTGCAATGTTAACAGAGTTTACTATAGTGGTTGTGTATGTAGATAGATTGATATTCCGTGGATTTGATAGTATTTGTATGGAGTAGAGTTAGAAGCGGGGGCCGGAAGCGGAGCGGTAGCGTGGCGGGCGGCGGCGCGGCGCGTATTCGCCTCTCGGAGCTATTAGTCACACTAGTTAAAACATGCCGAAAGTGGTAGCACATTTTCGTTATTAGATTCTACTGTACTAAGTTTAAATTGAATAGATGTTACGTTATTCTTTTATATTAATATTTGTAAGTTGTCATAAATATTATTAATATAATTATTTTTATCAAAGTTTATAATCTAAATAAAAATGTTTTTCTTCAAAACGTAAAAGTTGTCTTTTTTGTCACGTACTACCCATGAGAAATTGCATATGTGGAATATAAAATCCACATCACGAAATGCTGGAAGTAAGTATATTATAATATTCACAGGTATTAAGAAGACATTAATAACTGACTTAATCAATTTATTGAAATCGTACAATAACAATAATTTCCACATATGTACACACTTAGAAGCATTAGTAAGATCACGAAAGCATCGAGGAGAGACAGATATTTGTAGTTAGTAAATAGAATATAAACATTATCAATTTCATATACATACGTACGCATCTACCTACGCACCTATAACAAATCGATTAAGTCGCTATAGTAAGTAGAAGAATTATATAATATTCCAGAGATAAAAACAGCAAGCAAGACGCGAGTTCGAAACATCTAATTTGAAGATCAGTCAATATTAAGCATATTCAACTTATAAAGTAAACATTAACTAATGAGTTAATTCATTCAATGGAAAGAATGTCATTAATGTTAAATAATTAAAATGATAATCTTTAATAATAATTAAAGTGACTAGTAAATCTAAATCTAATAAATAACAACATTTGCTAGAAACTATATACCGAATTTAATTAATTAAACAACAGATAATTATATAAATATCATAAATACCGCATATTTCATAAAAACTGAAACGTAATAATCTATTTTAACTATTGAAGTGTATTGAAATGTCATTTTCTTTCAAATCAACAAAACAGTTTGCATTATACCATAAACATATATAACTGACATCGTTGAAGTAGGTGAATTAGGCTCTTGGCGTTTTATTGAATAAGAGATTTGATTATTACATTGATTTTAATCATCAGTAGGGTTTCAATTAGGTGAAAAATAAATAAAATACAAGACAATTGAATCATTTGTTTGTTGTACGAATGAAGTAACTAAAAATATTTTACGTTTACCTATAAGAAATAATATCCGCTTTCACCAATCTATTGCATATTTTTTAGCAATTTTTAAATTAAATAAAACAGTTAAATCACGAATATAAATATGTGCCTGCTTAGGTAAATATATCACAAAATAAAAAAAATGTCGTAATACAATTCACTAGAAAAATAACACACAAACACATATAACTATAACAAGTAGGTAATAATAAAAATTATGATAAGAAATACATTATTTAGTTGTAAACAACATCTCATAATACGTCCCAAAATTGCTAATACTTAATAGAACGTCACATTTAAAAATAAAATACGAATACAGTAAAATATATACGTATTTATTTGTACGTAATTTTAGCCATAAGCTGATTGGCAAATGTTTACGCTACAACATCTATACTCCGTTTCCTTAGTTCTAAGTTTTTGCTAACAGGAATGATCATATCTATTTTATGAACAAAATCTTTGTTGCGGCAACATCTGAATATAGATTTATTGTTATTATTAGCAGCTAATTTGGATTTGAAGTTTTGCATAAACCACATCAATTGGGTACCTACCTACTAACATTGGAATTGGAGTACTGCATAATATAACATTTATGTTTAAAAACGTCCCTTAATTTTAATATTTTGGTGTATATCATCTCCAATATCTCCCTGTATGCAAATTTAAATCTGTATTTTGAACCGTTCCCCTTCGGAGCAGTTCTGCAGTGATTGCTATTGAATGAGTGGAGAGCTTTGACTGTCACTGAAATCGAGTGTGTAGTACATGTCCGTGGTGTCCAGGGTTGAAGAAGGCGGTGGGAAGGGGGCTGATGATGGCGGAGCACGTTTGTCCTGTAACCAATGATGCGGTGGCCCGGATTCAGTAACTCGAGACAATCTTGAAAGCAGCCGCGAGTACGTCTTATTTACACGACAGTGGCACGCTGTTACCTGTAAAATCATTACAAGATAAATTCACAATATCTGCTTTTTATATAAAATAAAAGTATATTGTGATCTCCTAAATAATTTAAATTCTACATTTGAGTTCATTGAATTGTCAAGGTATGTTACAGGCGCTGTGCAGTATAAGGCTACAATGCATGTACTTATATGCCACCATTCCCTTTCATTATATTTAACAATGATTAAGTTTTGAACCATTCTATTTTACCCCATTTCTACCAACTGCAAAGGAGCTTCTTTGCGAGCTGTATTTCGGTTTGATCACCAACAGCTCATAATTTAAAAAATCATAAGATAAAACATTAAAATAAAGAATAAAAACATCAGTGAAAGTAAATTCACAATAAACGTCGCCTGGCCTGTTAATAGTAGGGTAAATATAATGTAAGTTTTTCTCTTATGAAACCAGATCTGTTTGTAATAATGAGACGATAATATGCAGTGAATGTTCAAAAATTGTTAAAATTTTAAATTTTGTATACGTTTTTAGACTAAGTACTAAGAACAATTAACGACGGGCTACCGTTCCATTATCGATGATGAAAATAAAATGATGAAAAAAGGGAACATTTTAAATAATAATACAGACATATGGGAATGTACTCACAACAATTCCAACGATGGCTATAGCAGCGCCGAGCGTGCCTGCTGCGATGTATACATTGTGAAGCCTGTCGTGGTAGAGGCCGAGTGGCAGCCGCACCTCACGCACTGAACCGCCACCTCGGGGCTCCGCGCTAATGCCGCCTTCGCTACCCACCACAGACTCTAAAATGAAATCCTCTGAAAGAATATGTTTCATATATTTTTAATTCGTCGTGTCGTGGCCCTGAATACTACTACACTTGGCTAACACGAAAAAAAACTTTGCATGTCAATTTATATTTCTGATTAAATGATTCCGGTGATTGAATACCGATCGAATCAAAAATAATCTGAGTGACGGCGGTAGACACGCCCCTGCCACGTTGGATTCTGAATTACATCTTCATCTGAATCCGCGTTTCGGTTGGTATATCAGACATAGAGTCACGTGGGGCAAGTGTGCGCAGCGAGTAAGTGTACGCACTCGAAGTATTTCAAAAACGGTTTATAGGTACGAACTGATAACACCCCTCCTCATTAGCGCACAAAAGGCTATACTTAGTGCAACTTTTTCACTGTCCGCCGGTGAACCATTTTGTTTCCGTAAGTGAGTATTGTTTTTTGCTTGAATTATTGCGATTTTTGTCTTAAATGAGAGACTCATTCCTTTGTAATATATTTATATTTTGAAATTATGCTTTATACCATCGAACAGTACATTTTATGTAATATAAGCCGTGTTTAATCTTTTGGTGATGACGATTACGTAATATTGCTCAGTCTTGGTTCAATTTTATTTTGATGGTTTGGGGCAAGTGTGCGCATACGAATGTCGGGTAAGTGTGCGTATGCGAATACTTACCCCGCTCCGCTTTGGCTTTGTATTTATGATGCAATTTGTTATTTCAGAGTTTAATTATACACAAAAAATGCCTCGATTATAAAAGAAATATGCCGGATAGAAGTGTTGTCCCAGAGGAACAGCTAGAAGCTGTTAAAAGATTAATTTCGGAGGTTAGCAGCAAACGACAGTGTGGCACCCGCAATAATGAGTGTACCTTCGTCTAGGAATGAATATGTACGACTGTCATCCATCCAAGAAATGCCGAAGTTGGCCTTAGGCATTTCTTGGATGGATGACTGTGATTCAAAATCGGCGAAAGAAAGGCAAAAAGTCAATCATTGATACTGTAAGTCCTTATAAAGTAGAATTGGAAAAAAGAAAAAACAAGAGGAAGAATAAATTGCCAAAAAAGAAGATACGACTTGATCTGAAAATAAATAAAATGATGAGCAGGAATTATTTTGCCCACTGTGTGGAGAAAAATACATATTTCCACCGAATGAAGACTGGATCCAATGCAGCATCTGTAAGAGCTGGTGGCATGAACAATGCAATAACTTTGAAAAGGAAATATTTGAACTAATGTATTATTAGGTTGAGGATGTCTATTTTCTGGTTTGTCGTATGACTCTATTTACTATATGTTACATGTTGCGTACACTTACCCGCACTACTGCGCACAGTTACCCCTATACTTGGGTAAGTGTACGCATTTAAACAGTTTTGATTTTGTTGCTTTCAAAAGAATTTGTGTAAATGATATTTATTTATTTTGCGTTTAAGTTGTTGATTATTAAATATTTTATATAATAAACCTTGTTTTGTTCCAGTTAACTTCAATTATTTTATTATATGATACTTCAAACCTTAAGTGCGTACACTTGCCCCACGTGACATATGTCAAGTGCTGTGTTCACCACAATATCGACAGTTGACGATGGCTCTGGTTACCCCTGGGATGATCATATTTTTATCGTTTTAATTTAGAAAGAGATACGGCAGAAAGAGATAGATAAGAAGTACCTAAGTAGTATAAGTACAATGAGCGCATATCTTGTTTGTTGTGTACATGATGGAAACCAGCTTTATTACCCGGTCAGCAAGACCACATCGTTCATCTAGAAAATATGACACTTAATTTATGGCGAACATGCGATTTCTTTTTCTGCTTAACAAATTATATTACAGGAAACCAGTTAAATACACCTACATAGGTATAATCCTAAACTATAGTAGGTATATTTCTTAAAAGATGATTATAAAAAGTAGTTTACGTACCTAAACTATTTAAAACCATTCACACATTCTAATATACCTACTTAATTATGAATAAATTGTTATTTAAACTAATAAATAACACGATTTGATAAATTTATTATAAATTATGGTAATGGCAGTTGCGCCACAATTTCTGTCTTGGTAAGTAATTCTGATAAATAATTATTCTATTTTATATTCACAGTTGTAGTCGTAAACCAAACAGTTGTTCACTCGGCTTTATTTTTACTAAAATGGTATCTTATTCAGAACTAAGCATTACATCTCGTATGATATTAACAATTTATACTAGGTACTGAATAGCATTTATATTATTACAGTAAAGTAGTAAAAATTTTGGCGTATTTATGGAACACAATTATGCATTTACTAATTAGTTATAAATACTGTTATTACGGATTTGCAGTAGACTTTATAAAAAAAGGTACTTTCATATCCCCTATAGTCATACATATAACATAGTGCAATGATTTAATTTATTTCTCCTCTTTAACGGTCCACTGCAATAAATGTTAATATTTATATATACAGTTATTTCAGTCAATAGTGTAGATAACCAAAGAACTATTATCAGTTACGTTAGTATCAACTTAGATTAGTATCTAATATCCTGTCAAATTTTATAAACCTATATAAAACTCTGTAAACTTACTTATATTTAGAATAAACAACGGCGCGTGGCCTAGAATTTGTCCGTACAAAGTAAATTGCACAGTATTAAAGGAAATCGATAATGAGACAGTCAATAATGAGCTTGTTCATTGTTAAGTTCATGGCAATGGCTAAGCTTTGAATAACGAGCACACACAAGTAAACTAGCGAGAAATTTACTTTACTCTCAAAGAATCCTTCTAATACGCGGAATTAGGATATTTATCAACTGTCTCTAAAAAGAAGTTCTGAAATATTTTATGTACGATATGTTACGATAGAACATTGCTGAGTTTTTTACCAATTTTTCAATCATTAAGATTTATTTTCTTGTTTGCACTGTGTTTGCAAATAGCCTTATAATATTATTAAAAATAAAATTAAAAATTTGAAAATAGAAAAATGAAAATGAAAGACACGCACAGAACATCGATATTGTTTTGTTACTTTTACTGAATTTTTATATTCTTCTTCTCGAACATTCCGCGGCGTCATGTAGGTAATTAGGTAAGGTAGGTAAGTATACAAAACGATTCCATCTTAAATAGATGGAATCGTTTTGTATACGATTCCATCTATTTATTGTTTTATTATTGTATTACAAATACTGCAATATTCGTCCAACAAATATACTGGACTATTATAAATACTAATTCTGATTGTCTTAATTTTTTTAAATTATAATTATGACATACGAACCTACTTACAGAAGATACGAAAATATAAATCAAATCTAAGATAATTTCTATCCAATTCTAGTGGTGTCAATTTAAAACTACACATCTATAATCCCTTTCAGTTGAATAATGTTGAAGGACATTGAGAAAACGATTTCATTAATTATCAGTAAACTACAGTTGATACAACAAATACAAACAAAAAAGACAATAGAAGTAATATAATAATTATATAAATATTTCTTGTCCTGTATCATTCATAAACAATTATTAGCAAAAGATTTGATTGGACTTAAATATCCGTCATACATATGTGTTAAACAGCTTTATTAGACGTACCTACTTCCGTTGAAATATGATCTCAAACAATTACAGGATACAGAAGCAGGACAACTCAGTCATCCGGAATGGTCCATGTACCATAGACGTCATATGAAATAATGAAGTGATGTCCGTAGTGCTGTTCGTGTATATAGGTGACAGTAATCACATACAATCAGTTATGTTGTTAGACATTCCAATTACATAAAAAAACAATACTGAATTATTACACTGGTATAGGAATTTAAAAAATCGATACGTACCCTCGCAAAGCTTCCCCGTATATCCGGGACGACAGGAGCAGTAGAAAGAGTCAATACCGTTCCAGCACGTGCCTCCGTGAGCGCATGGATTGTTGTCGCAAGCCTAAAATTAGAACGTTTTCCTAATTGAGCACATTTATCTTACGTGTTTTAGATGTGGAATATGTACATATTATTTTGTTTCAGTTTAAATGATAATAGCCTAAAGAAATAATCTCTAATAAACATGGCTGTTAGGAGAGTTAATGACACGTAGGCAGGATAATCATTTAATTCCATGAATTTATGCGATGTCTCATAGAGCGATTACTCTTTAATTAAATTAACCTAAAACAGCCATAAACTCAACTTTAGTAATTCAGATAAGTCAGATGGAACCTATCAATAAATTTAATATTACCCATCATTCATAGCTTTAATACGATATCTATTAATATTTTCATTTTAGATTAGACCTAGATAACTAAAAAAAGAAATAGCTAGGTACTTCTTGAGAGTTGGAGGAAAAAAATATATGCTCATTATGCACTATGAAATACAGTATTAAATTTAATTATATAAAATTATAGAAAGTAAAAATTTAGAGAAAAAATTTTATTGTTTAAATTATAGTTACAGATCTTGTGGGAATATGACACTCCTCGCCGACGAAACCATGCGGACACTCGCAAGCGTAGTTGTTCCCCCGATCGAGACAATAATGGTGCTCCGGACAAGGATTCGGTGAACATAAATCCACCTTAAACAATTTATTGTAGAACTTTAGAACGTACATCGTATTGGAGCGCGGAAGGTGAGCGGTAGATTACCAGTCACGCAATCCCCTATTCGTGCCTAACAGTGGAAATAGTGACGCGTAGATAATGATATCTTCGTGTAAATGTTATTCAAAACGCCCAACCGACCCTCCCAATCGACCCACCAGCCCTTCCCAAACTACATTTCATTTTAAGACTGAACTAGGTAGGGACATTTGTCTTATAAGGAGCTTTCTCTATACTACGTACGTATAGGTATGTAGTACGTATAGATATGTTAATAATAAAAATAAACATTACATAAACTAATAATAATAAATAGTAGTAATAATACTAAATATATATGTAGGGACTAAATTATTTATGGTGTATTTAAATATTAATGGTGGTTTTAAAAAGTATGGTCGAGACATTGCCTGTAAAGAAACCTTCAATTTATAATTATTATTTACAGATAGTGTGTCGCTTTACGCATGTCTTAAAGGGATCTTTGCATTAAAATCACCATGTCCTATACAGAACAGGAACCCTAGTAATCTGTGAGATTCCTTTGTTCGCATATAATATTAGAACCTACCTACCTTGTTCAATATATACCCATTTTGAACGAAGTAGGTACTATAGTATAAAATATTAAACGCAAAGTGGAGGAGTATGTATTATTGTTTATTATTTTAACTTGGTGATAATAACGTTATTGATACAGATATAGAAACTATTCCGAGGATTATAGCAACATTTGACAGTATCAGTACCGAGTCTGCCCAACTCAGCTTGTTGAAAAAATAATATAGTAAGGTTTTATTTCATCTCCACAAAATACATAAATCTAATTTCAGATTATTTAATAGTCAGTGATAAAAATTGTGGGTATAATTTGTGGGAGTTCTGGATCCAAATTAAGCCATAGCCTGTATCTTAGACACCAAACAGTAGTATAATATAAGAATTTTGATATACTCGTATATCTACAATTATTTATGGTTTATTTTTATTTTATGTAGGTAATAGGTAATGATAACAGTATGTAATTAAATGATTATATGTAAATGATTAAAAATACATGGCGTATGTATTGTGTACTCATTTACTACGTTAGAACTGTTATAAAATGCATTAAAAAAAAAATATATAAGACCTTAAGTTGACAGGTGTTGCCGGTGTACCCGCGGCTGCAGGAGCAAGCGAACCCACCGACGCGGTCGGTGCACGTGCCACCGTTGGCACACGGCGACGACACACACTCGTTGTATTCCAGCTCGCACTGATCTCCTGTATATCCTGAGTAATATTTCTCTATTTTAATAGTGTATCTTGCAATTAAGATGCATTTTAACATATCTCAGTTCACTTCACTTTCATTTTAATTGTAACAAAATAGCTATGGAAGAAAAATCAACAAAATATTTGCTTAAAAAGGAAATTATAAAAACACAGATATAAAATTATCAAACAAAGAATCACGTTTTAAAAGATGATTGAAAATGATTTATAATAGTATTGTATGATATATATTGTAGATTAAACCACGTAACATTTTATCCAAAATATTTTAGTTGGATTAAAGTTAATTACTTTCTGATGACTCTCCATCGCATGAAATGATAAATTATTATAAGGATAACCATTGGTTGACGAAATTAAAAATTAATATTATCAAAGTTGTTAGATGCAGATTGTTAATACACTTTTTATCTATATATTACATCTGATTTAAAAGTTGGTGTCGAAATAATAAATACCATCTATGCTTGGCTTCTACAGAGCAGTGTCTCTGATCGTAGTCCACATAATAGGGATATTAATTGCCTGTACAAGGAGTCTATACTTACCATGGTAGATATTACGTAGGTATATCTCAAGTTACATGACGAATGGTTGAACCTTCAAGGAGTCAAAAGCTATAAAATTATTAAATAGACTCATTTTCTTATTTAGTCAGGTTTAACGATAGATATATATCGAAAAAAAAAAACAGAAAACTTATGTACATACATATGTTTATATGTTTATATCCATACATTATAATGCAAAATAATAAAAATGAAAATCTAAACTTAGAGTAATTTTAATTTACATGACATAAGTTTTCTGTTTTTTTTTTCAATATATCTAGTCATATATCATTCATATTGAGCTATAAAAAAATCATAATAACTTAAGTTCTAAAACATACAGTTATGTTCACGATATATATATAACCAGATAATATTATTAAATAATATATAATATGCATTTTTATATACAATGCAATGCAATTTTATTACTTCTAAAAAAATAAAGTAGAATTTAAACATCTATATTAGGGACGCCATAAGAGTAACTAAAGTTTAATCAATTAAGTAAGCACTTAATAGAGAACGGCCCCGCTTTATGTAGCTGTATAAATATAAACTATACGCTATAAAGTCAACATTGGCAGTGTAGCTAGGATTATTGTTGAAAGACAATTCCACCCGGGACATGTTTGTTTACAAGTGACACAAATTTCCTTTGCCACTGAGAAAACTGTCTTGATTAATTTGCACTTGTACAGGACTGTATAGTGCACAGTACATATACTAAGGAAGATCAAGGACGAGAAATATAGTACCGCGTGGTTGCAATTATAAATATTTTACTGTGACTAATGCTACATGTAGATAAAAAAAAATACAATAAAAATCATATACAAAATATAACCAAACTACATAAAATAATATCCAAACCACGATTTATTAAATCTTTGCAGATATTTTTGTGTTCCGCATGTCAACCCATATAGAGTATAGTTATTATACATAGCTAATGTCGAGGCCTAGTAGTTGTAAAAGTCGTGAGTTCAAATTTGGCGGACCCCAAGAACCGGTTGACTTTGGTAATGAAAACACCAATAACAATTCCCCGAAACGAGGGTTGGCGCGCCCCCTACCAGGTTGTATTCAAATATGCTCCGTGACGTCGAAAGGTAGCAATGACTCTGGACTAACAGTCGTGACGGTATATTATTATTATTTATTTAACATAAGATATCTTTAGCTTCATCAAATAAGTTTAAAAAAAAACCACTTTAAATTGCCAACTGGTTAAAGGTATCCTCTGAATGAACATGACTGAATACATGTCACGGAAAGGTAATAAAATAAAACAAGTTCGGATGCTGATTTGCTAGGATTTGGATTGGATTTCCTTTCTGTGGAATACACAGTAGGTATATTTTTTACTACATGGTGTTACGTTTTAACTTTCATGATCATTTTCTGAATATAACTTTAAGAACATAATTTATAGAAAGAAAATATATTTACCATACTTTTGATACCTAAAGAACTGTAACTATATGTGATAACTACATAACGATAACTTTTTTATTATACTATACATAAATGATAATTTATTCATAATAAATTGTTGCATTCTATTTCGTAAAATTATTTTTTATGTCATATGCTAATGACTACCAAACTGCCTTATACTTTCTGTACAACGCAACGTAATACTAGTAGAGACTGCCATCAGCTAGTAAGTCCACCATGTTTACTTACAATTTTTATTTAAGTGCAAAATAATATACTATCATATATTTTATAATTGGGGTGTATAAAGAAATGTTTCAATTAAATTTAAATACGTCATTCATTTGATATTGCACAAATTCATTACAATTTCATCGGCTTGTTCTATTTCGCAATTCCCTAATGACTCCTTATTTGTTATCGATTACAGTTCCTTTACAAATAAGTTCCCTTTTCATTAGAGAGGAAGAGATCGACGAGCGGTAGGCAGCGGCCGAGTGTTGTGGCTTGCGGGCATCCATCCAACTCCGTATCAAATAAATCATCCAGACAATTCACTAGCCAGCACTCACAAACAAGATTAAATGTTAATAAAGTAACTTAGTTTTAAACAGCTTAATGGAATAACTACGACTAAAATATTACTGTAAATTAAAACTTTACTAGTTACTTTATAGGTGTGGTAACGAATCCATTAAGTATCACTTAGTTAAGTATAAATAAATTAGGGTACAAGCCCTACGACACAGCTATGACAGTTTGCATAATACCTAAGTTGAAAATAATTTAACTCCTACACGTCCTAGATTTATGGGAGTTATAATTACTTCCATACATTATTATATGTAGAGTAGGTATGGATTAACCGGTGAAGTGCGGGTAGGATTTGTACTCTTGAGTGTTTCGTACCAATAATGTTTATAAAATACCTATTTCATTCATCAAGCAGCTTGTCTTTTAAAATGTATTTCGTTTGTAGAGTGCAGATTAGCCATACATCTTAGTCTTCTGGAATGTCAATGCGTGACTTATTATAAACTATCAACGTTTTAAATCTTATATTAAACAATATTTGTGTAAGATTGCCTATTACAGGATAGACGAATTCATAGATGACAACATCAAGTAAATAATTAGTTTATTAGCATACAACGTTATAATTTATTTTTCTCATTGCTTTCTTGATTTAATTGATTGATTTTAGAAATATGAAAGCGTAGCGGTTTTTGTATTGATTGCCGCATGCATTCTTATGTAAAATGTGAATATTATAACTATCAGATGGCAATTGTAAGTAGCTATGACGTGGTCTAGTGTTTTGAGTAGTCATGCTCACTAAAATGTCCAGACTTGTGGTGGCGCGGTGGGCTGGGTCATTGGGCTCCCTAAAATATGGTCGAGCGCAGTGATGGTTGGCTCATCCGTCATACTCGTGAACGGGTCTGCTTGTAGGGACTGATCTGCTCTAATCACTATGACTGATTTCCTCTTATTAATTATTTAACCAGTTGGTTACATATTCAATAGTTTTTCTATTTGAGTATTTAATTGAATTAGTGCTAATTGGTAGTTTGTATTCATACACTTAAACTTAAAAATGTAAAGTAATAACAAAATTATTTAAAAGAGCAACACGCAAGCTTTCCGAATGAGCGGTAGATTAAAAAAATGTAATACTGTTCAAAAGTGCTTCAATGTAAGTTTATTTGAATAAATGATTTTCTATTCTATTCTATTCTCTATTCTGTAGTATACGTAATATTTCACATCCCCACATTTTCGTGAGAATATTTAAATCTAACGCAATGTAGGGCAACCTACCGCCGTTTCCGTATTAATTTAGGTTGTTAGATAGGTAGATAGATAAAATCATTATTGATACCAGAGATTTTGTTATGGGTGTTTCCATTATCGGAAAATTATTCAGTTGTGAAGATTTCACTTACCAGGTTGACAAAAGCATTTATACGCCGGTCCATCTACGTCATTGTCAATCTGTTCGATACAGATTCCCTTAACGCAAGGATTAGATGCGCAAGCACCGCCGGCGATGGATAGTTCGCAGTGCGCACCTGTCCATCCATCGGCGCACGCACAATGGAAAGTTGTTGTTCCATTCATGGCCATACTCATACATGAACCACCATTTAAGCACGGAGTGGAATAACAGGGATCCTTCTCGCACTTTCTACCGATAAAACCTGTCGTATTAAGGAAAATCATGATTATCAGGAGTATTAGCTATTTGTATTATGAAATTTTAAATATAATTATGTCATCAACAACTACCATAACCCAGAAATATATTTGTTATAGTGTCATAACCGAAAATATATATAAAATGTTTAACCATGTTAAAAATTAAATTAAAATACACACCATATGGACAAAGGCAACGGTAGTTGGCACCACTGAGAGGCTGCGCAAGGTCGACACATATACCATTATTCAAGCAGGGTGATGGATTGCAGGCATCCCTTTCCTCGCAGTGCGGGCCCATGTAGCCCGGACAACACTGGCATTCGTACCCTTCCTACAAGCACACATTAATAACACTGTCGCCGGCTTTTTTATTATTGCTGGTATTATTCGAATAATTGAATTGCGTACCATTGAAACGTTGGTGTAACATACGCCTTTTCCAGAACAATCTTGAAATTCACCACAGTTGTCGGACTTTACAGTTACTTTTAGACGAACACACTTTGAACCCCAATTCTCAGACACAACTGCAAAAATATGCTATTAATATATTATATATAGTATTATATATTATAGTAAGAAGATGTAGCAGTCACCTATATACGAGTAGTTATCGCTGCAAAGAAAAATAGAACATACATTGGATCGCGTTAGTATCTACTCTTCGTGACACGCATATCATATGGATCCAGGGATTTCATCGCATATCTATTGTTCAATGTCAGCTATTATAGCTCAGTATCCCCCCCATATTTCTTTCGTGACGTCGGTATACCTACATAAATCTCGCACATTCTTCGCCTTGGGTTCTTAGTAGTTCTGACACTGCCAGGTTTCACGCAATTTTGAAATAGAATAAATAGAAAAGCAATTTTGTTAATATATTTCTCTTATAACTTAAATCAGCTAACTAGTTATGTAGGTACTTTTTGACGCTAAACCATTCTCTTGTACATGTGATATACGTTATACTGCTGGTTTATTTTTTAGCTTTTGGTTAGCTTCGTTGTACTTAGGCTGATTAATAATATTACGCATTACAAACTAAAACATTTGTAATCTGCCATCTCACACTAACTAGATTTGTATTTCTCTAATTATTCCAAACACACTTACTAAGAAGGCATATTAAAAATAAGAACCCACTTTTCAAGTCAAGCGGTAGTCAATCGCCATTTATGATGTTAAATTATGGACATGTCGACAGGTTGAAATGGTAGAATAAGAAAGAAGGTGTGTAGGTACATACCTATCAGTAAATTAACGCCTTCAGTCAAATCCTTATCATATAAAGTGAATAGTTTGGCACCACGCTCATCGAGCGGTGTGATGTCTAGGAGCATGCCTTCGGATACATCACAGTGTTCGTGCCCTTGTCGTGTCACCTGATACACAGATGGTTGCACAGGCGTACGATGATTACTACAACAATATTTAACTTCAGTGTAGTAAGCAGGTATATAAGTTAATTTTATTAATAAAATAATAAACATAGATATACCGCTATTGTTTTTTATATCGTCCAGTTACGCTTTGGTATATACTTTCTAATTTTTTTAAATTAGAGTCTTTTAAATATGTATCTTGTCCCAGTTTACAAGAGAAAATAAAATACATAGCAATGTTAATTCAGTATTTTAGTTAATTTTGTAAAATTAAACGAGACATTTTTTTAACTTTATTATAGTCACTGATAAGTTAATATTACAAATTATAGTAATCTGAAGCTTTACTAGTAAGTTAATATAAACTGTATTCTATAGATCAATCTAGAATATTATTACGATCTTCTATGCACTAAATTTAGTTCAAATATATCCAGTTTTTTAAGCACGTTTGTGAAAAATCATAATGTTACTCGCATAATATAGAGGCACAGTCTGTCAGACTTAAATTAGATATGTAATAAAAGCAGACTGCTACATTACAAAGCTTCTTTATAAAGACAATGATATGAGCCTTTCCATAAAGAAATAGCTTATTCAACCAACCCCGCGCCCTTTTCGAAGTGAATCTGACGCTGATGGGTCGAAGGTAATTACATTGTTCGGGTCATTTGTTAACGCGGTAAGCGCTATTTAGTGCTCACGGTTTCACTAGCAATACCTATATATTTGCCAAGGGAGATGATGCCGTTGGTAATAAAAGTACAATGTATTATAACTCTGCCAATAAAATATTTGTTAGTTTTATTATTGAAAAGTAGCATTACATTGTCTACTAATTAAAATAAATAGCACATTTCTGAATAAATAATATAATTTATATATCTATTAAAATGAAGGTATATAATTGATTGGGCTTCTGACAGGGAGTTGCTCTGTCTATATTATATTTCTAATAAGTTTGCTCCAGTACTACTTTAGGTACTTATGTACTTTACCTACTACTTTACTATTACGCGTAATATAAAATCTATATCTACTTGTAAGAAATATATTAATACTTAGTTTGAAAGAAAATATTTGAAACAAATTAAAATTTATAAATTACACTTTTAAATTTTTATTTTATTTAGCAAAATTCACATGAGTTTTAGTTATGAGTAGAGCTTATGACATTTTGTCTCAGTTTTATAGGAGGTACGAATAACTGTCGAGTTTTATAGTAATGTGATGAGACTAATTGTATTTACAAAGTCAATAGTTGTCAATAGGTCTACCACAAATAATATAATATTAAAAAAAAAGAACTTACGTCTCGTCCTCGCTCCGACTTGAATTATTGTCAAGGGTGTTATTTCTCGAATTAACTTGGTAGTTGGTATCGAGAAGTAAAGAGTCCGAAATGCGAACAATAAGTATATCTCCGCTCTGTATATCAGTGGAACCCTCCCACGATACGATAACCATGGGGCACTCCTCGTCTGATGCAATTCCACCAACGCCGTTACTGCCACTGGAGGCGCCGGTGCACTCCTCAGTCATCAGCACCGCAAAAATACAACAATTAACTACCAAGTCAAGTAAACTTAATTTAACGATTATGCATTTACACCATTTTTGATGTCTGTATCGCAATATTCGTACATAGTAATCTGCAACATAGCATTTATTTTAGTAAAATATGGTTGAGGTCGAATAATATTTTCGTGTGGTATTAGAGATGAACTGATTACTATGTACGAATATTGTGATACAGACATCAAAAATGGTAAGGCAATGTGGGATCTCAGTCTATTTATTATTAGGTGAGATATCAAATCGCACATAAAAAAATATGAAGTACCTAGATAATTTAAATTATAATCTACATAATGTTGCGGAAATTTTAAGTTAGATATGAAGGGACTAATTTGAATTATGTTACATAATGTCAAATGTGAATAAATCCTTAGCTTATAAAAATATGGATTTAATCCATTTTTTATGATAGCAGCTCTATGTAATAAATCTTTGAAATTAAAATTGAAGAAAAGCCGTTGTAAGGCTTCTTATTTTAAATAAGTAAAAAATAATGAATTGTACAATGACAATGTACACAGTATAGCCACAACTTGTATAAAGAAAAATGGAAACAAAGCCTTTTGTTGGCAAGATTCACTGGCTAACAAATGTATAAGGTATTTTAGTGTATGGACGTACATTAGATATCTGTAATAAAATGTGAATGAAAGGAAAATTTTATATTATTACATATAAATTAATTGAAATTGAAATAATTTCATAACAATTTCACACAGAATTGAGTAACATAAATATATAAATAAAAGAAAGGCGATCAATGCACTTTTACTATACATAAATAATTTATCTGAAACTTGCCACAGTGTCTTATTCAAATAAATAAGGATTGTAGACGTTTTCCTTAACAGAAGTAATGAACAGAGTTAAACCAGTGAAGCAAAAAAGCTTTTCCCTTTTTTCTCCTCGAATAAGACGATTTATGGTTTATGTATTTGACCTCGCACTGTTCTCTGTTGCTGTCACGATCAAACTTTTGCGAACAAGAATATTATGCTCGGAAATAAGGGAACATGAGAAAAGACATTGTATGAATCGGGGTTATCAAATGTTTTACATATATACCATTTTGTAGTAGGTAGTTAAACAGTTACTTTAGTACTTACTTTAAATGACTATTTTAGTCTTGCCTCATTTTATGGTTAGGTACTGTACAATATTTAACTAAATATGCATTAAATCATTATTATCTAGTTAAAGGTTTATCAATTGAGTCGTCACGCCAGATCCTTACAGAGAAAATAAACAACATTGTTCTACCTACTTAAGTAATAAACAATGAAAATTAAAATAAAAACGAATAAATATTTAAAAATCTGTAAAAATCTACAAATAAATAAGATATTAAATAATAACAAATATATAAATAAAACATATTACATATAAAAAATAAATATATGCTCTTATCTATTAATTAGAAATTAGTCTAGTGCTACGTTTTTCTTATAAACTAACGTAAAGCGTAAAGCTATTAGTATTCAGAAGCTTATTTTGTCTTAAATATCAAAAAAATACATAGGTATGGATATTAATAAACAGAATAAATAATGTAGGTACATATGCAAAACAAATTAGATAAGTATTTTTTAAATTATATAGGTATATAATTGGTGCCTTTTGACAGAAACTTAATTATAAATGACAATATTGTCTTACCGTGACAGGGAAATTGAGTTCGTGAGTCTCGTTGCCTCGCCACAGGCGAGACTTTCCTGGCAGCACTGGCAGATCGCAATCTATAGCCCCCACTCGCTCTTGAAGTCGCGCTGGTGAATGTGCCGTACTTTTAAGTGCACTAGAGTTAGTTTTTAACTTTTGCCTTCTTGCACTTTTCACTACGGCTTTTGTGCTCGCGTATACTTTAGCAGTTGAATGGCGAGCGGTAGTCGGGCGCTCAGTTGCAGGATACGCTTTTGTTATTTTGCTTTCTTTTGTTGTTAATGTAGTAGTTGTCGGTACTACAGTAGTGTCTAATGGTTTTGTACTTGTTTTTGTCTGGATAAAAACCGCTGAAAGCGGTGCTTGAGAACTTGAAGCAGTTTGAATGTCATCGTGAGCCGTCGAAGCAAGTTCGCAAAAACAGGCGGAAATTAATGACAGTATTAAGGCAGACGCCATTAGCAAAAAGCGCGAAGTTCTTATACGGCCCCTCATATTGCTTCTTAAATTACTCACCGTCTTATAACAACAAGGTTATCCTTGTTCCTAAGTTTCGCTACTTTATTTGGCACTGTTTCAATGGCAATGTTGTAATATATACCTACCGATATTTCTGGCATGTAGGTATATTTTTATAGTTATACTTAAATCTACAAAAGAAAAGTTTATTTTAGAATATTTTATTATTAAAGTACCTATATTTTAGATATTGTACGAAATATTTAATTAATCAGCAACCTTTCATAAAACTTATCTAATGCACTGCTAGTACTTTATATATATACTATACAAATATACTAAATTATACTATACAGTTTTTATACTTATACATTACAACTATATCAAAACCTTGAGATAGAAGGACTAATACGACAAAGAATGTTGATATTTAAAGGCCGTAGGCTTTTTTGCCTCCATCGTAATATAAAAAAAAACACTACTACACAGGCTAGTTTCTCAGTCCTTATAACAATAAGTTGGTATTTAATTGATTAAATTTAATATATTATTAGGTAGTAGAACATAAGTAAAATCTAAATGAAGACATATCACAGCTAATAGTCCCGACGTCTTATTATCAATGATGTAAGGGGCGGACACCTCTTGTTGAAAACATCTATAATTGGACAAGCTGTAGCAGCTCTCACCTCGAGAGGCGACCCTCTTCAAATCACAAGTACCTGCTACAGGCCTCGGATAAACTTTACCCGGCTGATTTGCATTCGACATCCATTCTCAGATAAGTTTTCAGTAGATAAACAAAACCTTTTGTTGAAATCATATGTCATGTTTTTGTCTTGTTTATTGGTGAGTCTGTTCTGAGTTTTACATTATTATGAAATCAAAATATGAAATATTACTTACGTAAGAACCGAGCAGGAAGATATTTAAATGTCCTTTCACACGATACACATAAACCTAGGACGACCTCAAGTAATTCACAAGAACGGCAATACAGTAGCTCATCTCATGCTACCACTAACCAAAATTACGTGGACTTAATCTTCTTTGCAATGACAGTAAAGTAATTCTATAGTAATTAATTTATTCGATAACTTTCCATATCTAGTATTATTTAAAACTAAATTAATGTTGTAAATGGTTATTAAATGGTTTATTATTACAGAATTTAGTAATGTTTTGGCTGGGCGGCAATGCAGTACAGGGCGGGCGGCAATATCGGCCGCAGCCTCCGCGACACTGAGGCACCCGGCCCCCGCCGCACCGCCTCTAACCTCGCGCACCCTCTATACGCCTGTATCTTTACTTAATTTTACTCCATGCCTATAATACCAACGATTTCCCTAACGTGACAGGACTAGAGGCACGACGAAACCATTCTATTACCATTGTCTCTATATTTTGGATAACTTTCAATTTCCTTAGTTAAAATGGGAGTTAGTTCTATTTGACCTTTAACAGAAATCGCTTTAGAGTAATGTCCTGCTAATTTTGTTAGCCGCCTACGTAGAATGGATACATATCTACCTACTGTATTATTGGAGGGTCTAGATTCCAATACAGAGGTGTACCCTTAGATACACAGTATGGTTGCGTGAACAACTAAAAAAACTGTACATATGAAGTCTGACCCTACCTGCCCGGCGATGTTTATTGCATTACATTCCGTTCTACTCCACAGGAATCTCGAATAACACGATCCAATATCATGGGCAGATTGGAAATAATATTTTCTTATTTCTAGAAACGACTGATGAAAATAGGGGATTATCAAATTATATGGTTGCAAAAATAATATAATCATTACAGTTTTTCACTTTTACTATTTTTTTTTAAAGCAAATCGTTACACACAAAACTGTATAGTCATACTTATATGGTGTACTGTATATATTTGTATTATAATCATTTCACATCATTACCTCTTTTCATGACAACTGGCCGCTTACAGACAAGACAGACAGGTTCCATATTTTCACCTATAAAATATTCTCACGTCATCCGTCACTCGTCTCATACAACTATAATTCTAATAATATTTTCTAGTATCGATTTCTATAATTTTCTTTAATATACATTTTATCATTAGTTGAGGGTCTATTTTATTTACATTACTATTACTACCGACCCCACACTTATATTTGAACGCTAATCTTACAATGAAATTGTAAAATCTATTCTTTTAAACAATGTAAATATGACAGATTTGAAAATTTGATATTTGTTGTAACTTACACTTCTTCTAGTCATGAAAAGGAAATGCACAGGCAATTAGATTATCTCTCGGCATTTTGCTTTAAATTTTTGCTTCCTCTTTTAATCTTTACTAAGTTCAGTTAAGGCTACGCTACTCGCCATCGAGATGAATGGACGGCAAAATGCCTCTACAATGCAATATTAAAGCTAATTGTATTTATGTTTACTTTTCACTTTTATTTGATTAAAACCATTCTATACTGTCAATATACAATTATGACACTCCTCTACATAATGTGATTTTCTCTTTCTATAATTTTCTACAAGATATGAGAATTTTTGCAATGCTTTTTCTCTTATGTAACTAATTAACTGATATAATAAATGCAGAAACTCTTAACAAAAGTAGTTGATAAAGGAAAATCCTCTCATTGAAATTTGAAACTTGTGTTTGTTTTCCCCACTAAACGATAATTAGGTACATAAAGTATTATCCTAACAAATAAAAAATAGGGTTAATATTAGTATTATGAATCTTCACTGCATTATTCTATATCCGCATTTTATATTCGTAAATTACGATTTTCAACTATACCGGATTTTTATGTTTATGCTTGGCAATAGAAATAAATGTCTGGCACTACATAGGTATGTATAAATATAAACAATGAACAACAAATTACAAATCAGATTTCATCACGCTTAGATTTGAATTTACTGTATCACCTTCAGGGTACTTCATGTAGCAATTATTTTTCTTTTTGAGGGGACAACTTGTAGACACACGCTTCTAACGGTTTAGACATAAATCTATATGTACGTTAGTATGTCATAGTAGCTGATACACCTACAATAACAGTACGTAAACCGAAATGCTAATAGAGACTGAAATGGCTTATTTATAAAATTCTACGTTCTTACTTTTATTATTCATTAGGTTGTTAATATAATTACTATAATGTTAGTTTAAGGAGAGTCGTCACGCCGTGCCTAGAAATTAATACACCTCATATAGTATGACCTAAATAATTTATTATGGGTGTAGCTGAAAGAGATAGCTGTTAATGTGGAGTCCTAAATAAAATACGGTAACAAACAACTAAAATTCCGTTTTAATTGGATGGAACTTAAATGTAATCTATGCATTTGTCTCAATAACCCACGTAGCTCCGGGATAAACCTCTGATTAAAAGCTTAAATTGTGAGATGATATGAGTGCGCATAGGAAATCCCTGCATAACAACAAAGCAAGTTCAGAATTAATGGATTTAGCTTATAGGTAAGTAGACAGATACTGTACTGTGGATTTTACCTTAGATTTCTAATTTGTAAATATCGAATAAGATAGTTTAATTAACACTGTACGAAAAGAAATATAATTGAAATTCATATTTTATTTCATTTAACTTTTAAAATAAATGCAGTATGACAATCAACATCTCAATATGTATTTGATTATAGGTACCTACATATTAATCAAAAAGTAAAGTGATTTTCTTAACGTCATCATAACGACTAGGTTCAACTAATTATCCCAAGAGTACTAACAAAATTTGAGTTTTGGTGTTTTTTTTTATACCAGACAATGATTTTCATCCCTAACAAAGTCAACTGTAGGTATATTACCAATGAACAAAACGCTATTCATAAAAATCTACTGCCATCTTTAAATGCAACGAATTAGGACATGGATCTGACCTCTTCCCTATTTGTTAATCTAAATTCTGAACTATTCATTCTGAAATTTTACTATTTTGATTATGTTTCTTTTAATATAGACAATAATCCAGATTCAATTTAATATGTCGAATGCGGAACACTTCCACGAATGCCCTTCAAAATCTGGTAAAGTCAGATAGATGACACTTATGTATGATCTAAAACTTCCTAGAGTATTTTGTCATTACTTATTTCAAATACATTTGCAATAAGTAATGACAAAATACTCTAGGTCTGTTTTGTGCATCTTTTTTGAGCTACAGCTCAAAAAAGATGCACAAAACCGACCGATATCCATCCATTTTGGATATTAGTCTAATTGTTAGACTTTTGAGCGTTGTGATTTTTTATGAATATGGACGGTAAATAAAAGGTTTATAATTTATAAATCAATTAATAAGATAAATAACAATTTCACTCCGGATTACCAGGATATATCCAAAATTGAGACGATATGTACTGAAGATATCAGCAAACAATTAATTACTGAAAAAATGTGCCTGCCCCTATTTGTTAAACTAACTATACACTATGTGATATTTCTATTACATAATGGGAATCATGACGTAACTAATGTGTCGTTTATACAGCGTTACGTATTGAATCGTTATGTGTGGAGTCCACGGAAGGGGGCGCTGTTAGCTGGCGACGTGCCAGCTCGCTGACGCGTGACAACCCTTATCTCATACGGATCACGGCCAATAGCGGTTCACTTAGTTTTATGTTGCAAAAATATAACGTTACCTAAGTTATAAAAAATATAATTGCATAAAAAAATGCAGAGGATTGCAGACAGATAGGATCGACCTTTGAATATTTCATGTAATTCTATCGATTTATACTCGCTCTGTTTGTTGATTTCGAAATGAGTTTTTCCTTTACGTGTTCTGTTTACAGTAAACTTCTGTTTGGGCTCATTGGCTCTCACGTCAGCGTTGTGATTTATCGGCCTCGATATATCAATGAAAAATACAGTTTAATATTATCACAACTTACCATGTTTAAAATTACGTATTTACTAGATATTTATATAAAACTAAAATTAATATAATATACTTATATTATAGAACAAAACAAAAGGTTGGAGTTGGATTCTTTACCCTCTTTTTTACCATTATTGTTTTTAGTAGTTACATAAAATATAAGAGCAACGAACAAATATTATGCATGGATATTCGATATCAGTGGTATGGTGGAGAAGATGAAGAAGATATCAACATAAATTTCAGCGTAGACTGTTCATTGCTAAACATCGGATTCCCTATATGTACACTGTTGAGATAGCCGCTTTTATTGACTCCTTATAGTACATTTTTATTAAAAATATACTATATATAAGTAGGTAGGTATACTTACAGTTAATATAATTAAATATTTCTAAAAGCAAATATGTTATTATAATTTTGCTTTGATGTATTTGTTTTTGTTATTGAATTTTTTAAGTATGGATTCTACATAAAAATAAAATTGGAGCGTCTGTTCGTAATATTGAAATTACCGTTTTTTACTATATGCATATGAATATAAATACGGTATATACACCAAAATAACATTTTTTTCAATTTTTGTCTGTCTGTCTGTCGGTCTGTTTGTTCAGGCTAATTTCTGAAATGGCTGGCCCGATTTTGACGGGACTTTTTTAAGCGTAGGTAGCTGATGTAATAAGGACTAACTTAGGCTACTTTTATTTTAGAAAAATAAAATATAATGCCAAGTCGCGGGAACAACTAGTATATACAAATAAATTTAATGAACTGTGATATAAGGATTCTGAATTGGTACACATATTATTGGAGAGTTAAGTCATAATAACCTTCAAAATATACAATATATACAAATATACCTGTATATAGAAATTACATTGTAGCGACAGTTGAATAATTTGTGTTAGAATTATGTTCAAGTTATTTAAGTATGTTTTATTTATTTGTTTTAATTTGAGATAATCTGAAGTAATATTATTATTAGATTTTTATAAATTAAATTTGTAACAGTAATATATAACAGGCTAAATAAATTTCAATTCATATTTGGATTCCTTTTTTTGGGATTAAAGTCTTAAATATTCAGAAATTATACGAATATATAGATGTATGATAGCTTTATTATCTTTCAATTTGTGTGGTACTTACTATATACATTGTTTTAAGTAAAGAGAATGTATAAGTACAATACAGACGAGCTACTTAACTTAAGCGAACTGGTGATCTAGATTTACATAGCCTCTGTTTCATTTTTTGCTCCGTTAATAACCGCTAAGTCATTCTTGATATAATCCTGAAAGTTTATAATTGCGTGAATTATTGCAGTTGAAAATAAAATAGTCTTGTGGAGGTAGGAAGGAGGAGGACAGAGGTCACAATATTGTCGTGGGGATATTATAACACACCAATAAATAAGGCTATCTGATACCAATAATTATATAAGTTGGTACCTTAATGTCTTAAGTAATATAGTGACTCTGTATATTCGTAAGGATTGCACCTTCATTGTGATTCCGGCATTATAAAATAATATAGCGTTCCTTCATTAAGATGTGTTCCCGTAGGATGTTATAATTTTACCAACAATATAGAAAATAAATAAAATATATACTATGCAGGTGATAAATACCACAACAAATCATATTACACCATAAAAAAAATATAAAGTAGAACAACGTTGCCCACAACATACAATGTAAACAGGTTCTGATTTTCTTTATACCTATATCATAATTGTCAACTTGTAAGTAGATAAAAGTTAATTTTATTAGAGACTACAATATTAAAGCTACAGGAAATAGCCTGGTAGGATTTCCTTGGTACATATCAAATATGACAACTTTCAAACATACTTTATATATTTTTTCCTGTAATATATTAATTATGTAATATAATATTTACATGTTTCGCAATAGAAACTTTGAATAATATTATGATTTTTATATTACATGTTGTTTCATTTCAATATTAACCCAATTTTGATAATTTGTATCTAAATATAATTTACCTGCTGAGTGGAAAGGTGCCGGTACGGCTGGTATGTGTGGGCAGGTTGAGCCAGCTTGTCCGGGTGGCAACGAAGCCGATGTGAACGTAGTGTTGACGCATAAGCGAACCGCTCGTTGCACCACTTGCAAGACAGTGGCTTGTCGCCCGTGTGAGTATATAGGTGAACCTAGAGAACATATCTATATCAAAACAAATATCCAGTGGTGATCTATAGCTAGGTGGAAATTGTACTTTCAATTATATCTCTTCATGTTTTTAAATCAGTAATTGAAATGAGCAGAAACATAATTGCGCCCGCGATTTCGTATCTGTATTTTATTTGTAAACCGACTGGAATAAAACAACAAAATTTTAAGTGAAGCTTACCACAACACATTACTTAAAATTGTACCCAAATTGGTTAAGCCTTTTAGCCTAAGAGGACTTAAACGGTTAAACAAAGAATAAAAAATTCTAACTATATATTTATATTGTCCTTAATATTGTTGCGAAAAACGAAAACGTAGTAAGTTCATTAAAATTTCATACATAGCTATTAAAATAAAAAAAAACATAAATTTGTGTTCTATTACGTTACTACCCAATAAGCTTTTACAGATACTGGTCATTTCCATGTTATTTATTATTATGTCATTTATTATATTATTTACCTTCAGAGTCTGACTTCTTTTAAAAGCTTTATGACAGTATGAGCAGACATGTCTACATTTTTCCTCGTGAACCAGCAAATGTTTCCTCAGAGTGCGTCGGCTGTTAAGGACGCGGTTACAAACTCCGCACGTGTACGATGTATCTTCATGTGTATCAATGTGAGTCTTCAGATTTGAATGTGTTTTAAATCTATGACAAATAAGGTAATAAATATTATATATGTTTAACAATATAAAGAGTATTATCTGAAATGGGGCAGTCAGATGTATTGTCAAATTTAACATTTCGCACCCAGCATTTCATACATATTTTTGTTTGTTATCAGTGTTTCCTTCATCGGAGAGTCGGTTAGAAAATATAAATTGACACACCAAGTATTTTTCTCGTGTTGACCAGATTTTAACTATAATTTCAGAATATTTCTTTTTGTATATTGCTCGAATAATATAAAAATTATTATGTTACACTTACGGCTTAAAGCACTTTCCGCACACGTAGGGTTTGTCGTCACTGTGTATAGCTCGATGTTGGCGTAATTCGCCGCTAGTGCCGCAAGCGTAGCCGCACAGATCGCATATGTAGCTTTTGATTTTGTCGTGCACCACGCGTTTGTGTGATGCAGCCGAAGATCTTGTCGTGAATCTATATATGACCAATATTGAAGATAACTTCAATATGTCTACATTACCCATTATCCGATAGTATCTATACATGGCGCGACAGGTTCGAGTTTTTAAAATAGAAATTACATACAGTAATTTGATCAAAACGTGTTTTCTTTTATTAGAAGAAATTGTCTGCTACAACAAGATGGGTACATAATATTGAGGTAAAACTACAATGCAACCTCAATATAACAAACATCAGTTCAACAAATTACTTGATATAACGAATATTTACATGTTTTCTTCCGCTTTGTCGAGGTTGTACTGCACTAGACACTGATACTTACTTCAGATCACATACATCACAATGATAAATTTTTCTTTCTTCAACTGGTATATGGGATTTCGAGTGAGATTTTAAACCATCCTTTGTATTGAACACTTTGTCACATGAATTGCAGTAGAACTTTCTTTCAGATTTTGGAATATGTCTCATTTTGTGTTTATTTAAAGCTTCTATAGTCTTCGTTATTCTAGGGCATTTGTCACAACTGAAAGAAATTGACTTTTTACCATCGTAGGTCTATATATACCTATAACATTAAAATGCCAAATGAAATAGTCTCACGTATTATTGTCGAGTGGAAAACCCGTATCTAATGGTGATGAAGCACAATTGTTAACTGAATATTTTGATCTGTTTATGCAAAGATTCCACCTATTTTGAATGAGGATGAAGCAATTACAGCGACAGGATCGAAGAGTTTACGTGTTCATATCGACGACCCTTACTCTCGAAGATGTGGAACTTGCATTCAGACCACTCAAACAAAATGTTCATAAGGTCCTGACGGCATTGCTCCTTACATTATAAAAGATTGCAAGTCGATCTTTTTAAAACCTATGTATTATGTATTTAAATTGTGTTCCAATAAATTTATTTAACCTGAAGTGTGACTTTAAACAGTGGCAGTGCTGTCTGCCTTCGGAAAATCATTCAAATCGATAGTATATTATCGCATAAGTAGCCAGTTAGTAAGTCTAAGTCTATATTTAATATTATGACTGTAAAGAATTCGTGTTCTTGATACTTTTTATTAACAGGTTTTATCTTAACATACAATACACAGAATATAAAGACAATTTCTATCTTATTTTAATAATCAAGCTGGAAATACAACTTACCTTAAAACGTTCGGATTCCTATGGTCTTGTATATGTTTATAGAGTACAGATTTAGATTTAAGTGTTATACCACAAATGCATTTTACAATCGGCATTATCTTGTGTCTTTGTGACGTATGTGACTTTAAACTGTACCAACTGGTATATTTTTTCTTACAAATATTACATGTAAAGCTGTAAATATAAAATAAAAGAAACATAAGCTAAAAATGCATAGATAGAAAACTGCATACTTCATATTTATAATACATACTCTACAAAATCACGTATTTTGAGTGAAGAGTAATTAACATTTGACGGTTTTCCAATATCTTGAGATGTGTTGTGTAACTTCCTACTCTCTAACTTGTGATCCGAAACATGCTTATAAAGTACACTCTTAGAGTTAATTACATATCCACAGATACAATTCAAATATGGTTTGCTCTTATGTATTTTCCCATAATGGACTGTCAACTCACTCCATGATTTCATTTTAACATCACACATGTCACAGTGTAATCTGTAAAACAAAAAATAAATAATGTTACATAGTTGCATTTAGTTTTCATCGATTGGTTTGTGTCCGAAATTAAAAAGTTGGCACATATAGTCTACTAGCTGTTCCCGCGACTTCGTCCGCGTGGAATGTAACTTGATCTTTTAAAATATTTGTTTCTTTCTAAAATAAATGTAGCCTATGTTACTCGTTATTACATCAGCTACCTGCCGAAAAGAGTCCCGTTAAAATCGGTCCAGCCATTCCAGAGATGAGCCGGATCAAACAGACCGACAGACAGACAGACAAAAATTGTAAAAAGTGTTATTTTGGTGCATGTACCGTATTTATATTCATATGCATGTAGTAAAAAACGATTATTTCAATATTACAAACAGACACTCCAATTTTTTTATATGTACAGATAAACTCACTTGTCATTTTAGATAGATGACATTTTTTTTAGTGATGATATTTAGTGATTTTTTAAGATTTAGTAACAGACTACAAAATTGGCAAGTGAAAGACAACTGTGTACAGTTGACATTTGGATACTGAGATGTATGTACGCATTTTTTACGCTCTATAGAGTGATGCGGTATAATAGCTATTGTTATTTACGAGAGTAAAACTCACTTGACAAAGTCATTTGCTTTTAAATAAGATTTCTTTAAAAGCTCTTTAAAATCTGCAGCATCTTCTTCACTAATTGTTTTTTTCTTAATACGTTTTCTTTTTTCTTTTTTCAGAGAGGCTAATGTAATATTATCAGGATCTTCATCAGAATCATCATTTTTGTGATCATCAAATTCAGAAAAGTCTGCTCCATCATACTCTGATATCCGAGTATCAATGTGATCTAAAATAGTTTTATAAATCAATTTCATCAATAAACATATTATAATACAAATAATAATAACCCAAAATAATACCCAGCGTCATCTAGATCCAAGCTAATCAGAGTGTTATGGGTACTATGTCTAGATTAGACCAGACTAATATAAATACCTTAATTCATTTCATGTAAATAGATACATGGTATACATAGGAAACACTCAGATTAATACAAAAAATTATAGGCATGAATACAAATGTTTGTATTGTGTGAGGAAATTGATCTTGCAACTATTGGAATTAAGGTGGTGTCTAGCCCAACAATGTATTCAAAACTATAAGGGCTATATGAATTAGATTTTCTTATAAAATTTACTATATATAACATTTTCAGATACATATTTTATTTATAAATAGACTAGAAATAGTAACTTTGTTTGTCTGTCCAAACGTAGTTCACTAGATCATTCAAACTGGTAAATAAAGGTCTATATGATTTCATTTATTGATTTATGATATAAATTATTAAGTTTACTGAAAACTTTCAAAAAAATCATTCATTCATTTTCAGCCCAAAGCAAAATTTAATATTAACCCTTTAAAAATTTAATTTTAATAGCCTATAGCCACAACATATTCTGTAAAAATACACTTGTAACTTTGGCAACCATTTCTACTCATAACAGACAAACAGACTTTGATAATTTATATTAATTATAAAGATTATTATTATTATATATAATTAGTAAAAAAAATCAAAACTTACCTAAAACAATATCTTCTGGAGTAAATTCATCTTTGACCTTTAATAAAAGAATTGATTACATTACCTTTTAAATATTTATACAGAAACATATGTTAAAAAATATTTGAATATATTACTATTACATCAATATAGTAAACTCTGATGTTGTGGCTTTAAAAAAATTAAGAAATACCAATTGAATAAAGCCTATTACTCTATAGGTGATTATTTGGCAGACAACTTTGTGTATAGTATTAATTGTTCTGACAAGGGATTTCATATTTTAAATATGTTAGACGTACATACTACATAAATACTATGTAGTATGTATGTCATATCATATTACTAAATTATTTATTTAAAGTACTAAAGTTACTAATCATATTATCATATTAAAAACAGATATTCAGTTGACTTTCTTGTCAGCTCTTCTCTACTAATGTAGCTCGCCAAATTGGATTGTAGAAAGTGATAGAAAAATTATCACGCACTTTGGTCCGATGTTAATAAATAATTATAAGTTCCATTAGTTACCATATTGACCTACAAAAGGCCAATTAAATTGATCAATTCTATTCCATTCTGATAGAATGATGATGATAATCCGAATGGTTAAATACTGTCAATACTAATAATAATACATGTACTATTTTATTAGATTCTTTTCCAAAAACATTGATGATACAACTAATTTTCAAATAATGTATAAATAATTAAGAATTAAAAGATATAAAATGAATGTGGTACATACTACTTACCTCTGACTTTATAACAGAACTGTTATAAAGGAGTGACTCATCTTCATGCTTTATGTTAAAATTGTCTAAATATATACTTTTAAGGGTATCTTGGGCCTTGTAACATTCCAAAATGAATAATTGAAATGATACTATTTTTTCTTCACAATTTAAGCATATTTTAGTCGGGAGTACATCATTTTCTACAACCTATAATAAAATTTATAATATTACAATTGAAGAAATCTTAAAACACTAATGATTATTCTAATGGCTTATATTAGTTATATGTAATTTTTCTAGTTCAGTCTCTAGATATGTTCAGTCAATGTTTCAATGCTACAATCAACTTTACTCTTCCAGTATATTTTCTCTTGAATAGGTTTAACAGTTAAAATCATATATTAACTTGTGCAACTGTGGCATTTGTATTTTAATATATGTGTAATAATTAAAAGTCTCACCTGCACTAATGTTATATGTGGGCCAGTGACCAGTTGTGAGTGAATAGATGAAGACAAAATCAGCTTACAAAGACCCTTGTTGCAAACTTATCAGAAATAACCCATTACAGAGGAAAGATGTCAAGATTGATGTAACAGACATTTACACATAGATTCATAGGCATATTGGTGGCAATAAATCAGGACAATCTACTGTTAAAAATCATTGGGAGAGAGAGATTGGCCAGAGACGGTAGTATTTACTACCAATACCAATGACAAACATTTTAACAGCTTACCTATCTCTGAAGTATATTTAGGAGGTTCTATAATAAACTATTACATTATTGTAAGACATGAATAGTATAATAATACTGAAGGTACTTACAGCTATCTGTATAAAATCTTGTATTGATTTAAATACACTCTTATTGTTTACATCCAACAAATCTTTTAATAATTCTTCTTTCTTCGCGCATAGTCTACAATGATTTATAATACTAGCCATTTTAGCACAGCGATACAAACGTAATTTTCATTAGGACATGTCTAACATACACAATAAGTCATGGATTGATTGCTGTATATTTCGTTATATATATTCACGCAACCAGTGAAAATTGAGCACATCTGCTCATATTGATTAATACAAAAAAATTAAGAACCAACAATAATAGACATCCAATAACAATTTATAACAGTAAATTAAATAATAATTACAATAATTAAAAGAATTGAACAAAGCTTCTTAATTTTTTTAACTTTGGCATTGACAGTGATGGCATTGGGCAAATAATCACTACGACGAAGAGTGGACCCTTCACATCAATACTTTCTTCTTGGATTTTTTTTTTTATTTATGAAAAATGTTGTCGTGTTGTTTGTTATGAAATTTTGAATCCTACCAAAATTAAATGAAAGGATAATCAAGTAACTAATCAATAAGTGTTACAAATTACTAATTAAATTATACAACTGTTTGTAACAGTATGTCACTTATCGTCAGTCTGTTACGTCATTTTAATTTAATTATAATTACAGTCATCCTTAACGTCAATCATATTCAAACATCATAAAAAAGAAAACCAAACTGCATAATATTCTGTCCAGTCTTCTCAATAGAATTTCGAAAAGTCAGGATTATTCAATATAATCTAGTTGTTATAATTTATTATAGTTGTTTTCGTTTGTTTCATTAGAGCTGTTATTTTTGGGTACTAGTGTATTAATATTTGATTGAGTGTAACTGAAAACTTTATGGGACATTCATGGACGGGGTCCTATAATACGCCCGCCACAACTGCAACAAACATGAAACAAAGTTAATTAGTAATTTGCGAGCAGCTGGGTACATGAGAATGTGATGAATTTTGTAATATTTTAATTATAATATATTATGCTCGTCGGTTAATATGGAGTCGCCGCTCTCAGAACCGGTGACGCCGTCGTACTATTCTGTGTTGAAACCTGCACATGAAGACAGTGGATACCACACATCATTCACACCTGATTCCACAATATGCTCAAAAAAAGTGATTAGAAGTTCGCCGATTGTTACATCAAAGATTTATATCACAGGTCAAATTCAACTTGACTACTATTCAGAGTCAAACCATCCCCTGGAGCGAAGATTACTTACTTCAAATGTTACACCTCCAAGTGAACATAGTAGAGATGTGCTAGTTAGACGTGGTGTAAAAAGATCACATCCAGAAAATGATGAAAATTTAAATGTCAATTGCAACTCTGTTGGTACTCCTACAAGTGGTATAACAGGCGAAATACAAAGATTGGACGTCAATGAGTGTAAATCGAGCAACTATTCAAGACATTGTATAACTTTTGAGCACACAAAGAATATTAGTGAACCATACAATTATGAGAACTATGCCCCAGCTTTGTCCCACCCAACAACCCCAGTGAAAAATAAATGCACTGTCAGTTGCAACTTAAGTCCATTTCGTCGTAAAAAGTTTGCTAGAAGAGTTGACTTTGTTATACACTCTCTTTCTTGTGAAAAGAAAGCTCTACAACCTGTTAAACTGAATGTAACATCTATTCAAAGACCATTGAAAGTTTTTGAAAATATACCAAACCAAAATGAAGACATAATAACTATGTTACATAAATTGAATGAACTGGTCCCAATGAGGTTAATAGTAAGTTACTTATCCAACCAAGATATATACAATTTTACTTTAGTGAGTCCTACTTGGCTGGAAGCATGGGAATTTGACATTGGAAAGAATAACATAAGTAAAAAGAGATTCATGAAGTATATGGATGCTGTAAATACGAACAGAGAGAATTGGTTAGGTGGCACAGTACCACAACTTCCTGGTTGTAATCGAGTAAGAACATTGAAGGAAATAAATGGTGACTCAACTCCTCAGGGTAGGAGCCCTCCCACATCACCAAGGACAAATAAATTTAAAAAGTTTACAAAGGTACTAAATTTTTATAATAATTACAATATTTCTACATTAAAAATGAAAGTTCAAATATTATATTTATGTCAGTCCAAAAAATAGATAAATATAAATAATGGTACTAGCTTTATGTAATGGCAATTCTTTCCTGGAATATATTGCCTGTTAATGTAGCTGTACATATGTGAAAGATTTTTCTAAAGCTGTCAAAAATGTTTTGCCATTAGAATTAAAGAAACAAAAAAAATATTTTTCTCATTATAGACAGGATCAGTAATCAGGATTTCTAAAATTTGAGATGTAGATCAGATCAACTTAATGCTATAACTATTATGCTAACCAACTTCATATCAAGGTCAAATGTGATAATTGTTAGATAATACTTTATTTGGTATTTACTAAAATATGTTTAATTTTTATTTTATAGGCAGCATCATTGGATTCACGCACACAACTCTCTTGTATTCAGTGCCAGCATCCTGCTAAGGTTACAAAAGAGGAGTCAGGTGAAGTATGGGTACAGTGTGTCAATATAACTTGCTCTTGCCAGTTTTGTGCACTCTGTAAAAGTAAAAGACATCCAGACAAAAGTTGTATACAATATGGCCTTACAGATGCTAGTCCTTCAAAAAGAAAAAGATGTCAATATTCAATCAGTTCAAAAAAAAGTAAAAAAAACTTGTCTAGATTGCTAGCATAACGATTCTCAATTTCAATTCCAGTGTAATCCAAAGACAAATGAAGATATTATTTTAAATTGAATGTTTGTATGAATTAGTATTCCATTTTGAAATAAAAATAATTTTTAATATGCCTATGGTCTGACAAAGTGCCATTACTCTATTTATATTATGAGATTTTTGCATTTAAAGTTATTTTACTATAAGTATTTACAATGTTCTCTGGTGATAAACAATTCAGTACCTCAGTCATTATCAGTTGTTACTTTGTGTGTGTTTTAATTTTAGGTGGTAATAATGCTATATAAGTATTAGGTAATGAATAAAAATGCTCAAAATAGTTTAAAATACTGATTAATTAAATTGTTGGATATAAACATAAAGACAAATTCATGATCATGCTTTCCAAGAATATTAACTATATTTATTAACAAACTCATTTTAATATTATTATGTATAATTAATGACATCACCTTGCTCCCAACAGTTTCAGTAAAGTTCTTTTAACTATAGTACTTTGGAGAGGAATCTTTAGTAACTATTTACCATTTGTACAGTTTTAGTATTTTAGAAAAAAATCCACAATACTCCGAACTATTACTCTCTATTATGCTTCTCTATAAATTTAGGAAATTTTACAAGTAAGTTCACACAACAATGTTAGGTGTTAAATTTTATATTATCTTTTTTATGAAGGGTGAATTAAAGTTCTTAAGGTAATCTCTTAATTTGCATTCCAATTGTTGTTTTTAAATTCATAATGACTTCAATTTGCGAAATTTAAAGATTTTATAATGTATTTTTTAAGTTAGTATTCTAATATCCATCCTTGACATTTTTAATATGTTAATCATTACTGTGTTCTAAACATATAGTTATAACTTACATATATACAGTGGACCCCCAGTTATCCGACAAACGTTTTTCAGGGCAGGCAGTGTCGGACCATCGAATTTGTCGGATTATAGAGTGCTGCCTAAGGGTCCCCTATAGTCCGGATTTTTTTTACAAAAGATTATCTTGTAATCCGACAAATTACAGATCCAGTGATAAGATTCTTTGTTATATATGTATGTATGTATATGCACTCTGAAGTATATTGTCAAAAAAATATTCAATAATAAATAATAGACCTTATCGGATTACAAGGGGGGCCGGATTACCGCGGGTCTACTGTATTGATAAAGCCATAATTAGCGATTTTGCGCAGTATTTAAACCACCGACAAACATTGCATTAATATTTTAAATTAATTATAATAAATAATTTAGTCATAAGTGAGAAAAAGGGGATTGTGTGACAAAGTTGAAAAATTTTTTTTATAGGATATCTAGACTTGATACTTACTGGCCACCAGCTATCTGGTTTTAGTCGGCTGTTATTATAATATAAAGAAAATTGATTGTGAAATTTGTTTTGAGGTAGTGTGTTGTTGTAGTTTGAATTGTTATGTGGATGAATAAATAAGATCTGCACTCAATTTACGTTTTCTGAGGCATCATAGAATATTGAAACGAAAACAAACGAGACCTCAAATCTAGTTTTCCATATATCCTCTATACCGTTTCCTTTCTCTAGAATTTAATAGGTATTTATTATTACTTTTATCTAATACCCAATTTTTCTGTTCTTAAAGACATTTGAAACCGGTAAGGCAAAAAGTGCAGTACAAAATGTACCACTAATGGTAACATATCAACCAATCCGAATCCGGCAAGTACCAAGAAGTCAATAGAGTACAGAAACTTGCCTTGTAGTATAGTGTTTGGCGTCAACCCGATATTATGCTGTTTTTAGAACAGAAAATAATTAGGTAATATGTGTCTGTTATTTCTATAATTCTGTGAATGTCTGGTTGGACAGTTGGGAAACGCATTTATTCCACTAACTTCAATACTTTTGTATTAGAAAAGCAAAATAATCCTTATATTTATAATTACGTATCAATGACATCCTATGTAGCTATATCCACGCTATTGAACGAACGGGGAAACCATTGAACGGATGACGAAACTTACTAAAAAGTCGTTTCGGTTTTAAACTCATATTTTGAAACTACTGTTTAGTTTAGTTTACAGGGCCTAACAAAAACTAAAATTTAACTTAGTTTTCGAACAAAAATTTAAAGAATATATTAGTTCACTCGTATGAAAGGAGAAACATATATAAGCTTGAAAATCATCCAATCTCTGCGACATACATTATAAAATAAAGATTATATTATTTTTCCAAGACTTTTAAATTAAATGATTTGAAATTTTGACAGTTTTACCTTTATAATTTTCTATTAAAACTAACTCAATAAAAGTTAAAAGCTCTCAAGAGGCTGTATTAGGCAGATAGCGACATTCCAATATTTTTTATTAATTTACATTGAATATTTATATGCAAAACTTCTGGTTTGAAGATAAGCTTTAACTATTAAAAACTACACTGTTGTTATTACCACGTTCATTACATACAAACTGTAATAGAGTAAATGCAAAGTGAAATATTATTATTTTTTTTACGAAAACGTGATGTAATTATAATCACCGATATAATTAGTCAAATCGTTAAACACTAGGCTCACTGCAAAGCTATACTATTTTTTAAAACGCTCTAAAATTTTGTACTATAAATTACTAGAGGAAATAGTGGTTATGGAATTACGTTAATTTTGTTGTACTTTGTATAATCAGAAGAAACATTGTATAAGAATTCATTAAATAAAATATGTAGTAGTATTATAAAATAGCAATTTAAAATTGCTACGTTATAAAGGAATAATACGTCTACTTAATTGTATATTTATTTTTAATCATTGTATTTATAAGGTCTTACCTATCACAATACAGTGTCTACATTGACTGCGTGTCTATTCTCGTAATGCTTCATGAATTAAAAAAATTCATGAAGCATTACGAGAATAGTCACAAAAATTTTTATGTTTTGTATTTTTTGTCGGCACAATTTTATTGCAAGTAGGTTAATTTTAATTTGCGGAATTATTAGTGTTTATTTAATGTAAATAGCAATTGCGCATAAGACTATTTGGTATCATAGATACACCACTGGGTTATTGCATTAAACATTTCTACTTGTATTGCTGAGGACATACAACATTAGCTAACATTGGAGGGGTTAGAGTTATGAATAACAGTCATAGTGTGTAACCAAGTTGCTTTAATTTAGTACAGAAAATTCAACCTAATGTAACCTACATTATTTAAAATATAAACAATGTTTGTACATAATATTACACTACACTTTACATCGATATTATTTTCGATTTAGTATGAAAAGTACCAAAATAACATAGCAATCAAACTTTCTCTCGGCGCATTTATTTACCAAGATAAAGCACTTGTGTACTCGTGGATAAACACGACGACACCAAAGAACAAAAAATAATTCAAATCATCCTCATTGTTGTTAAAAGTATGATACATTTACTTGACTTATTTAAATACTGGTTCAGTCTGAAGACAATGATTTTAATCCATGACAAATAAATACACCAAAATCTCCCAGTACATTAATTTCATTCAAGATAAATTTTTGTTTGTGACATCAATTCGAGACCTTGTAACCTGCTATGAAAGAGAACCTAATTTTAAGTCTAATTTATGTTCCGAAACTTGTTTATTCATCATCAATTTTATCGTATTTCCTTTAAATCTTTAATTTTGTAATGGTTGTACTAGTACTAAATCTAAATACTTTCGTACTCCATTGTATAAAAAAACATATACTGGTGTATAAAGATGAAGCTAAAGATTTCATCCCGAGGTAAACATTATTATCAATCTAAGAATGAAATCTTGAGCTACATTATCGACCTTACAAACTGAAGTCAGAAGTATTTTCAAATATGAAGCGTGAAATTTGTTTCAGATTTTAAATTAGACTAAATTCTATAAAACACTGCATTATATTGTAATTATTGTTTCACATTACGGTTGTACATACCATACATGTTGCGGTATGGTTCAGGTGACAGGTAACAAAATCACTAAAGGTAAAACTAATCCGTACAAAATGTAGTGAGTAGTATATTTTATATATAATGTAGGTATTTTGTACAAAAGATTTAATACTCAGATATTCAATCAATCACTATAACGTGTACTGTCACCTACACTATGCCACAACCCGCGGAGTATATATAAAATAAAAGACATACTGTTTATTATTGTATAAGAACACTGAATAACAGAGTTGTTGCTGTATGATTAATATGTTAGCAATGTACTATTTTTACTACAAGACCTATTTTGAGTTCAATTGTGTAAATTTTTTTAAATGTACGGAGAACGTAGTTGTAAAATCTGAATAATTGAATATGATTTTAATTTTATTATAAACATTGAAATTGTCCTAATAAATAGTAATTTTAAAGGCCTTTGTCTTGTTTTATTTTTTAATAATAATATACATTGTAAAATTGTTGTCTGTGTGGATAACAGCTAGTTATGACCACGTCATTTGGTCCAAGTCTGACCTTAATTTTTTCTTTGTTTGGTCGATTTGCAAAGGCCAACTACGGTCAACAGAATTAAAATACAGGCAGTCCACGACTTATGTCGTTTCAAGTTACGTCGAACATGTTTTAGACACTATTCTTCAGACATAGATACTTCAATTGTTTCGATTTACGATATAGCAGAATTCACTTATCGCGAGGTCCATGTCTGTGGTGTCGGCGAGCGGGGATTTTTTTAAATTTATTCAAGTAAACTTAATTTAAGCACTTGAATACTCATAACAATTTTTTTTATCTACTGCTCATTCGGAAAGCTATCTCATCACAAGAAGAACGAGTAACTTGTGTGTTTCTTTTTTAAATAATCCTTGTAAGTTCATATTTTACAAGACGAAACGTGTAAATACAAACTACCAACCAGCACTAAATTATGAGGGTCAAATATAAATACACTATAAATTAAATCAGTCGTAGTAATAAGAGCAGACCAATCCCTACAAGCAGCTCTCGTTCACGAGTATGATGGATGAGCCAGCGATCACTGCGATCGACCGTATTTTAGGGAGCCCAATGATCCGGCCCACCATGCCGCCACATGGCAGGACATTTTAGAGAGCATGACTACTCATTCCACTCGACCACGTCATAGCTACCTAAAATACTATGTGGTAGTTACAGTATTCGCACTTTTCATAAGGATACATGCGGCAATCTACGTTATAACATATCATGAAAGCTGTATGAAAAAGAAATTATAACGTTGTCCGCTAATAAACTTATTCTTGCTAGATATCATCTATAAATTAATCTATGCTATAATACATAATAATATATGCTTTTTTAAATAACATTTGTTTAATATAAAATTTGAATTGCCTGTCTGTCTGTCATATTTAGAGTAGATCATCTAGCTGTTTATTATAGAATCCTGCGCAATTACCCCGCACATGTTTGTTTAGTTTTCTTTCGGTCAGTTTCCCTCCTAACTATATATGTAAACATGAAAAAACATATCTGGACTTAAGTCATTTTAATTTACGACGCATATAATCTAACGTGCCGTATGTACGAGGACAGTCTGTAGTTCAAATAATAAGAGACGCAAATATTATATTATTTAGGGGTTTTTATTAAAGTGAATAACTTATTAAAGCTGTAGTAATTCGAGCTTTCATTTTATCCCGATCTTGTAGATCAATTTATAATTTGGTATTTCCTATACTTTACCTGTTCATAAACGTGGTACCATTTTATGTATACTGTACCTATATCTACCCTTTACAATGAAATGTATAAGTATGACGGAACTAAATTAGTTTCTAATAAATAATGGTCGTTGTATTTATGATCTAACATTTGCATCTAATAGAGTATTACCACTACAAAGAGTTTATAAGGCCAAATTGTCAGCTATGTAATCCATAATACATAGCAGCCATACGTATCCAATTGCATATTGTCCACATGGAGGTTACGATTTGTTAACACAGTATACTCTCTTAAATATTATTATAATATAATCTACTACCAACTACTATACATATGTACAAAAAAATCACTATCTATTTATATAATTGGATAGAATAAAATGTATTTATATTTTTAATTATTTATTACACATTTACAAATTATATTTACACTTCTATGTTTCTAGTTTCTAGCTTATTGCACCACCATTATAACTTTGAGTATTACTTGATTAGGTACCTAGTATGTAAAATTTTAAATCCAAATCGTGACAAATCTTTAGTTAGATACTAATAACAACAAGTATCTTCAATAATTTATATTAGGAAATAATTACTTTCATAAAGATTCTGTTAGGTACCTATTTTGTAAAATAATGTCATGTTTAAGTTTCCAAAAGTTAAACAAATGCAAGTGAGGCTTTATATTTTCATAATCAGCGGTGGTGACACGAATTCCGTTTTAGCTCAAATGTTGTTTTTATAGTATTTTCAGCCGAGTCCCAATACAAACTTTGGTATTTGATACGCCACTTGAGGTAATTGCATTATCATTGACATCCTGAAAAGTAATGTAAACTGTTTGAACTACTAGTAATGTTGAGGCGAATTCAAAATACAACTAATTAATCTAATATTTACAAATACTCATTATAAGTAGATATAATATTATAGAATACACATCATTGCTTTATTAAACTATTGCACAGTTTATACGATTATAATTGTTACAATTATTGGATTATGAAAATAATTGCATTAATTCTATGTTTTATTAAATAAGAGATATATTTTCCCCATTGAATTGATATTGATATTGATATTGTGCACTTCCAGAAAATGTATTAAATTATGGATAGTACCTCATTACGACATTACGCTGGATTGAACAAACTGCAAATATACCAACTCTTCATAAATATATATATAAATGATATTGATATCCGTATCAAAATTCATTGCATGGTTTAGAAAAGTGGTCAACCCATCAGACATCCCCATCAACAGCGACTTAGTTTTATACTGTTTAAATAAATGTTTTTTTTTTCATCTATATAACTAAACTAAGAATTGTAGATGTTATAGGTACTTATACTCTAAAGCTACTTGCAGATAGATTGTGAGGTAAATATAAATACTATTGTACCAACCTTATTCTAAGCGTGCAGGTAGTTTCAAAATTTAGTTCCATCACCATTTATACTTGCTGTACACTAGGTATAGGTCTGTATTAAACAAGATTATAAATTAAATAGAGTTTGTTCATATATTGTCAGAGACTTTACAAAACTAAGCATAATAATAAATGAATATAGCAAGAAAAATCTGAACAATACCAAGTTATTAATGACACAAAATCTGTGATTATGGATTGTGTTATCCATAATTACAGATTTTATACTTCAAAACAATAAACCAATTTGAATTTTTCTTGATTCTACGACTTTAGCAAGTTGTCAAAAATAAGTATTTAAATGAACTAAGTTCAATATTTTTTTAGCGCAAATAATTATTGTAGATAGATGTCTATATATGTTTGCTCAAACAATTTATGCACAGCCTCTAATTTAATATTATTGACAGTCTAAGAAGAAGTTAGTAAGGTAGTAAAGGTATATCTATTTCATTCTTTGCAAGTAAGTAATCTTTCTCCCTACCCCTAAAGTAAGTATATAACTCAATTAAACATTATAATTAAGTGTGTACAAAATAAAACAAACACCAATACATCAGTACCTAATATGAAGACATATGGAGGTTTTAAGATTATGTCTCAATAAAAAACTTATTCAAACATAATGTTTACATTGTTTGTAAGTAGCACCACAACCAGTATATGACTCTACCGCTCTATGACATGACTCTTATTATACTTTGATATTAGAATCATAAAGCGCTAGACTTGGCATAAATATTAGATACAAATTTCGTCTTCAGCGTTTTCTCACTATATTAAAAACGATGAGGGTAAATATAATTAAATGTACCAACATAGATATACCACCATTGATGGAAATTAGTATGTTCATTACTACATAGGAATAAAGCAATTAATACAGCTTTTTACAAGGCGTATGTTATCCAATTGTTGTAACTGCTTGATGCAACTCACGAGACAGATAATCCATTGTAGAACCAGGCGCGCCAGGTCTGGGGTGCTGGTGAGGTACCATCAATGCGTGCTTCTATATGTCCGCACAACGCTCGGCGGTCGTGCGAGCGTCCAGAGCGCGCATCGCAAATTAGCCGTTTGCGACACTCACCATCGCATATCCCACGTCTAGGACTGTTCTTCCAGTAATGCCTACAAAAATTAAGTGTGATAATTACTGTAGCATTCCAACTGGAAGCTTACTAATGCTTATATTATCATATTAATAATGAATATTAAAATTGATCGAATATTCCGTTATGAACTGGTTTTTCTTTTGCCTATAAAGAGTTACATAATGAAATCCGCGAGTAATATAAATTATATTCCACGAGTATAGTGCAGTACTGAGGAATACTGAGCTATGTAGTTGATCATAATAAGTTTGTCTTCAAAAATATTCAAGTCTAAAACAAAATATTTATAAAATGCCGAATAGAGCACAAGTTTTTAATTATTTTGATTAGGTACTGTCTTTTGATGACTTTACATAAACGGGAAAGAATAATTGCAAATTGATATTACTTGTGATATAAGTTAAAAACTGTTTCCTGAGCAGTCATCTCGTCTATAAACTTATCCCAGTCCTGCGGTCGGAGAGCCGGCATAGAATACGCTGACCTCGCTGAGTACAACTTGTACCAGATCGGATAACCAAATTGATTTGCTTCTTTTAAGTTCATAATCCAAGTTTCATGGTCTACCACTTGCTGAAATAAATGCATATTTACAAGATGTGTCAATGAAATTTTAGTAATACCTAGTAATTAATAATGACGCTTATGTTACTATCTTCTCATAGTAAGTACGTACTCTTAATATAAATTAAAAATATAAGTAACCCAACTTATATGGCTATAAACAAGAAGAATTTATATACATGTGTATGTAATTAGAAGTATATTTTGGTTAAAGAGTCAATCTTTAACCAAAATATACTTCTAATTATATAAATTCTTTAAAATTAGGGCAAAATCATTATTGATGGGCAGCTATAAATTTACAACAGCAAAAAAATACTTTACATTCTGTGGTTGCAATATTGCTCTAAAGTCTACTCTCTCAATGTGTTTATATTAGTTTGATTGTTTATAGTTCGATTGTATTACTGTCATAGCCTAGTTTATTAATTACATAGTTTAACTCACTCTTGTTGTTGCATCATGATCACCATCCACATAATATATTCGATATCCTAGATTCAAATCGTAATAAGGAGATACGGATGGGCCCACGTAAGCTATGTTAGTGGCTCTGCCTGAAAACATCAAATTATATAAAGAATATCAATTAATCAATAACATTTAATTCATTTTTATTTTCTTTTGGAGGTATTTAATAGCCATTAGATAGTTAAGAGATCTACTCACCGAGATCGTTCGGATCGTAAAATACTTCGAATTCGTCAAAATGGGTGTGCCCGAAAAATTGTGCCGTTATTGTTGATTCGTATCTATTAATAATAGCGTAATAATTACGACTCCAAACTTTCAGGCAGTCTGAGTGTCCAGGGGGGATGTGGCCAATAATATGAACCTTTTCACCACTGAATTCGGCTGATTGCAATTCGTATATTAACCATTGCAGTTCAGTGGCGGGGTCGGTGCTGTTCATTAACAACCACCTGAAAAAGCGAATTCGCTAGAAATTAATCATTAGGCCACTGGCTTACTTGCGAACAGCCTTTAAAGACATAGAATTATTATCAGATCAATGTTATCACGAAATAATATAGTCAACTAGGTCATTAAGTGGATGACCAAATCATTTAATAATACCAGTTCTATTATTTTGTTTCAAGGTAAACGGTAAACAGTGGCATTTAATAATGCACCGAATTATCAGAATCAACTATACTAATAGTCGAACCTTTATTTCTCATGCAATAGTAGAAATAATCATTATTGAAATAAACTTAATACGAGAATAATAAATAAGTAGGGATTGATGGTAGAAGGGTGACAATTTTGGGTTATATGTACTAATAATTTTTTTTGGGGTGTGCCGCCCTTATCACTTATGGGTATGAAAAATATTATACGTCCTATTCTCAGACCTATTGAGTATAATATACACAAAATTTCATAAGAATCTGTTAAGCCGTTTCGGAGGAGTTTTGTTACCATCACTCTGATACAAGAATTGAAGATATACACATTAATATTAGAAGATATACACACGTTGTTTAAGCTAATACAAGGTTTACCAAAGCCAATATGAATTTACCGGAGGAAGGGGATTGTTAGCAATGTGAACTCATGACTCCATTACTATCAATGTATCATGTCAGGTTGACCTCCACGCGGTCCCCCTGGAAACCATCATGATAAATTGCTGGTGAATTTGTCACGATGGGCTAACTGACCTGACCTCATGTTCATTTTATCATCCTCCACTGGTGCCCCCCAGCGTAAACCGATAGCGCAGGCGGGAGCACCATTCCATTATCAAACATAAGAAATATATATATAAGTTTACCAGTTTTTATTGTTGCAATAGTTCATATTGACCGATATAATCCGGAATCCGGGTCGCACCAGCACCGAGTAGAAGGCTCCGCGACGCACTGTATAAGAGACGCCGGCAGGCAACCAACGTCGCCACTGCGCATCCAACTCATTGTACAGCCAGGCTATACTCGATTCCGGAGACGAGATGTATGGTGGTGGAAAACTGCAATCACAATTTTGGTAGAATTAAAGAATAGAATAGATAAATAAAGCCATAAAACACAATAATTGAAACCACCATGTACGTGTATACTTATTTTATACACGCATGCAAAACATTTTTATGTTTATTATTTGGTTATCTAACCAACTGACAATATTATACTAAGCTAACTTGTGTAGGTATACAGCAACATACCCTGTTTTATTTCAGAAGTGAAATCAACTTCATACTGTCCTTGAATAAAATAGTTACTTTGTGGTATGGGATATACATAATACCTGTGATAATATATACATGGAATAATATATACTTTTCATAAGGTAAAATAATGGCGTAGAATACAAAGTAGGTATATCTCTCAACCTCTGTCTCCATTTATTAGTGTCTATTTAATAAATTCATTGAATAATATAATTCGTACAATTATTGTATGTATCTATAGGTTTAATTTCCCAGATATTACTCTATATAACATTCATAGGTATACATGAGTCAGAGATAATGTGTATGGGTATTCGCATTCATATTACATAATATAATAAAAATAGCCGTTATCTATATTTTGGATCACTAAATAACAAAACGGATGTGCACCTATATGAATATTATATACCAATCAGTAACCAACATCCGCTGATTTTCACTAGATAATCAAACAACATTCATTGAAATATTACGAAAATAACCGAATATTGTTCATAATAATAATTTTTTATACTTTTACAGGTAGCTTGATGGTTGTACCTGTTTACTGGTGAAGATTCATGGTTGCCCAGTGCAGGGAAAATTGGAACTCCGGGGAACATATCCGACATTTGCGCCACAGTTTCTTGGAGGACCTTAAGGTTTTCTTCTTTCGTTTGATTCCAGACATCGTGTGGTGGAAGATCTCCCGTCCATAATATGTAATCAATGTCCTGAAATATTTGAAATCAGTACATAAATCGCGAATGTAATCCATATAGGACAGTTAGAGGTATTTTTAACTGAAAGAAGCTGTAGTTTTGCGTGTAAGATAGGTACTCGATACCTATACTCATATGTCTATCGTTATCGAACTAGACTCTGTAGACCTTTGTGTCACCTATTTGACACGCTAAGCAGTTTGCTTTTGAAACCTAGCCTGGTTGAAGAAATAAAACAATTGCGTGCATGTCTTGCGATTTCTAATGTTTAAGCTTATTTTATACTAACTATTTCCTGCGATTTCGTCTGCACAAACTTTCGTCTCCTACTTCAACCCCTAGAAGAATATGTTTTTAGATAAAAGGTAACTGTCCTTTTAAATACAATCTAGCTTCACGTTAAATTTCATCAGGATCCGTTCACACGTTTAGTCGATAAAACGTATATTAACACTCTTTTTTACCTTATATATAGATAGACAGACAGACGGACACACTTTAGTTTCTTCATTTTATTAGTTAGTACTTATGGACTATTATAATAGCTACCTAACATTTTTTATTATAATTACCATCATCAAAAAGTGGTTAGCTATAAAATCTTAATGATCATATAACTGTCCATATTTTGATAATTAATAATTAAGTATTCAGGTTAAGTATTCAGTTAATTTAGTGATAACAATATAATAAGTAAGTATTATACCTATTGTATTGATAGGTTTGTATAAACAATTAGTCATCTATATGACCAATATACTTAAATACTGACTTATGTAGACGTATTAATTTATTATTTTTTTACACAATATAACTTCTTTGTTAGCCAGTTGATTTGTTAATAATAAATAATAATTAATTAATGGGATGATTTCTAAATTGTTTTTATCTATATGATACATATTGATATGTATCATATAGATACATATGTGGCGTACAACATAACGCGTTTTCAATCCAAGCATAGAATATTATGAAGTTATAAGAGAAAATTAAAAAAACAGAAATGCTCTTTTAACATAAACTGTAGATTCACGCTTTATAATTATATACCTAGGATGACGATAGATAAGAGATATCGTTAGATGCTACTAAGTTATTGTACTATCTGCCGTCATATTAATTAGATTTTTTTTAAATTAATTATATAATACAGGCATATCAGAGTGTTGTCTCACCGAGCAATAATCCATAAAAAATAAGGGAAAAAAGAAGACAGCGATCTTACTGTGTGTGTATCAGCAATATGTTTCAACATGTGGTCAATGGTTCGTTTGGGTGTATCACATTTACGGTAATCTCCCCAGCGGCCGGCTCCGCTGGCCGGTGTTAGCACTGGACCGCTCGATGCACGGCAGCAGAGCGGTTCGTTGCATTCTGCGTTGGCACCTGCAACATACGTAAAAACCTGTGTTTTATTTCCAAGGGTGAGACATGACAGTGAAACTATTGGGCATGATACTACAGTTCTCCAGAATGGAAAAACATAAATGTTCGTGTTGCTGTTCATGCATATAAGAGACGGTTGCCACTTACAAGTCTTTTGTTTACTATTCTAGTTATATAAATAAAATTTTTTCTATCGATTATTTTCATTAATCAGTAATATTTCAAATATATTATTATGAAATGAGTGTCTAAATCTATTATTACCCATAATACAGATTACAAATATAAGAATACCTACCTATATTGATTTTACTTTCTTAATTTAGATGTAAATATGTCGTGTATAATAAAATATATACGACACATACATGCAGGTACGCAAACACAATACATTAAAAACTATTAACATACCTTCGGCATAGTAAGGATCAAAGTGCGTGTCAGAAATTTGTAAGACTTTGAATGTTGGTGCTTTGTCAACAGGAATATCAAGTGAACGCGTAGATGGCTTCGGCACTGGTGGAAAAGACACTTCCCATTCATGGTATGGGTTGTAAACGTCACCGCAAGCATCTCCTATTACAAAACTGCATATTTCATTGGGACCTATAGTAATACGTTTTAACACGTATACAACTTCACTCTAAAATCAGAAAAGATAATTTCTGTAAATAATAAACAATGTAATATATACTAAAAGTATTTGAGATAAAGAGTTCTTACCCCAAAAAGTCGCGTTACACCTTCACAAACACGGGTGGATTGAATATTCAAAGATACACAAAACTGATAGATCATTTTTGTAATTTCATCCTTGCTTTTCCCTGCTTTGATATAATGTTGCAGAAGGCCGGCTCCGGCTTTGCATGCTGTACAAGAGACTTTAGACATTACAGAGTGTTCTACTTCATAATAAACTTGTTTTAAATTGAGCAATTTCAAAGCTTTTTCCACAAATAGAGGCAAGTTAGTACTCTTGTCATTGTCCCATAGTAATCGTGAATAATTTCTTTTCAGTGCAGCCATATGAGCGATTAATTCGGTTTCGTTGGCTGAAGGAGGCAGTTTGTGAGTGAAGTTGGATGGCACAAAGAATGGCTCTTCGTTTCGTGGTGTTATTGTCCAATTCCATTCGTCTACAGGTGGGTTCCATTTTATTAAAGCTTTGCTATCTCTTGTTTGTTGAAAAAATATAGGACTACCTGAAAGTATAAGGCAGTTTTAATATAAGATAATATTACATAGTTGCACATTTAAATATTTAGGGAAGTTATTAAATAATATTAATATATTATTATTCTATTATATAGAATGATATCTAAAAAAGTTAATTAGAAGATGATCAGGTATACCTAACATTTTTGTGTGCAGGAAAGCATGTGTTGATGTCGGAACTCCATTGATTGATATGTACCTACTAATTATTGTTACTTACATAAATGTAACAAAATTACTTAATTTACTCATACATACACTTGTATGTATGAGTTGTATACGACACATAAGTATATTTCATTTTAGAATTATGAATTTATCTGCTAAAATCTTAACTCTTTCCCTATATTATAATATAATATGAATGAATAGACGATCTTGACTAGAAAACAAAATAATTAATTATTAAACAATTATTCAAAATAGCAACACGCAAGTTTCTTGCTTGTTCTTATGATGAGTATGATGAGTAGCTTTCCAGTATGATTGAACGAACGGTAGATTAAAAAGATAACTATTCTAAAATGCTTAGATAAAGTTTATTTAAATAAATTATTTCTATTCTAATTAATTACCTGATACCAAGACTGCTATGGCGACAGTAATCAATATATGCAGAAGCCATGATATTCTAATAATCATAACTGAAAAGTGCAGAAGGAGGAAGCGTCTGTAACAAAATAAGGCTATATCAATTTAAAATAATTAAATAAATAAAATTGGGTAAACATTGACTACTAGATATGCATTGATTTCGGTGGTCTAGTTTAATACATCAACTTACTTCCAATGGCCAAGGGTTCGATTCCCCGCATTATGATGGCATTTGTATTCATGAGAATGATTGTTTTGTATTGATCTGGATGATTTCTATGTAACGTATTTACAAAAAAAAATGTATTTCAGTATTTCTATCTGTTGACTAGTACCCATTATACAATTTGAGTTTAATTTGGGAATTTGGCACTCTCTTTCAGGTTGATGCAACTAAGTACTTTACTACAAATAATTATGTGGACGACAAAAATGTGTGTACCTAATCGATCATATCTAGCTGTATAGCATCGCCGACGTGACTGGATAGATTCACTCACGTAATCGTGGACGATTATTTTATTAATTTTATAATCATAATAATATATGTACATTATTACTACTAATATATGGATATTATATTATGAAGAACATTTGCATCATCCTATCACTTTTATTTAAATAATTTTCGTAACATTATCAATAGTTACACATTTAATATACAAAAATATTGTGATTTTGTTCATCGTAATACTATGTATAAATAAATAGAATAAATATATTAATATTATATGTCTATATCCTATATATATGTTGTTATTATTGCGTAATCCATTAACAGTAGCATTGTGTTATTATCTGTACGATGTAGTTATATTATATTCCTTTTTCCGCTAATAACTACGAATCATATTAAAATATAATAATTAAGTATGTGACCATATTAAAATAAAATTACTTACATACATAGTTACTTATGAGATGTTTTTCAAGCAATTTTCTTGTAGATACCTATTAGATATTTGCCTAAACTCTATAATAATTATCTATTTCTCATAGAGTTACCATTTAATTTGTAATCGACCACCAACTTAAACCAGGGCTTAGTCATTACGTTTCAAGATTAGACATAAATAAGCAATAAAACATACTTGAGAAGACCCTGATTACTGGCAATAAACGTGGTAAATACATATTTTAGAAATTATTATATGTAAGTACTTCCATTATTAGGATAATGTGAGTAACGTAATAAAACTTATGGGATATTTACTAGCATTTATCATTTTATTTATTGGATAATATAGGATCCATAAATTATCCAAAAATATGGGTATTAGATATATAATAAAAGATTTAATCATTTTCTACTAAACTTTCGAATCACAGGAACATGTAGAAAATCCTCAGTGAAAGTAGGTTAAGCGGACGATGGGCGACTTGTTAATATTATAACATAAAACCTCGTAACGATTTATAATATAGTTTTGTTATTATTATAACATAGTTATGTAACTCGTTAAATTATTATAGCCAGTTGATGTCCAATATATTATGTGGTCTCTCTTTAACATTTCAAACAAGTTGTTTACCTACCTATTTACGAGTAATAAATAATAATATACAAAAAATAGGTATCAAAATATTTACGCCAAGTTATGACAGAGAATACCAAATATCAAATACGGAAATACCTGTATCCTTATGAGGTTTTCTTGCTTTCTCCACTATCGTAACGAGAATACCTGCTATATAGGTACTTTACATGTCGGCACAGTATCTTTACTTTTATATCAGCCAAAGCACAATCTATTATATTTTATCTCGATAATGTAATTTAAACACCCTTGGTTACATAAATCCTTCCCCATTTGTGAAAGTTATGACAAATATATCTATTAACTGAAAAATATCTCTGTATATACGGACACATAAATTTGACAAAACTAGCTAAATTTCGTTGGAAAATATAAGTGATTTACGCTTCTTGTGTTCCGTTTCTTCGATCACAAATTACGACTTCCTTGGAATAAAAATATCGCAGTCTTACTTTATAGGCGAGGTAAATAACAGTAAAAAACATAATAGAATTAAAAGACTGCTTTACCAACGATCTCCATATTCTTTGATAGAGTTGATGGAGATCGTTGGTAAGGTAGTCTACTAGTGGTTAGCATAATATCTATATGACCATGTAGGTAGCTCTGAATGATATCTTGCGAAAGCGCCCATGACACTAAAAGTGGAAACTCCTATCGAAGTTGCTATGCTCCGTATAGCAACTTCTATTTTGCATGTTCAACGAGACACAATAATTCACAGTGTGAAACCGAATTGCATATATTTATGAATCAGCAGATTTTACTGGCGGCAGCAGTACGCGGACGTGGGCTGCCACTTTCTCCGCGCTTCATTGACTTTGTTGGAAAGTGACGGTGGTATCGCACACGACGCGTTTACTTATCGTAACTTGGCACCAACAATGAAATTACTTAATGTATCTTTTTATCGTCGTAAATTGATTACGACTCTAGAATATATTTAATATGAAGTCATAAATGTCATACATAAAAAAGTTATATGTTAATATCATACTAGCAAACATAAGTTAGGTGAAATCATACATTATTAGATACTATATTCTTATTAATACAGTACCGTGGAGTTTCTTTCTAATGTACATGACGATACGAAGTGTATTGTTGTTGTGTCATGACAAAATTATAAACTGTAATAATACTGCACTAATTTAATAGTATTTATTTATTATTTATTAAAACTTTAATGCACATAATTGAATGTACATATGGCGGACTTAACACCATGCGGCATTACCTACCAGTCAACCATGGGTGGTGCAGAGAATAATTGTTGGAGGTGCAAATTTAAAAAAAATATTTAAAACGATACACATAAAAATATATATATAAATAAATAACTTACTTTATTATATATATACTTACATAAACCATACATAAATACATATTTAATAATCTGACAATGAAATATCATAGTATTACTATTATCATAACAATAGTATTGTTATTGTTAATTACAATAAAATTGAAGATTTGTCAACGCGCATTAAATGATGCATCGTATCGCTTACAGAAAGCAATAAGTAATTTATTTTTATACTAGCTGTACACGCGACTTCGTCCGCGCGGAATTAACTTCATTTTTTACAATAAAAGTATAACCTAAGTTACTCCTTATCAGTTACCTGCTAAAAAAAAGTCCCGTCAAAATAGGTCCAGCTATTTCAGAGATTAGCCGGAACAAATAGACAGACAAAAATTGTAATTCATATGCACGTAGTAAAAAACTATTATTTCACTATTACAAACAGACACTCCAATTTTATTTATGTGTATAATTAAATATGTCATACGTCCTAAGTTCGTTATTATTTATTTATTTGTACGTTAATTTCTGATTTGAATATGTGTTAAAATTGCATCGAAATACATTATATGATAGATAGATAAACGCCATAGTGTATTGACTAATAAAATTATTATATGGTACATATTAATTAGATATGTCGTATTAATATATGTATTCGAAGATACTACTTTAATTACAATCTATGTCTCAGTGTTATAAAAATAAATATAATTACATGTATTTTATAATATCAGTGTAAAATGTTATTATGTTTAAAAAAACATGAGTCAGTACGTAGGTACGCAAGCTAATGTTTTAAAGCTAAAATAAGTAGGTAATAAATAATATCTCAGGACAATTTACATAGCGACGTCTGTGTAGTCTCAAGCTAAGCACAAGCTCTGCTTGTGTTACTGACATCTTATATAAATACATAGATATTTTTTGTTGTAAATACATACATATAGTACATAGAAAACACTCAGACCGATATAAACGATCAGACTCATGAATACAAATGTTTGTACCGTGCGAGGAATAGAATCCACGATCCTCGGAAGTAAGGAGGTGAGCTAATACCTACTCTAGACCACGGAGACTGTCATAATAAAAAAGTAGAATTGATGATGACCATACTGAACCATACTAACCATACTGAAGATAGCCGCTGTGCCCGCGGTTTCGCCCGCGTTAAATTTCAATATAAAATATAGGCTATGTGTTATTCTGATGCATAAGTTATATTACTGTAAAGTTTCATCAAAATCAGTTTCGTAGTTTTTGCATGAAAGAGTAACAACCACCCATACACCCAAACTTTCGTGTTTATAATATTATTAAGGTAGATAATACTGATACCCAATGCCAGTTATTTCGTATTTTGCAGTATACAAATAATTAAATGATAAATAGGAACGCCATTTTTTATATTGAATATCAGTCTCTTTATGGAACTCGCAAGGTCATTGAAACTATACACTACCAACTTGGGACGTTGAACTCACCTATAAATAAAACTGTATTTCATCTATATAACTTACATAAATTATGTTTTTATCTAAAGTAGGTAAAAGCTATTTAACAAGTCGCTGTCCATCTGTTATCGTCTGTTTGTCTTATTATTTTTTCTAAACTGTTGTAGAAAAGTGATTGCTAGATTGGTGACAAATGACCCCATTACTAATATTGTACCCTCTGAGTTCAACCGTCATAATGTCCCCCTTAGATACCATCATAGTTTATTCGATATAAATTTTAAACGAGGGGCCAATTAATCAGACTTTATCCTCGTTAGAGATGTTTCACCATAGTATAACGGCAGCGTAGGTGACGTCAGAATTCTCTCATCATCTACGTAAAAAACAGTAACAGTAATTTTGTTACGGTTGTCTAAAAATGTATTTATTATAAAATGTTTACTGTGTTGTCTGGAAGAGATTGCTTATACTATAAGAGCGCATTTTATACCTTATTATTTTTATTTATATTCTTTATAATTTACTTCTGGTGCAATAAAGAGTAAAAAATAAATAAAACATCTCTGTATATAAAGTATCAAATCAGTAATAAAATGCAAAGAAAGCCTAAGCGACGACCGCACTCCAATCTTTCTACTTTTGACTTTCTGTGAATCCAAGTTCGTGCCAAATAAAGTCGATGTCTTTTAATCCAGCCGGAGCAGGTTGCAGCTCTCTTATTTATTTTCATGCCACGTTTTTTCTAGATAGACACCGGTGAACCGAGTGCTGATGGTTATGTCAAAATAACACGTGCTTATGGATTTAGATTTACATTCAATAGTCCGTTAAACTGGCCAGTTACTCAATGTGCACGCGAGAGGAGTATTTATATCAATAATGAGTAAACGTAGCTATGTGGAGATACACCGTTTTAAGAATAATAAAGAAGTAAATTTAAATTATTAGTGCCGTGATAGACATTCAACCGAGCATGAGTCAAGGATTAACATGTCCGGACCACTTTCATCTGAACACCTTTCTGACCGCCAGGTAATCACTGTCATATCCACTTTCACTGTTACCAATTGTCTTTTTCATGGTCATTATTCGTCCGTTCCAGAGGTTACTTTATAGTTGTGAGTATACAGACAATACACGTACCTAATACAAAGACAAAGCGAACATTATACGGTTACCTTCCATGTTTTATGAACTTAAAAGTCATGAAGAATTCGTCGTATAAATTAAATTACTTTCTGTCTGTTTATATCTTGATTTTATTATTCATATTTATTCTTTGACCCGCGCAACATCGTCTGCATCACATTTACATGACATTCATCATTATATTTCGCCCAAATTTACATAATATCTTTTAAAATTATAGCCTACGTGTTATTATGATGTATAAGCTGTATTACTGTAAAGTTTCATCACGTCATTTGTTATAATATCATATATATATATATATATACTTGCGTATATATATATATATATATATATATATATACGCAAGTAAATACATAGTTGACCAGTGCACCTATCGATAGTTCTGTTATATTTTTTCATTTAACATTCTATAGACTACTAAACTACTAAACAAGGAAAACACGATTGCTAATCGTACTAATACAAAGAAAATCATTGCTCTACAACTAAGTGAGGTACGATACATATCTACATTGCTCAATTGGTTAATCGACATCGTTATTACATAATAATGTTGTTGATTAGAAATACAAATTAATTAGACAATGTTGTTTTTTAATTGAAATAAAAACAACCGTTATCAAAGTACTAATTTAAAAAAGATTATGGTAAACAAGGAATGAGATAATTTATAGTAGCTACATCATCGCATAAATATATTTCTTAGACCTAATTTAATTGTTCTTTTACAAATATAAAGTTACCTATGGATTTTAAATGATTAACGATTACATATATATTTTTTACTTCTTGTTTACATGTATATTAAGAGGCAAATGAAAGTACTATAAATAATTAAAAATGTACATTTAAAAAAAAGATTACTTTACAAGCATCGAAAACTTAAATTCTTTTAAATAATAAAATGACATTCTCTTTATGATACATCTATGTAAGTTTTTTTTTATTAAATTTATTCAAGGACGCGCCAGCCTTTTACTTTCTGGAGAAGAGTCCTTGCTCGGATCCAGACAGCCTTTACGTAAACTTTCATTTGGTTCATCGAACTCACTTTCACCTACCGATAACATTCCTATTGTGAACATTGGAATGCACTTCCATCATAACTTTTAGGAAGTCTTATGAAAGCTATTCAAATAAATACTATATTGTTTAAACAATCCTATTAAGTTACGTGACAACTACACCTACATACTTTGAATTATTATTTAGCTTTATAAATTAGAAATAAAATTAAAACTGTATTATTAGAACGTTATTTCTAAATAATATTTTAATATTAGGTACATTGAATTCCTTAAACGGTAGCGCCGCCTTAAAAATTTAAACAGAGTCGCTTCAATCGTAACTATTAAAGATGAATATGAGAAATATGATTAGTGTTTAAAATAATAACTGATTATTTGATATGAATTTGTTGTAATAGAGAACAAGATGTAGCTTAAAATATATTTTAGTATACGCACATAATTTTATTTAACATGTTGGTCCAATCATATATGTTTCATAATAATTGTATCATAATATTTAAAAAAATAATATATATTAGATAAATAAATTACCTGCCTAGTTAGGCGTTCAAACGCAAATGAAGAGGCAGAAGCAATAGTGCTTCTGCACTGTGAATTCTGCAATGTGAATAAGTGTATAAAAGATCGAGTAGATGCTACAAGTTTAAGACCACAAGTTTCTTTTTATTTCAGGAATTACTATTAACGATACTCATTGTCAGAGTCATAGACCTAGCTAAAAAAGATTTCCTATTTTAATAATTTATGGAAGTAGGTTATACCGATTATGAATTCAATACTCAATCACGTGTTAATCATTAACAAGTACATTCAAATAATAACCCTTATCCGTAGATAAATGAATGAATGTTTATTTATTTTTCCACATATCTACATATTATAATACTAATAATACGAAAATCTGGCAATGATGATGTTATTAGATAGTGTTATATTCCTCTAGTGGACTCTTATCTATATATCTAGATATATATCTTACGCCTTCATTGTGTGAGATTACATACAATGAAGAAAGTTCTTATACTACCTTCAGTTATTTACCTCAGTTTCACAATTGCAGATCTTAAATACTATTTTAACGTGAATTTAAGGAAATATTTTCAAAAAAGAAGAATTATTCTAAATTTCCAGTTTCTAGATCGATTGAGTTGAACATTTTTATACTTTGTTATCGTTATTAATAACTTAAATTTAAAAAACAGGATATTGATAATCACTTACACTCATTAGTAATTATAAATAAAATAATGTTATAAAGACAATATAATGAAGGATAATGAACATCGCTGTTCAATCCAACCGTGAACTGATTAGTCGTAAGTTAATTGATTGATTACTTGTAGTAAATGCTGGTCGCAGTAAATGTACTCGGTGCATTGCAAGTACCATACAACCTTTTCTTTCGAGCTATTTTCTCAATTTAAAAGGAAGAATCATAACACCGTAATAACGAAGATGGGTTTGGAATAGATTTAAATTTTTATTAATAGAAGGCTAAATTAAAAAAAAAATTTGCTTTTACCGACCTATCGAGGGTTGGGATCGAGGTATCTTTTTTAATATCACATATACATTCTATTTATGATCAATCGACTTCTACGTATTTTTAAAATAATATGTAAAATGTCACAGATATAATAATTTTAAGAAAACAGTCACTCTATGTAATTATATATAAAATTACAAAAATAATACACATATCACATGATAATTGGCAGGGGAGGGAAAAGTTCCCCACTGCCCATAGCTAAGAATTATAAATTTATAACAGTCCGATAATTAAACTGGAGCCATGTTTCAATAAATCAAAATTGAGTAATCTTTAATGTACCTATAGTCTCTGATATGCGTATCGCATTCGCAATTGATGATCAGTTGGGGGCATGACTGGTCACTGAATGTGTGAAGATTTTTCTCATTTGCTATTCAGTATACGACTCGCACTGGCCATGCTATCTATAGTGGTGTATAAATAGTTGTCTCCGGCCTGGACGCCGGGAAAACATGTACATTGATTTTAACTGATAAAATAATTGCACATACCATATTGTGAGAACCCGTATTACATAATTTCTAATAAGTAAGTATACTCGTACACATCTCAAGCCAGTAGACACATGGTATTACAGGTAAGTGTGTTGATCATTTATATTTGATTTGCGTGTCTTGGGAAAACCAATTTGAAAGTATCTTTTCAAACAATTATTTTTACGATCATAAAATTAATTTTATTAATCTGACGTCATTTTATTTATCATGCAATGATACCTAATAGACCTAATAGAAATAGTTACGATATATTTGTTATAAGCTGCTCGTTAATTATAATAATGTAGTATTTGAATTAAAAACAATATATATGGCTATATAATAGCCATAAACTGAGTTAAAGCTGTTAGTTTTAGTGAAATACCTATATTCTCTGATTAATTACAGTAAATCAAAATACTCACATAGAAGTTGTGATGATATTTAAGACAACACATAACAAAAAAAAACTATTAAATTAGTAACGACGCAGAAGTAATTTACCACATGAATGATAACTAAGCTGTATAACGAAGTTAATATTAAATCAGACTTCAATTGACCTCTGTGGCCCGGCGTCTCTGATAACTACAAGAGTTTTACTTATGTTTTTTTTAGTTGATACTATTCGAGTAAAGTAAACAATTCTTTTTTAATATATATTATCTTATATATAGTAGCAGCAAAATAAGTATTTATTTTTGTGTCATACATAGTAGTGACTTTGCCAATAGCGATCGCATTATCACCTGGAGAGCCCCAAATAAAAGTGGAAAGTATAAGCTTAGCGTTAATTTTTCTCATGTAAAATATCTTTGACATAAACTTTCATACATTATATGTATTTGTCTTTGCTACTTGTGTCTAAATTAAGAATAAAGTAATTATTTTTATTAATTTTGAAAATGTTATTAATTTGGAACGAAAGGACATGAAAAAGCTTTAAACAAATAATTAATTAATTGACTGATAATAATAACTTCTTGTACCTATTCCAATTTTAGAAGTCATTGTACTCTACTATAATCTACATTTGCAATGTTTGTCAAAGTGGTTGTGGAAATAACAGTATATCGTAACTAATAATTTCCATAATTTCAATACAGTTAACCTGCTTATAATTATACTGCTCAATCAGTTTGTACCTATTAGGTAGGTTTAAGATACAAATCACACTATTATATAATAATAGGTTGACTAGACATTTCAAATAACATTATGAATGAGGGGTACCCGACTACTAGGGGAGCTCTATTGTATTATGTGATATCCTTGGTGATATCCAAGTGTTCATGTAAGAACTACCTGTGATGAAAACTAGTGAATGAAAACGACGGTTATATTTTATCAGGTACTCGTAAAATTTATTCTTATTTCAATTAATTAATACAAAACAGTATAAAAGAGCCAAAAGCAGTACCCAATATGTCTAGTAAAAATAGTAAATTTTTCTTTTTAGAAAACGATATCGATAGTATCCACAAATCATCATAAAACAAATACCCATATAATTCATATTAAATATGGCTTTTACATGAAATATTAATTATAAATAGATTCATTGACTCCATTTTCAGATATTATCACTTTTATTGTTATCCTAAGTACCTTAAAAATATGACTCAACCTACCTATATATAAATACCTACCTAAATATTTACTCATAACATTACCTAATAAATGAAATACTGAAGCCTTACCTAATAAATGATACACTGTACTGCATTGCTTGTATCTCATATACTCGTACTTACCTACATTTTAATGTTGGCCGTCTGTAATACACTCTACTATTATAGATGTGGAAATACTTAATTCACCCTTAATATTAGCAATATTATTAACAAGTAGGGTAATTTGTTCAACTTAAAAATTCCTAAAATAGGCATTAAAATATAAATAATATTTTAATGAAATTAATATGGAACTAACGCAAGACATTAAACCGTCATCATTTACAAGAATAACTATCGCAATCCTTTGAATTTTACGAAGGACCATAAATACATAATAATGCTGTCATATTGAGAGCGTCTCCTTTTTCCAGAGTATTTTTTAAATTGATAGGTATTAACTATTAATTATTATTAAGATTTTATTACGGACTCGATTACGTAACATATTTTTTTTTAAATATAAGGTTGAATACTTAGTACGAAAAAAAAGTTTATGTTCGTAGCACCATCAGGTCATCTGTATGGTCTCATAATATTGATTTGTCGCCAGATTACCATACGGGTGTAATATTTTTGCTCTAATGGATAGCAGTACAGTAGTAAGAACCTAGTTGTATCCTGTGCCTGTGGAAGTTATAAATCTAAAGTATTAAAGATAGGTCATCTTGAACATCAGGCTATATATACTAAATGACATAAAACATTATATATAAATATGTGAACTTCATTACCTTGCCTAAGCTAATACGGTTACGCTGGCTGAGTCACAGTGGAAGATGTTGAATAAAGACGAGGTCAGATCAATTTACCCTATATGGTGAATTCATTAGGAATTGACCTGGTCAAAATCTAGGATTCTTGATGATAATGACTCAGTTACTTTGGTAGATCGACTTCTCTAACGTTGGCTACCACTAGTATATTTAGTGAAGTAAATAATAATATCCAACACGACTATTAAACTCATGCAATTCAAAAGAGACAGAATACAGAACACTTCAGAAGTACCTATTCTTAATTTGATAAAATAACAATCGGATCCAGACATTACTTATGCAACCTGCCTTCCACTGCATTCAGAATTATCGTGATTATTCCAATGCATAATAAATAACTAGATTAAATTCAAAATTAAAAATTGTAATTACAATAGAATTACACAAAAGAGATAACTGTATGTGTCAGTTACAATAGCAATACTAACAGTGCATACTAACGGTACGAAATCCATTAAATACAATAGAAACAAAGCAAATTGTTGTAACTAACTGCAAAGTGTACCAGGTAATTAGTTAAATTTGTACATACATTATTATATAATGTTAATAGTAAGTTATAATATCACTGGCTATTAAACGTCTGTAGTTTACGATTGTAGAGTAGGGAACAAACAATTTATTTGTGATAATTTCAGCGTTATTGATATAAAAATTAAACCTGAATAAACCTAACATCTCTCATGTACCAGTACCTATAAAATAACAAAATGATATTCTACTTCGTTTATTGACCTATGTAAAAACTTCTTTACATAAGTATACGACTTATCGTATACAAACTTATCATAATATACGGGAATGATATTTTCCAAAATACAATATAAATTCATTAAATACACACACAATGGAATAATATGTCTAAAAATCTAATAGAATATAATTACATTTCATATTATGTAAGTAAATAAACACCTAATGAATGATATATTTAATAGTTTATTTAGTAGATATTATAAATAATTCTTCGTTTACTGAACAATAAAGGTGCAGTAAAAATTTACAGGCCGGTATTAAACAAAATATTAGAGAATAAACTAACCAAACAAGAAATTAACTTAGTAGAGAAAATTATTAAAAAGTTTTGCGCGATACTTTCGCCATTTCAGAATTAGTTTTGATTAAATATTTGGAATAATTTATTCTCATATCATTCTAATACATTATTATTAGTAGAATAATATACGTATACTCGCTCGTTGTACTAGATACTATTCGCTTTGTATGTTGTGTTGTTATTAAGTTTATCTCGATGTATGTCGTAAGCAGTCGTCTGACTTAGAATTTTGTACTAAAGCCTATACCGAGAATGAATATCATCACATTACTGAATTTAGGACAGCTGTTTGTATGCGACAGAGGTGCATAGTACATATATGAAATCACTTATGATTCCAGGCACATCAAGATTCGCCGTTAACCTCGTTCGGGTCAACAGAAGAAAGTAAGTAGTAGTTATAATACACGCTGTAAATTAGAGTAGGTTTATATTTATTACACTATTTTTCTTATTACTTTCGACACATATGTATATACATATATTTGACATCTAAAATAGAACAATATCACTTAACGCACTTCTGGTATAGTATGTAAGATATCAGTTCCTTACCCACTGTGCCTTGATTATATATTTTTATATTTAATATAAATTCGTTTTATACTACTAGAGTATACATTTACAATACATTTGCTAAATATATAAAGGACTGAACTTCTTATTGTTGTAAGAAAGGTAATGCAATTAATGAGCTTCATACATTAAAAATACATGTACATACTGGTATGCGATTTTATACATAATATCTATATATGTGATGTTTCACGATATATCAGTAAATTGACAATCTGTATATTTACAAAATGTTGATATTTAATCCTGTATCTGTGTGATAGTAGGCGTAAATAATATAACCGGTTTAGTTTCACATCGCCGGATAAGACTCTTTTTATTTTATTTCAAAGTGTAGCGTTCCACCGATCAACTTTTTGCAGTGTATCCAGTGGCAAGTCATTGTAGAGTTAAGTAAACTAAGATGCAGCTCTTAATATAAAAAGTTACTCCTATTATATTGGTTTTATTAGTACAATAACAACATTTTATTAAATTATTGTTAGAATTATATCTAATTTGTCTTGCTCTGGGCCACAGCTTGACGTTATAGATTTGACCTTACGAATATGTTTATGATAGAGACTAAATATGAATGATTCTGTACCTGGCACCGACTATTTGAATGCATATTTTTATTTCTCACGTCATGAATTTGTTAGAATTCGATAGAAAATAACAAAACGAATATCGGTAGAAGGAATATCTACGTTTCTTTTCACTTCAGTCAACATATGACATAACAAGTATTATCTTACATATACATACATATCATAGGTTGTATTCATGTTAGAAAATAAAACGAAAGATTTTTAGATAATAAGTGAATATTTTTATATATTCTAAATAAAAAGTAAATATGTATAGTAAATACATATTTTTATTATTAGAAGTGAAAAAATATTCACTTATTATTTAAAAATAAATAACGTTTAAATGGTCTTCGTAAATAAAGACCATTCTAACGTACCTACCTATATTTAGCAAAATTTTACATAGATGATAATAATATATTTTATTTCTAATAATATCTATATAAAATATTCACGTCATGGTTTATTTTGCGATTTTGATTAAAAATATTCTTATCACGCAACCGTGTGACATACTACGTAAGTACACATAATTATTAGTTAAGTAGGAATTTGTCGAAATATCCATCTAAAGATTCCCAGGCAAAGCCGTAAAAATACTAGTCTTAATGTGATCAGTTAGATAAGACTAAAAATTTTGATTTCTAAATAATTCGCATAAATGAATGGTTGAAACGAGAAAGTTGAATAATAACTAGTTCCGTCATCAACCTATATATACGTAGTGGTGGTGCATACCTAGATTAGTGCAATGCAACAATATAATATGTACTTGCGTCCAAGATTCTGAAAATAAGCAAAAAAATATTTTAAACCTTAAATTTCTTCACATTCACCGTAAGGGCCTGTTCTTGGTCCACTTTTATTCTTTGTTTATTCCCTTCAATTTTGCTAAATCGGACAGATGTAGTACAGTATTTACTGTTTACAGAATATTTTTTTTAATGGACAGGCTGAAATTATTACGATATAACTAGGGCATTTATGTTTCATATTATATGATTTTTAGTCACATTGATATCAAATATATAAATATGCATTAAACCATAGAAAATATATAATTAATATATAATTACATATATCGATAATGCGTCAGCAATTCAATGTCCATTACAATATACTGGATATCGTACGTCTTGTAATTATAGATTCTACTATTTTTCTCGGATGGAGAATCACGTGATAATACGTGTAATTCTACAGCTTATAATGTAGGTACTTATATCAATACTGCTAAATTAGTTTGATTTAATTACTTTCTTAGTGCATTAAACCCTTATAAATTATTATTATGTGCTAAAGCAATTTATATTAACAAGAGTTACAAAAATGTACCATTCTTACAATTTAACGGATGGACATTATATATGGGACGTTAATAGAGACTTAAACAAAAACTTTTTCTAAGGTAAGATAAACCTTAGCAAAATATAATTTAATAGATACCTACAAATAACTTTTGAAGGAATTGTGATAAAATTTTAATGAGACACCGAATGATATTCTGTTCATATACCTACCTCTGTAGGTAAGTATATGAACAGAATATCCTTCGGTCTATATTTCTATTGTTATTAAATGATTATTTATGTCAGTTATATACTGATACCTACTCCTAAATAAGCAAATTATTATATTGACAAACCAATATTAACGAAAACATTAATTGTGTTACCAGTTCTTATTAATTGAATAAGTCAGCGGAACTGAACTGGAAAAATTACAAGAATCAACAATCCTATCACCTGTGAAGTATGTTTTTTTAGTTTAATTTCGCTTTAACACACACATTATACTTTTGAAGTGTATCGTAATGTAATTATTTTAAGGTAATATTTCAATATTACCTTAAAATAATTTTTATTTGTAAAAATGCCACTATGTTAAAGGACACAGTACTAAAGTGTTTACATAACAGTATACGTAACTGTAAATCATCATCATTAAATACACCTACAAAACAGAATTACCCTACGGTTAGTGTATAAGTCATAAGATACCCGACGCGATGTCTCGTTACTTTTCATGAGCTTGTTAACAATTTTTATTTTCAAGACATATACACAAACATAATAAAAATGTAACTGGACTCTATCTGTACGCAGATTATTATGATAAAAACTACTTTTGGAGAACTTTAGCGAAGAAATAAAAATGGAAACTGTTATTATTAAAATTTTAGTCTTTGTTTGTCTGTGCATTTACGTGCACTAATCTTAGAAATGGCTAAACCGATTTAGTTGTGAATTTCACTGATGTATGCATTACAATAAGCTTTATTTAAAATATTGTTTACAAATAACAAAATATATGTATACAAACTCATAGGCTCTACTAGTACCTTTAAAATAAAATAAATAAATAACCTAGAAATAGACACCTTTGCCATCTATATACAGGAATTATTTACTGACGATAGAGGTTTTGCCATAATATTCTTATGCTTAAATTAAAACAACTATATGTATGTATTATTTTTATAGTAATCCATGAGCGCTTGCCTTTTTTAGCTATTAGATATAATATAGTGATTCCGATTTTTGGAAATTGTATAGACTTGATTGCATTCTGGCAAATCTTCCATTTTCACGTCAGATCATTTATGGTGTACGTAGTGAACACCAAGAACTATACTTTATTCGTTTAAATTAAAAACCATGATTCACTCATTAAACATCATAGGGAGATTCATTCCTTTCAGCCAACTCCATATAATTATATTAAGTATGTTTTATAGTTTAGTAGAAAATACAGTAGTTTTTATTGCGGTATACTTCCTAATAAGTATGCAAGTGTAAAGTAGAATACAATCGCAGTAAAAACGATGAGAACCTGAGTAATTTTCACTTTTCAGATAGCTACGTGTAGCTGGTAACAAGTAGAGATAACTTGTCACATGAGTTATAAATTATTAACCCAAGTGGTAGATGGGTATTCGTTGTATACTGAACGCTCTCTCTGCGGACAGCACGTAAGTAATTTTTGCAAACTTGTTTTTAATTCATGCAGTCGTTATACTTTATGACCAACTGACACTCCTTACTCTTAAAATATGTTGTACAATTTGATATGTTTATTTAATGTATTACTTTTGAACATACAAAATAGCATATTACATAGTGAAATCAAATATCTACCGCTATTGTCTTAGGATAATATCTTATGACATTTAATATCAACAACAGAGTAATGCAGTAGGCATTAATGTAGATATAGTAAGATAATAGTAAGAAGAAATTAAGTTAATATAAATCTGACGTTTGCGCGTTTGTTTGACAACCGCGAGTTTTGAAAAAGGTAAACTACTTTTCAAGTTGTTTTAAGTAGTTCACGCAGGATATGTTATAAGTAGACATATCTCCAATTAACTGCAGTTTTAGATATAAGTAAGCTGCTAAATGTAGAGATTTTCATTTATTATTCTTAATCAAAGTATTTGCACATTAGTATTAATCAATTTGTAGGTAATAGATGGTGCAATATACTGTTGTTACTTATATAAGATTAAAACAAATATTAATTTCTACATTATGTCATAGGTAATCAAAGTAAACGGCTTGCATTTTATATTAGTTGTACTGTTTGTAAAAATGTCACGGCTCAACAAATTATTCGAAATGTGATACCTATATTTCAGTCAATAAATCGGACAATCTAACAGTCCGACGCTGATTGGTGTCGATACTGTGCGAAGTGGGACACCTGACTTTCTGACCTACAGACGCTCTTCACGATACTTCGGTTACAAAATTGTGTAAACAAAGAACTTCAATTTCTAACTAATAAATAAAACAAATAATGTATATTTTCAATATCGCAATTTAAAATCCTTACCTTATAGAAATATAAATAATCTGTTCCTCATTAAGGTTGTCCAAAAGCCAAGAAATCGTATTACGGTTACTGTGCAAATAACAACATTTCACTAGTCTTCTTTGTTACCGAACAAAAATCGCTGCATTCACATTCCTATTAATTATTTTTAAGAGAAACTGCGCTATCACTGTTCTTACGCGCATTTAGATCGTAATAGACAAGAACACTAATCTGTGTACTGAGTCCGACGTCTGTTCCAACGGAGCGAGTGACCACAACCGCACGCGGCGCGCGCAGTGAGAGTTGTGCCTTCATCCATTCCATCCACTCCCAGTGGCGTGTCGCAGCGACCGAGGAAAGCGAGGGCTGTATCCGCGAGATGCTGCACCTTGCACGTGTATCCTCATGACGCAGTACAGTACATATGGCGCGATGCGCTGTAGTTAAGGATCATGGTGACAATGCTAGCCGCGCTTTCCGCCGAGGAAAATTAACTTCTTTAACACAGTCCTCTTAATAAATCATGTACAGAACAATAGATTACATAAAGTTTAATTGTTTTGATGAGCAACTCTGACTTTCATAACAAAGAAAGTGTCTTTATGTGATGATAGTAATTCGTATAATTAATATTTTAGTCTTTTATCGTCTGTTACTGCTCTTTACATAATTTACGTGCACTTATCTAAATCTATTAATATTAAATTGTAATATTTTCTTATAGTTTTTGTTAATGTAAATGAACCAACTCTATATGGTACAAATAAATATAATACGAGGCTGGTTTTTAAATTTGGGATGATATTACATTTACTTGATTACTTAATTAATTTACTGCACTTATCTAAATCTATTAGATTATCTCTATGTAGATTTAACTCTGACATTTTCATAACTTATAAGAAATGTGTTTTAGAAAATACAACTTACAACTATTAAAAACATTACAATATATGTAAAAGGTGTGTTTTTGTTTACTTATCGTTAGAAATATTTTATAGTATTGTATCTTATAGATATTTTTTACCGACTTGTCTATACTTGGGAGTCCACAGAATTACTGTACCTACCTATTGAGAGTTTTTGTTTACATTACTTTTGGTATTTCATAAGGAGTTTAACTATATAGACATTACTATATAGTTATTAAATATTTTGTATTTGCTTAGTTTTAATTAGGTACCTTGCGTGTAAGTACAATTGCTACAAGTACTATTAACTAGTGTATATTAAAAACAGCAGATGTTCATACGGTTGGTCGCCAGCATAAAAACAATGTTACTCATGAGTGAGCACAGACCATTACCTACCGCTGGTGCACCACACGTTACCAACCCCATAGTATAGTTTTGTCCCTTACTTACAAGTCCATTGAGGTATTATCTCATCACTGTCCCACGTTGATAACCTATTCGGGGTGCTGGTGTTGGCTGGTAAGTTGTTTAGACGTTGTCCGCGGCAACGGTAGCACGATAAAAGGCACGCGGCTGCGGAGCAAACAGACGTGCACGGTAGCTTCCATTTGACAATACTTTCTTTTAATTACCATTTCTCCATACTAGAACGGTAGTATTAAAATCAAGTGCAAACATCATTAACATGTAAGTTTAAGTTTATTGATTTAACAGTAGAAAACACCCTTAATATCAGCTGATCACGTAAAGTAGAACTGAGTTTTTCACTCGACCTAGAAAATGTACTTGACCTGCCCCTGCATTTATATTTCTATTAATAGAAAAATTAATCCTTCTATGACGACCCATTTATTTAATAAAAACATGTAACATTTTTATCTATAAAGGGCATAAACTGGTCAGTAATTAAATATACTCGTAATATGCTATTATTATGTGAACATTAAAATTTTAATAATCAATCAATAGTAATTTAATCTTACAAATAACTTTATTTCATTACATAACTCTTTAAAGAGTTAGGTGTAGGTATAATTTAATTACTTTCTCCAAAATTTTTACAGTTGGTCTATATATTTTTTATAGAATCTATTACCGTACTTTGATTCAATAAATATTATATAAAATATATTAATAATATTTATAATTAATTTAACATTATTACTCAGTCCATTCACATATCAAATAATATATAAAAATAAAATCACATATAAAATATTTCATACAAGGAAATGCTTTACTTACTGTTTTTCCTGTTTGGACAAAAATATGTATGTTTAGTATTTTGTTTTGCATTATTTTACAGCATGTTTTTGTCGAAAGATATTACATACTTTCGTAACTATAGTAACTGTATGATCGGTTGGTATCGTTTGTCGAAGTTAATTAGGTACTTTGAAAATTTACACTGCGCCGGATGATTAAATTACTACTCCCCTCATGGATACGAAGAAACGGGGGAAATTATTGTTTTGTATTAATACGTATGTGATATATATATATATTAGAAGCTATAGGTACTAAACGACATTTGCCTATTATGTTGATGCAAACGAAATAATTTGTTAGTAGAGCAAATTAAAATAAAATTTATCAAATGTATTTAGATATTTTCTTCTCTCAATTTAATATAATAATATCTATAATATGTTTAATAATCGCCCTCAATTTATTGGAATATTTATATAGAGTTTAACATTTACGGTTAAAATTTGCTAATTATAAGCTTTCCTAATATTGATACATCAATAACTTATACTAATATTAACTTTTTACAATACTAAACAAATATAGCATTGTGAAAAATAGTCGATATATAAATTAATTATTGTACCTCATTTATTCTCTACTTAATAGTACCACAACTTAGATGAAAAGATAGAACTTAAAGAGAATTAATTGTATTTTCTTATTTTAACAAAGACCATATGAACATGGTATTATTAAAAAAATATTTATTGAACAATTTCTAAACGTTTCGGTATTTGGATTACCTTATTTTACTTTTAGCAATGACCTAAACACAATTATTTATTTTTGGTTTATTATTTCAGATGTTGGAAGACGTGTAACGGAATGGAGATATTTCAATCAACATAATGACATTATCAAATAATAATAAGCAAGATTTAACCATAAAGACTGATATCCATGATGGATCTACTAACTTGGATTCATTGTACTGTTCGCATCTTTGGTCAAACAGTAATTTACGTAGAGCCATTTTAAATGCACCTTGTGGAGATAATAATGTAATTAAATATTGTTACACATGTAAAGGAAAAGTTAGAAAATATGAGATAAAACTTCCAAGTGATAATTTTGTTCCAAATAATCATTCTACACCAAACGGGAAAATAATTAATGGCACTGATTATCCTATAGGAGAGTTATTGGAAAATTCCCTTTGTGAACGACCTCAGATTTATGGATCTAGTGATAAAAATATTAAAAGCCCTGAAAGATGTGCTGACATAGAAACTATAAATTCTGATATTAATGACTGCATTCCGTCAATATCTAGCCAGATTGATTCCAGCTTCCGACAAAAATTTACTTCATATGAAATGCGTTCCAATGAAAATAATCGAAGAAGATTAAGAAAAAGTCTAAGAGGCATTGAATGTATCGTGAATTTTTCTTTGACTGATAGTCCTGTGAAGAAACGTACTCAGATACAGGCATGCTCAATAAGTGTGATGATTGTAGCAATTGTAGTCATAAGTTTTGTTTTAGTAAATTTTACTACACCTAATTTTACTCGTGCAACCAAAGTAATTAGTACAATCGTAGTGCCAACAAAACAAAATGAATCGCAAAATAGTTCTTTATCTACAACAATTATTTATACTGGTGTACCTTTACTGACGGATGAGAGTACGACAGCATATCCTACAACTCTAGAACCTTTTGTTCACAGTACTGAAAACATATCATTAATGTCTAGTATCATATCAAAGATACGTAAAAATATTAGAACATATCCTAAAGATTATAAAGAACGTAATGCTTATAAAGCAAAAGACATTATAAATAGAGATTTATCTGAAAAGTTTTGTTCGTGCCAAACTAACGAAGTCTGTATGTTGGATGAAAATAGTGGAAAATCGATTTGTAAACAATCGATTGATATCGATGATCCCACAGGTGAATAAAGACTATTATTAAAATTAATACCTTCGTAATTCTACAATTTTTGTGTCTAATGATATACAAATATACTATTGTAGGTTGTGGAGGATTATGTGCCTTGGAAACAGAAGCTTGTCAATTAGTGGATAAGATGCGCGGGGTACGAGTGTGTCGTCTTCTAACGCTGGTAACCTGTTCTTCACAAGAGTGGCGATGTCGTAATGGTTTATGCGTGAGAGCAGAAGCACGCTGCGATGGTTCCATACAATGCTACGATCGCTCTGATGAAATGCATTGTGGTAAGACATAATATATCTATGTAGGTAGGACTATTAATTACATAGTAGGAAAATGGTACATTTATTGATTCATTTTTACTGAAATAGAAATACTTATAATTTAATTGCAAACGTTGCAAAGTACCTGCCACCTTAATTTGTTGTTGACGATTTTCAGATTGTGATTTGACTAAACAGTTCCGATGCGGGCATTCCATATCTTGTTTTCCAAATACAAAACTATGTGATGGGATTATTGATTGCTGGGATGGATTTGATGAAGTCAATTGCACCATCGGTAATTATTTTATCCATCAATTATTTTGAAGACAATAATATCTGTCTGTAAAATTATTACTGTATCCAAGTAGTCACATGCTTAAGTTTTTTTTAGATAATTTGCATAATTTTATTACAACAATATTCATGGACAACAAACTTAATAATGGAAGTAAATGGTCCATATACCGTTTAGTATGAACTGGGTTACGAGTGTGCTCGCTTCATCGACGACACAACCTCGCTTAAACCTAACGGGGCATCCTATACCTACTTCCACCTCTTTATTTATTTATTGATATATGTACCATTTAAAACAACTTATTTACGAGGATAATAAAATAATCATAAATTATAACGTAACTAAAGTTCACCTTCCTACGCATTTTAAGTTTTATTCTTCTGCTCAGATAGGTATATAGCCATAGTCATAGGATACATAATATATTAGTTACTCATAAATAATTTAAAACAAATAGAGCACGGCTCTATTCTGGTTTCGGGGTGAGGTATCAGTACATACATTTTTTTACCGATTCTTAGATGTTGGTTGACCTTATATTCTTAGACATATCAAGAATAACCGACCTATGGTAACAACTAGTTTATTCAAAACTATTTAGGATACATATGTGTACATTTTGCATAAACAACAAGTGTATTTTCTTCCAGAGTGTCCGAAAGATCAGTTTACGTGCACTGATGGACAATGTATTTTATCATCAAGATTCTGCGATGGTTTCATGGACTGTGAAGATGGCAGTGACGAACCCAATGGCTGTGACGGTGGCTGTAGCGCCCATGAACTTTCTTGTGTGAACCAACGCTGCGTACCTCATATGGTCCGCTGTGACGGCCATGACGACTGCGGTGATGCTACGGACGAATTGCATTGTTCCTAACATAGAATAATAATATATGCTTGTATAACAAATGGTACATTGACATGGGCATTGCCACGTATGAACCCTCATGAATCATAAGTATCGAAGGCCTAAATTTATCTGAAAAGAGTCTATTCGCTGGACGCAAACAAAACGCAGCTGCAATTCTTTCAACAATATCCTGACTACCTCCATGAAAATAGTACTGAGTACCTAAATATGATAAATAAGTATATAGATAGATTTTTCATCACCAAAAAACATTTTTTTAGTTACGTGATAAAAGTTAGTAAATATACCTATACTTATAAGTTAAATTTTTAATTGACATATACCTTACCCACACTATACTTAAAATGTAAAAATACTGAATAACTACCTACTCGCTTAGGCCATGCTTCTTTCGCAGTTGCGCATCCATGCTTCTTTCGCAGCATGTACAGTCGACACAGGTCAGAGAGCTTTGTCACATTGAAAATATTAATAATACATAAGTGAAACTCAAACAGCATTAGGTAAGTAAGTAATAAAAATTTAAATTACCAGACAATTGAGAACACAAACAAGTGTATAAGTATTACTTAGATACTTAGGTACATGACGCTAATTTGCCAATCAATACATAAAGAATAAATATAGGTAGATATTAATAGAACTAAAGTATATTAAAAGTGGATGAAATAGAGATATTAATTAAAAACCTTAAAAAATATAATATAATAACTAAAATATATTATTAAAAGGAGTCCCTCCCAGCAAAGTTTTGAAGATACTGGCAGCGTTCCCCCTTTGAATTGCTATACTAATCCTTTGTCCGAGTTAGCTGCCAGCTCTTCGGTCTTCAGTGATGTCGAGTAACCTTTTTGCTAATATTAATTTGAGTATGTGCTGATTAATGCAGGAATCAAGAATATCTTGAAATGATGTGTAGAAGGTCCTATAGGTATACTTATAAGATTGTTTTTAAAAATAAATATATCTTGTATGAATTGTGTGTAAGAGTCGAAGTTAACGCTCTAAAGGTCTAGTTCTGTAATGGGACATAGGATTATAGGATAGAGATAGTACTCTCACTCAACACTCGGCAATATTTCATTTGTCTAAGTCTCCTCTTAACTCTGTATTGATGTCAGTCTGCATCAAAGAGTAAAGTAAGAATACCAGAGGGTCTATATTAAGATTACACGTTGAGTATCTGCATTATTCATATGCCCTTGAAGCACAATATCAAATAAACGTCATACTTATGGATTAGTATAAAAATTACACGTGAATTCAAAAATTCCAAATACGTTTAGGTAGTAAAAATACAACATTATTTTAAATAATTACTTTGTTATCATTTATCAGAATCTTCTTAGTTACGGCGCAAATTAGAGAATATTAGGTACATGGATATACACGATCTGTATACCACGAACACCTACCCTATTTGTAGACATGATCAATGAAAAAACTATTCTATTAACTAATAACATCATCATATATCATTAAAATGCACAGATTTCTTTAGATGCAATTGAGATCATAAACAAACCACCAAAACTAAATGGCCCACCGCCCACATTTATTAGGTATATAGCTACCTAGATTACAATGAAATGGTCACCGTTTCATTGTAATCTAGCCTGTTATATATATTCATTGTACCCTGCAAGCTAACAATATAGGCGATGTGATTTAAAAAAATCTTTTGTAAATATTGAATTGTAACTAACGAAAAAAGAAAACATAAAAAAGAATTGGAAACTTATAAATAAACAAGGTACGAACCTTCGTCTGTGACTGTAAATAATAAATAATACAAAAAACAGTCTAGGGAGGCTGCCGGGGCCAGGGCTATGGTAGCAATAGTGGCGGTTTTTGTCGACTGATGACGACTGCATACTACATCAACATCACGAAACCAATTAATTTAAAATACTTACATAGATAAGAGCGGAACGGAGTATCCATTAAAAATAAAAAAAAATACATGGACCTACCTACATAGGTTAATCACTTCCGTATATGCATAAAGTTAGTATACCTATTATGCTTCAGAAGCTGGATTAGGTACTTTTAAATTTGGAGCCCTTTTAGATCCGCTTAAAAAAGAAAATATTAAATGTTTTTTAAGTTGGCAACTCTGCAATCTTTTTTTAATATAATTTACGGCGCCAGATTCCTTGCATTTTAAACAATAATACATTAAATTTGGTGGAACATTGTTAATTTTCTAGTTATGATTGATCACTTCGTTCTCAATGCAATCTGTTTCTTACTACAATATTTAAAGCAAAGCGTTATTATTAGGACAATAGATATAATGCTTAATGACGTTACGTAATGCAACTACAGTTATATACTTCCAATTTAATTATCTCTTTTTCCCAATAATTGAATTCTATACAAATACTATACTACACATACTGCGCGTAATTAAATAAAAGGTCTATTAATAATGAGAAGTATAATTAAAATTTTTTAGTCTGGATTGTATTTCACATTCTCCATTTTCCCACTTTAACAATTATAGCTGGCAATACCGGCTTACTTTCTCGCAATACTCGCATTCTCATCGAATCGTCTTCTATTTTTTAATTTCTTTTGGTTGACTTTCTTTTTACGTTTAATTTATGTCTGTATTAATTCAGACACAGCTGAATTTCATAAAGTGAAACAGGACTACGAAATTTTAGTTGAAACTAGTTATTTGTTCTATACTACTTAACCATGGCAGATAGTGATGATGAGTATGATCGGAAACGACGCGATAAATTTCGTGGCGAAAGAGGAGCGGCTGAGGGCAGTAGCTATCGCAGCAGTGATCGTCGTGAAGAAAGAAGTAGAGGTCGCGAAGATTGGTCTGATAGGTAATTTCTACATACTTTAACAATGCAGTAACATCAAGATAACAGTTTAATCATAAAATAAATTTTTATTACTCTTACAGATCCCAGCCATTACCTTTTGAAACTCCTAAAACCCATTCCCAAGCCTCCAAACCTACAAAACGTTCTGTAGCAATAACTGTAAGGTACTGAATTGATTGTCTATTTAAAGCAATATTGTACATGAACTACTTTTAGTCTTAATTTTAGTGAAATTATTACAAATAAAGTACAACAGATCTCACTTTTAATAGTCTTACTTATGTATACTTACTAATTTATAAATTCCTAAATATAAAATCTTGGCTTACTGTGAGGAGTTAGAATTATCATAACAAATACCATTTACTTGCAACATAAGCACAGAAAATAAAGACAAGGCAATAAAGAATTTTCATTTCATTGAACACTTTTCATTATGTTATAATACCAGAAATGTTTCCAACATTCTGCCCTCTTTTTATTATGGAAAAAAATATTCCTGTAGTGAATGTGTTAATCCTTTTTTAAAATGTATTTAAATGTTCCTGTATTTTGTAAGTGTGATTTGGACTATAGAGGAAATTAAATGATTTATTCATTATTAATTTAATTTTCTTTTTTATTAATTTGTAAATATTTAGAAATTAGAAAAAACATTAGTCATCATCATTATAGCATACTGTAGTTTTTAATGTACTTAATGACTTGCAATTCCAACCTAATGAACAATTACCTAATTACATATCAAAGTGAGACTTGCTAATGTCAATTTTTATGTATAAAATCTTTTTAAGACCTCGTGGCGGACGATCCGGGCCTGACTATAGAGACTATCGAGGTGGAGCTGGTGCTAGCCGTGGTTATTCACCAGTTAGAGGAGAAGGGCCACCAAGCAAACGTATTAGACCTGATTGGCCTATAGAAGACAGAAGATATGGAGGCATGCCACATGATTCATATGGTTCATATGGTTGGGCACATGATCACTTTGGACCACATCCAGCTCACCAAGGGTATGGTCAACCAATGCCACCAGTGCCAGCCAGGTGTGTTAATAGCTTTTACTAAATATGCAATTTTTTATTTACTTGATCACCTGCCACATTTTCCATATTGTTTATTTCATATATCACACATTCCCAAAATAAAATATATGTATGATACTAAATTTGACTAAGTGATTATGTAGATAGAGAGATTTTAGAAGGAATAAAAGATTTATAAAATACAATAAAATTTATCTATATATATAATATATAGATAAATTTATATATTTGAAATCTTTACTTCATATCTCACTTATAGTAACATTAACTAGGAACTAAGTTCATTGAGGTAATGATATTTCCTAAAAGAACTTACATCAGTTCTTTTAGTTGTATAAATTAATATTCACTAAAATTTTAGTATAAAATTATTTCATCATTAAGTAATTAAATTTTTTTTTTCTATTAATAGAGAGAATGTGCTACCAATGGGACCTGCTGATGGTCCACCTACCATGATGTCATTTAAGGCATTCTTGGCTGCTCAAGATGATTCTATTACTGTTGAAGATGCTATTAAGAAATATAATGAATACAAGCTTGAATTTAGGAGGCAGCAGCTTAATGAATTCTTTGTTGCTCATAAAGATGAAGAGTGGTATGTTTCATTAAACCATTATATTTTTATAACAAAAGTTCTTTGCTTTCATATTAATGTATTATTGTTATATCAAAGTTAATTTTTACCCCAAAAAGCTACTACAAAATATCATTGGGACCATACATAAGTCTACTTTTCATTTTAAAAAGAATCATCTGAATTATTCCAAATTGACATATGACACATAATATGCACTCGAAAAATGTATATATTGTAAAATGCAGTTAAAAATAAGAAGCCCCTACTTAAAATTATTAAAAATGTTTGGGTCACATCAAACTTTAATATTGCTGTACTTAATTCCAAAGAATAAGTCCTTCAATCTGATTGCTATTTATTACAATTTGCTGCTGTTTAAATAAATCTAACTAAACTTACAGCCATTGGATGAACTCTTACAGTAGTCACTCCATTTTTGTACTATATTGTTATTTATAAGTATATTTGTTTAGATTTCTTTAAACATGTCACGCAAATCTTAACAGTTAACCTTTTTTCCCTACAGTCTACAGTGTAATCGTGTGGAACGTTGTGCTGGACAACATTAAGAAAATTTATTACTACTTTATACAAATGATAAATGTGTGTAGCTAGTTATTCTCGCGTTGACCAGTAGCGCGCAATGCTACAGGTTTCGTTACAGTTAGGGGTAGGGCTTACGTATTCCACATGTGTGGAACAGGTGAGATTATGACGATTTTTTAAATTATTGTAAGACATTTTAGTTCTTATAAGTTGATCAAGACTTCTGGATGCCAGTCAGGTGGTTTATTTTATTAACTGTTTAAGACTGTTTTTCACATTTTACAGAAGGTTAAGTAATCATAATCATCACTGATTTCAAAAATTGTACCACAATCAAGGCATGTAAATAAATAATTTATACAAAGTACATTTTTACTCCCTAATTTTAATTTGTCAGGAATGTAATGTTCTCTCTATAATACATTAATAAAACATGTGAAAATACAGTCTTTTAATATTAGCTGTTGGTAGATTGAATAGTGTATTTTTTATAATAAATAAAGTACATACACATATAGCATATATAAACATAAATTTTATTGTTTGGTAGGTTCAAGATAAAATATCATCCTGAGGAATCTGTGAAAAGAAAAGAAGAACAACTAGGTGCCTTGAAGGTAGATAGTTTGTAATAAAATTGTATATTATCTTGTATTTATATATATATATAAACAGTAGTGCAATCCAAATATTTAACAAAAACAATAAATTTCCAGAATCGCCTCAATGTGTTTCTTGAATTGCTAGATCAAGGAGAATTAGATAAAGTAACAGTTGATGTTGACAAGTCTGAAAAGTTGATAAGGCTTCTTGACACTGTAGTCATCAAGTTGGAAGGAGGTACTGAGGAAGATCTTAAAGCATTAGATGAACCACCACCCCAGGAAACCACTAATACTGCTGCTACTGATAAGACAGGTATATAATTACTGTACACTTATTGCATTCAAACTTGTTTACTTACTTTCTGATTTCGACCTATTATGGTGTAATTAAATATTTTAGATAAAGGGGACGCCGACAAACCTGTTGTTATAGATGTGGATGCTGTAAAAGTAAAAGACGAGAAAGAAGATGAAGAAAAAAAGGAAAAGGTATATACTATATATTTTTATCTACATATCTGTACATTGAGAAAATAAATATTATCAGTGTATTATGAATGAAATCTAATATTGCAATATATTATATCTAAATAACAATACATTAATTCTCTTTTGGTCACAATTATACCTATATTGTCAATTGTGTGTGGTGGTTATGTTATTTATGAATAATAAGAAAACCGAAATTTATTACACATTTGTCAAATAGATCACAATGCTTAAGGTTTTTAATGTACATGATATATTGTAGAATTGTTTTGAATATGAGATTTGCTAGGGTTAAATTTATTTTGTTAAGTTAAACAAAGAATGACATTGATTACAGGAGAAGCCTGATTCGAGCCCTAAACCTACAGCTCCATTAACAATGGACATTGATCCGCAGTTACTCCAATTACAAGAACAGGCAAAATTGTTCTCCCGCATTAATTCTGTAACAGGGGAACCCGAACCTGAGCCTGAAGAAAAAGAGCCACGTAAGTATTGAAAATTTAAACTGGGAAATTAAAACGTCGAACGACGTTTAAAAATAGACGAAATATAGAATACGAAAGCGACGAAATATAGAACAGAGATAGTAGAAGAGTTGTATGGTATTTTTTATATTATTGTCTATTGCCCCAATATCTTAAAGGTCTTTGGTGTATATGCCTGATATATATATGTTTGCAAACATGCTTTACACTTAATTTTTTTTATTTAATTTGATAATTTAACATAATATACATAACTACTGTCACGGTTTTTATCCAGAGTTTGAGGCATTGGCAATTTCTGACTTCATCAATAAGTAACATTAGAAATTTTTACATGTGTAAGAATAATTATTCTTCTTTTTCCCTGTCCTAAACTTACCCGGAGGTGATTACTATTTTGGGATTAGGCCACCCATAATTCTATAATTTTATTTACATTATAAACTCTGTCTCTGCACTTGCACTTTTTTTTTAATATTTTAAATTACTATAAGTATCTCTGAGCAGAACAATTTATTAAATTTCTTGGTCCAACAATTCAGACTAATCAGTGCAGTGTCATTGCAAGTATGGCTATAATGCTACAGTTTATTTTCAAGTCTATTGTTTAATTTTAGCACCACCAGGATCATCATCAAGCTCATCATCCTCTAGTTCATCATCATCCAGCTCTGAAGACGAGGATGAACCTAAAATTCGGCGCAAATCCAAGTCTAAATCTAAAACACCAGATAAATCACCAAAGCAAAAAGAAAAGTCGCCGAGTGTAGAAAAAATTATAGAACCCAATGAGAATGATAAAGTTAAGGAGAAAAGTGCTGATGAAAAGTCAGAATCTGCAATTGAACCTGCTGTTGAAAAGAAAGAAACCAGGGCTCTACATAAAACTACTTCAATTTTCTTAAGAAACTTAGCTCCTACCATTACTAAAGCGGAAGTGGAAGCCGTAAGTATTATTATGATGCAATAATATGTCGAAGTTATTAATGGCTGATCACATGTCTCATACGTAATGTTTGTTGTTCAGATGTGCAAGCGTTATGGCGGTTTCTTACGTGTGGCCTTAGCCGATCCACTTCCGGAGCGGCGCTGGTTTCGACGTGGCTGGGTAACTTTCCGTCGTGAAGTCAACATTAAAGATATATGCTGGAACCTCAATAACATAAGGGTAACCATATTTAACTTTTCGTCTCATCATTTATCTTATATATAAAATTTTCGTGTCACAGTTTTCGTTCCCATACTCCTCCGAAACGGCTTGACCGATTCTCATGAAATTTTGTGAGCGTATTGAGTAGGTCTGAGAATCGGCCAACATCTATTTTTTCATCCCCCTAAATGTTAGGGGTAGTCCATTCCTAAATTTTTTATTTTTATTTTAAGGCAAAAAACGTTTGCCGGGACAGCTAGTAATATTATAAGGATTTAATATGTAAAACTTAGTATAGAAATAAAGGCTTTTTATTTATTTTGATCATTGTATATGTGTAGCTACGCGAATGCGAGTTGGGCGCGATCGTAAACCGCGACCTGCAGCGTCGCATCCGCGCTGTTTCGGGCGTGACGCTGGAGCGTGGCGTGCTGAGGGCGGACGCCCGGCTGGCCGCACGGCTCGCGCACTCGCTCGACTCCCGCTCGCGACTCTGGGGAGAGGAACCCACCAACGGCGACTCGCAGCAAAACTCGCAGGTGATCACCTCACCATTCCTCCTGTTTCAATTTTCTTGTAACCAGTGGTTGCCCAGTACTCGACATTCGACCACCATTAATTTAACATTCAGTAAGGACATGTAAAATACATTATTTTTTTATTAATTTCAGACCTTCAGCTTAAATTCGAAAAATCCAGTACTTCACAAAATAACTGAACACTTGATTGAAGAAGCGTCAACTGAGGAGGAGGAGTTATTAGGGCTCGAGGCTTCATCAGATTCATCGGCACAAGAGCAAGCGGACCCTGAGCTGGTGCGTGTGTTGGATCGCCTCGTGCTGTATCTACGAATCGTGCACTCAGTAGATTATTACAATCACTGTGAATATCCATACGAAGACGAAATGCCCAATCGCTGTGGTATCATGCACGCTCGGTCAGGACCACCTGCCAATAAGGTAATAAGTAGTCTTATCATTTTCCAAAACTAATAAATAATTAGTTTTCTTTTTCATATTAATTTATTTTCTCGTTTCTTCCAGCCAAGTCAACAAGAGGTTCAAGATTACATCAAAGCATTTGAAGGGAAAATGTCTGCATTTTTGCAAGATATTAAACCTCTTTCTGATGAGGAATTGCAAAAACTTGGTATTAAGGTAATTTGTTTTGTTGCAATCCAATTGAATAAAATAATTAAACGTTACATTCCTGTAGTTGTTTTCTGTATTTTTTTCTCTTGTTTAGGACCCTGATGCAGAAGTTGAGAAGTTTATACAAGCCAATTCTCAAGAACTGTCCAAGGATAAATGGTTGTGTCCTTTGAGCGGCAAGAAGTTCAAAGGCCCTGATTTCATTAGAAAACATATTTTCAATAAACACGCTGAAAAGGTAAGATATATTGAGTGCGGTACCTCACCTGCGGTACACATTATTGGTAAATCTTATAAAAAACAACAATAACCTAAGACCATTATCAATTAATTGACGCCGTGGTGAAGGTAGTACTTAACACACCCAAATATATTTGATTATATTTGATACTAACGTGACAAAGGGGTGATCATACCTCATATCTCTGATTTAGTAAATATATTGGTTTTCTTATCGGTTTTTTTACACTGTAGTGTCTGTTAGAAATTTAATTGTCATAATATTTTACAGTTTTCCATCTCTTCTGGAGGTATAATGTCATGGTGTTTTGCTCTCTCACATAGTTTTGGTAATGAAAATAAAGTCTTCTTAATGATTCGTGTATATTTTTTATACAATACAGTTTTTCATAGACAAAAAAAAAAAAATTAAAACTGGAGAATAGTGTTGACAGCGTATAAAATGGAACATGCCCCCGGACGTTGAAAGCTTGCCTTTCAACAAGAAGTGTCGATCAGAGGGCAAATCTTGCTGAATGATTACACGCCATTAGAAGTCTTCACATCTGCAACGCGAAAGCCATCGGTCCCGGGATAAACTGCAACAATGCGGCCCATTTTCCATCTTAAGGGAGGCAAATTGTCCTCCTTCACAACCACCAATCTATTCAGCTGTAAATCTGGTTCCTTAGATACCACCTTTGCTGTAGTTCACTGACATATTCCTTAGACCATCTGGCCCAAAAATGTTGGCGTAGTTGTTCTAGTCTTTGAAATCGATTTAGATGTGTTAAATGCCTTTATGATACTGGAAGTGCAGTTACGGTGTTCCTATCAGAAAGTGGGCTGGCGTAAGCGGAGACAAATCATTTGGATCATCTGAGAGACGAACCATCAGAATTGCTTCAATTTGAGTAAGGACTGTGATCAATTCCTCGAATGTTAAATTACAATTGAATACTCTATATAAATGATGCTTAATTGCTTTTTTAAAATGAGGAGAATAAGGGGGACATAAATGAAAAGAGAAATTAGCCAAACCATCACAAAATAATAAAAGTAGTGCCATTATCAGAGAAAATGTCCGTAGGTTTTCCTCTACGTGAAATAAATCGACGTAATGCACATAAGAAACTATTGCTGGTTAAATCACCTACTAGTTCAATATGAATAGCCTTCGTTTTAAAGCAAACAAAAATTGCGATATATACCTTGACAATTTTACATCCACGGCCTTGACGGCTTGCAGATGAGATAGGCCCTGCATAATCTATGCCTACACATTCGAATGGACGACCTGGAGTTATACGTGATTCAGGTAAGTTTCCCATAAGGGGGGATACGGTTTTCCCTTTCATACGTGTACACCTTATACATTGATAATATGAGATTTAGCCAAATACGACCTTTTATTGGCCAATAAGCCTCCCTAATAGACGCTAACAATAGCTGTGGACCGGCGTGCGCTTAATATCTCTCTTGACACAAATGATTAATATTATCCATGAATATGTTAAATTTGTTTAATTGGCTCTTTAAAGGTAAGGTTTGTGTTTGCAAGAGAGTTATATATTCTGGAATAGATTCTATTTGAGCAATTTTAATTATTAGATTTAATGCAATTTCTTCTGATGGATTAAGATGAGTAGTTTTTGGCTTTAATTTTCTGCAGCCGTTAATAAATCTAAGTGCATATGCTACAGCGCGTTTCAAGCGCAATACATTTGAAAAACGACTAAAATCGATTAACTTGTAATTGTCAAACTTGGTGATATGTAAATTTTATCGGGAAGTTGCGAACATTATTACTGAGACTCCTCCTGCTTTAAAAAAGGGGCCCAGACCACCACAGGTATTGTCACTAGCCTTGACACCGCGAGAGATATCAGGATTTTTGTAGTGGGTACATGTCGCCAGACACTGTGCTCGGTATTACAACTCGATTGCGGACAAACGGTTGTAGTTTATAACATTTTAAGCCAAGTCAGTCCAAAAAAACGTTTAACATTTATAGGGATGACATTATTTTTAATTAGACGGCACAGAGCTCAAGTCTGGGGATCGTAGTTGGCTTTATTGGAGCGACCTTGCTCTTGGCTAAGAGCAACTTCACCAAAACATCACCCTGTTTGTTCTTTTTATATAAAGACAAGCACCATAGGCACATTGGGATGCGTCGGAAAAACAATGAATCTCAATAAGTGAATATGAATCACAAACAACCAGGCGTGGGATATAAATATTATTTAATGTTGCGTATAAATTTATGCCAGTGAGAAATATCAAACGGAACCAGTTCATCCCATGACAATTTATGCAACCACAGATGCTGCATCCAAGTTTTTAGAGATATGATGAAATCAGACCCATGGGATCGAATACCTGGGCGATTACTGAGCTTGGTGTGAATAGTAATTTTGAAGTACAAGTTATCAATCATGTCTTGCTGGGTTCAAATCCCATATTCAAATTAAGAGACGAGTTAGACTGGTCCGGAATAACAAGCTGAGACCCATTGGATTTCCACTTACGCAGTATAACCATTCCCGCGGATGCCAGCTCTGCCGTGATAGCTTTCTTTATATTTAAGGCCTCCTGGTTGGAATCAGATCCCGTTAATAAGTCATCAACATAGAAGTCATGAATAATAATTTCAGACACTTTTTTATCGTTGCAGTCAAGGCCAATTTGTTTTAAACATCTAGTAGCTAGATAACTGGCACTTGAGCAACCATAAGTGACAGTGTTGAGTTGATAGGCTTTTACAAAGATTCCTCGCGCGCCTGTCATCAGGGTGAACAATCACCTGCCGATACATTTTTTCTACATCAGCAGCTAACACATATTTATAAAATCGAAGTAAAATAGAGAGCAGGTCGTCTTGGACTGTTGGTCCTACCATTTGAATCTGATTCGCCATTTTGTTCTAAGACTAGTAGTGGTGCTGTTTGCGTTCAACACCCCATGATGAGGAATAAAATAAGATGTAGAATCAATATTTAATTTGCACTCGGTCATGTGAGAGAATGATATTCTGACAAGAATGCAACATAGCTATCTCGAAAGGCTGGCTGGGTTTTTCTAATGAATGCAAGCACCGTTTTGCTCGCTGAAATGAGTTACCTAATACCTTATGAGACTGTTTTGTTAAGAATTCTAACACAGAATCGTCCATTTGGAAGACGGATTGTATTTTTTACTCATGTTCTTCTGAATTTGAACCTACATCCTCCAACTGCCAAAATTTTGATAATAGACTCTGAACATCATTATTTTCAATATTGCTATGAGTACTTGTATATGTTGTGAGGTTTTAAGAGAAGACTCCTGTCCATTATAAAGGGGTTGTCGCGTTCCCATAGAGAACGGTTTTTTCATTCCTAAACTTATTTTTGTGATCCGAGTAATTCCCAGAATATATTACTACCAATTATCATGTCTACTGCAGACGCCTTATAAAACTGTGGATCAGCGAGGGCAATATCATCAGGTATTTTTATGTGTGAAACATTAACAGAGCGGCAAGGTATGTCATCTGTTATAGATGGCAATACATAACAGAGAAGATGTTTCGAATAGTTCTCATTCAAAGAGTTAATTAGGACTCTGCACATTTTTCTCGTAGTGGTTTGAGTTTTATTAATGCCAAATATTGGTTTATCAATATTGATATATTCTAAATTTAATGAGTTACATAATTTCTCAGATAATACAAGATGAACTGGCACCTAAAAACTTGACAATGTGGGGATTACATAATAATCATTTATACTACAGTTGAAATATCTTGATTTACTTCTAAAGATGTATCAGCACAATAAGAAGTTTGTAGATCCTTGCCCATTATTACCCGAAGAAGCTGATTCCAATAGGTTAGACTCATAGTTCTCGCAGCATTACCCGCATTTGGTAAAATATTTGCATTTGTTCGTTTAAATTCTGATACATGAATTAAGGTGTTATGCTTATGCATAATTTACACCCATTTTTTTTACAACGATTTGAATAATGTCCAGGACGCAAACAGTTGTCTTTATTTGTGGAATTACAATCTTTGTATTAAAAGAATACAAAGTGAACAATTTATTATTGTTATGCTCTACAGAGAGAAACGTAGGAGACATGTGGTTTGCAACATTAAACACAAAAGATCCGCGCGGTCCCTAATAAATTCCAAGAAAACAATCAGTTTTATCATTTTTGTTTAATTGAATTATTCGGAATGTTTTATGATCTAATTTAGTCATGATATGAATGAGAAGAGTGTCCCATTGTCACCACATAGACTTTTATTCAGCTGGTCAATTGCTTAAGACTAACCGAAGACTCATTTTTAAAGATTCAACGACAAAATGTTTTTATCTATATCTGATGATGAATAAAAACAAATTTTTGTAATAACTGCAGCTGAACCTTCCAGAGAGGCTCGGAGATAATGGAACTTATTAATTTCATCCATATTATCGTTTTTTATTTTTATTATTGTAGGTAATTTAACCAGCTGATGGTTGTTTATTATTATGTAACTTTTATATATTGTTGAATATTTTGTGATTGTTTCAACAAGACATTCTAATTTTAATTGCACCTCATCATATTGATTATACAAAGATTCAATCTTACCTATTCTTAGCTGCAATTCATGTACCTGTTGGTGGCTTAATGTATCTCTCAAGTCATTGATGTATTTAGCAAACAGTTAAGTCCCTTGAAACTAGCTCTTTTCTTAATAAGTTCCTTTTCTTCCCTTTCTGACATTTTGGGGTTCTCTGGTAATATTTTCTTTACGTTTAAAATACTCTGAAGGATTGGTATACAAATATTCAGTATAGGTACAATATACAATAGGAACATAATCGTGACGTTTAATAAAACTCGTTGGTATGACAAAACACTATATAAGCTTAAATGCTACAATATTTTACTTGTGCATATATAATTATCTTATTTTTGTAATTACACAAACTGTCAAATAAAATTACAATTGAATACTAGAATTTTAAACAAATAACGTAATTTGAGGTTATCAATGTGCCGGTTTATAACACCACTGAATAAGCGAAGGAAACCTGTTCGTTAATTATGACAGACAAACCTTGTTTCTGCTTATTTTTAAATTTAAATTGATATTCACTAGACAATCGAGGCAATTCCATTAATTCAGGAGTTTTTTCAATGATTCATTTTTTGTCACAACACTAGTGTTTTTTATTTCATCAAATACTGACAACACAGTAAACGTCAGTTCATAAGCGACGGTTACGATCACTATCAGACGAGCGTGTTCACCGACAGCGCGTATCTCTCTTGACACGTCTAATTAAAAATACGACTATATATGCGCGTGTGTCAAATACATGATAGTGTTTATAAGTGCGCATAATTTTCGTAAAAAAGTGTACAAAATTTGTGATCCACGTATTAATATAACGATATTTTATTTCGAATTCGATGATGTCGCATATTGCATTAATATAGTATTGCTGTCAGCTATGCAACATAATAAACATGTAGCGGCTCCATTATTAGGTGAACTCAATGTTCCTGTAGTATTTATTTATAATGTTTACTAAATAGGTGGACGAGGTGCGTCGCGAGGTGTCGTACTTCAACGCGTACGTGCGCGACGTGCGCCGGCCGCAGCAGCCCGAGCCCGCGCCGCGCCACGCGCCGCCCGCCGCGCACGCGCACCACGCACCGCCGCCCGCGCCCGCGCCGTCAGTACACTACACACCACCTCTATATATGAGGGCACGCGGTTGTTGTAATGTGGACTAATAGCCCCAATGTGTACCATGTCAGGTTCATCTACACTTGGTTCGCCCTGGAAACTATCGTGATAAGTTCATGGTGAATTTACCATGACGGGCTGACGTTACGCTTATAAACATTCGAGACCTCATAGCCCATCATGAATTTATCTCCATGAAGTTTCCAGCGGGAACACGTGGAGGTCAACCCGACCTGGTGAATTTACTATGATGGTCTGACCTCGAGCTCATCTTATCATCCTCCCAGCCTCTCCCAGAGTAAACCGTTAGCGCAGGCGAGTGCACCTTTCGATTATCATCCATAAGAGAATCCTTATAAATAACTGGTTGTTCAGGCAGGCTATTACTAGTTATGCATTTTAGTAATAATTTATATAAAATTTGTACATATCTCCCACCTCTCACATTATATAAGCTAGGTATTTGAAAGCAAATTGAGAAAATATGTGTTCGCCTCCGAACGAGGCGAAACACATGTAACAATGTGAGTGTAGATTCACCAACGGTCAGAATTTGATCACTAATGGAGAAAGTGATGATGCTCCAGTAATGATTGTCATGCAGCATTAGACAAAATAATATAAATTATTAAGCAGTATGAAGTTTGTTTTTGAAGTAAAAATGCCACTACTGATAGACACATCGACAATCATTTAAAGTTATGCTATAGGTTGTAAGTACTTAGGTTTATATTGTATTGCGACAGATACGGCGGCGGAGCAGGTGTGGGCCCGCCGGCTGGTCGATGGGGCTGGGGCGGCTGGGCGCCGGCGCCGCCAGCGCCCTACGCTCCAAGACACCCGCGCTTCTCGAGACCCAGGTGAATGCTCCACACATTACACAATCTTCCATCAGATTCTTTAAACCTTGATACACATATTGTAATACAGATATAATACATATATATAGACTACAAAAATAAAATTAAACAAAAGACACAAAGTATGTACCATGACACACATTCCAACCTGGCCTATTCTGAAAAGTTTTATTTACACTCTAGTGTTCTCCGCGATTTTACCGCCGTGTGTATTTGTAGACGCCATTTGTTATTTTATTAATCATTGTAGTTGCTCTGTTTAAAACGAAACGTCTTCAGCCATATTTACATAAATTAACGCCGACAGTTTTCTACTATATTACGATATAATTATATGTACAGACAAAGATAATACAGAAGATTAAACAAACATACAATTGAATTTTGTCCACATTTATATATCATAATAACAGACAAACACCTCTATTTGAACAATGCAGCGAATTATGATAGTTTGTTACAAACTACACATCTTCATATCTGACTTTTATTACAAAGTCCATGCGTCAACAGAACATTCCATTCGTAAGACAAAGCTAACTATATTCAGATACGTAACTTCCTTCTTAGTATATATAGCTAACAGATAAAGCTTGAAGTTCATAAACGCTTAAGTATTTGAAAGGCGCGACATTCACTAACCTTGTGAGTCACAATATTAGCTCACTGTCCCTTAACAATAATATTATTTCTACACTACTTTATCAGTATATAGCTTTGAAAAATGTATAAAGAAATTATTGTTTTAATTCAATATCGTACATAATTTAACAAGTATGATGACTGTCTTTCAACATGTTTCTTTTTCTAACTATATTTAAAAGCGGCATGTTATTTGCTTTGATTGTTCTTTTCCACCATTTTGTAATATACATTGTATATTTTTTGGCCGTCTCTTTGCCTAATATTATAAGTTATATGATTATTATACCAGAAAAATCGTGCACATTTGAAACAACTTTCTTGCAGAATGAACTTGTGTATGTTGCGACCCTTCCTGCTTATTTTTATCTCACTATGAATTAGTCGCATATCAAAATTTTTATTCTGATCGGAAGTCATTATTGCATGGACAAAATATTACAATAATAATTATGGATATAGATAATAAAATTTAATCATGTAAATATTTGGTTACTTGTTTAATAAGAAAGCTTTGCATTATTTAAATACCTATCAAAAATATATTGAACTAAACCAAAACTTTAGAAAAATTATTACCACTTATATCTAATATGATTGACGGCTGGAAAATTAACCAGTAATCAGTTTATGCATGACTTCAGTGTTTTCACTGTATTAGTTCTATTCATGTGACTACACAAATAGAACTTAACTTAGCCGAATATGGTTTGTTATGCATGCATGGATTTACAGGTATGGTATGACTAACGATATTCTGATACAAGTAAATGCAAGTAACTTACTTACTCGATAGTTTAATTTCGATAACAAGTTATGTTGGAATCTTGCTCTCAGTATCTCAGTATCAGTACAGTGTCGAAATGAAAGTATTGTACTTGGATCGAATGTTCCTTGCTTTTAAGGGACTCGATAAATAAAGCGAAACTTAATCACCTTGTGCTGTACCTGATGACATCAATAAAAAGGGAGTTGAAAACTCATAATGATATGAAATACTGCATTATTTTGTATTAATATATATATAATTATATAAATTATGTAATTATTAAAATGTATCGATGTGTGCAAGTATCGATAGCTTATTGTTATCAGAACATCCTTAGGTGCGAATCGTTATATAATTAGTAATAACACAAAAATAACACACTATAACACAATCTACCTCTCTTTATTGCATTCTATGAACAATCAAACCAATTTATTAACTATTATTTAATTGTATGTCGTAGTCAAATATTTTGTATCCATAAAAAATTAATAAATATGGGTTTAACATAATACATATTTATTTACATATAATAATACATATCATTTAAAGACGATATAGTATGAGTTTATAGAGAATTGAATGTAATTTAATCTTAATAATATGTTGATAATAACTAACACCAATATGGAATTGTTGATTTGCATGTGAGTGAACATTACACTTACGGCATCAATTTAAATTTGTTTACAGATACAGATTAAAATTGATGCCGTGTGTGAGTGATTTAGATACATACATTACTTGGTATGAGTATATACTATTTTAATCATATATTTGAATTAATTTCAATGAATGATTACTGAGATATAAGAAATAATTTGCAGGGAAAATGTGGATCGCTCGCGGCCTATAATTGCATACAACGATCTTGACTTCCCGGACAGTGGTGACATATTCTAAAGTGACGTACAGCCATGACTATGACTTTCTATACAAGAACAGAAATGTATAAGTTATACATTCCATCAGTTAATGATTTTATTATATTGTTGTAAGTCATAATTATTAATTGCAAACAAACACATAAAATTTGTATTGATTAAAGTGTAATAAGTATATCTTGATTCTAAGCATTTCTGTTTATATACAATGTACTTTATTATTAAATTTACATAACGGACATAATTACATTTTTTTGTAATTAATTATATTGATGTGATCAACTCCATAATGCTTATGTTTTTAAGTATGTTGTATTTATGAACATTGTATTCTCAATGTATGTTTGATGACATTTTTATAAATATAAATATTTTTTTTATATTATATCTTCAAAAACTATTGTATGAGAAGTTACAATAAACTGTCCATAAATGTGTCGTATTACGTCAATGGTTCTTTTATTTCTCTTAACCTAAATGCACCTTATTTACGTAACGTCAACTCCCGGGAAGCTGAGATTCATTGGGGCCTAATAAAACGTGTCAAATGAGCATGAGTAGTGTATATTTGAATCACTTTGTCTATGTTTGGCAATAGGCGAGACGCTGTTAACAAAAGATTAATTGTTAAAGGGGCGGTGGACAGGATTTCCGCCCGGTCATACACTACCGCGACCTGGATGCGCCGCGCGATCCTGACGAGTTCGTATAACATGGAATCTAGTGTGGACAACTTGCTAAAGGACCTCGTAGAATTCTAACCACGTAATATATAGTGACAACTTATAATGTCGGGCTGTTTGAATTTGCCTTCTCAGAGTGTATTCTAATAATATACAATACATTATATTGACTATTCGTATTTCACTGTTCTGCGCCTATAATAATATTCTAAAGAATATTAAATTGTATGTTTGTGTGTTTTGGTATGATGTTCTATGGAACTAAGACAATACTATAAATTATTCGAAGAAATAAAGTCACAAACATTTTGTGTCATTCTCAAATATAACGGGAAACTGCTAAACTTACTCTACCAGATCTGTTATAATAAAAACTAACCATCATTTGTATAGTAAAACTGTATAGTTACCCCCTTAAGGTAATGTATGAATGAATAAATTACCTTAAGGCGGTAATTTTTACTATACAGAGTACATACGTACCTGTATGTGGTCTATGGTATAAATACAATATTAAGCTGTAACCTAGGTTTTATGAGCCTAATAAACAATAGGTAGGTATAACATGCAGATTGAGAATAGTCTATACGTCGATAATCAATTTATTTATTATCGTTAGCAAATAATGGTTAGGTGGTAAAATGACAATAAATAAATGATTAGATGACATAATGCTGGTAAACGAAGCAGCAATAGATAGGATTAACTCTCAACGGTGACTACTGGAGCAACAAAAACGCTCCTTTTTTGTTATGTGGTAGGTGGATGTATTTCTATCATGACATAATCATGAATTACTAATGAAATTAACAGTTAAACATCATGAACATTTATATGGTACACGAGTCTATTATTAAGAATGAACTATTTGTCAGTAAAATATTACATATAAAGCGTCAAATGCAATCTGTACTAATATTGTAAAGAGAAAGTGCGGATTTTGTAATAACAAAATAGTTATCCCTTGTATCACTGCACCCATTTGAGAAATCTTTCATTTTGTTAAATTTATATATTAACTATTTTTGCCACCAGAAGTAAATTAGAAGGAACATAAATTAGAGTAATAAGACAAAAAAGGCCATCCTATCGCAAATATAATTAATTTAAGAGTGGGATAGGTCATATATTAGAGTATTTATAAAGTTAAAAGCACCCGGGGATTCCGGGGCAGGCCACTAGTTTTAATATAATTAGATATATATGCGTGCTCAATGAATGTTGGTGCGTTCTGCCCTAATGGTTTAATACCCTAATTGATAGACTAGTTTAAATCTAGATGAAGCAAAATATCTGTTTTAAATTTATTTAAGATAAAGCAACCACTGACAATGGACCAAATTAATCAGAATATCAGCTAGTTTACCCTTGCCGTGAATTAAATATTCTCTGCAAAATGTGTCTATATAAAATATTACAATAAAACGTCCACAGTTCCTCTAACTATCTCACAATTTGATTTATAAGGATAATCATTTTATGTTTAGATATTTTTGCAAACTATTTAGGTATTATTTATTACACTTCTCTATAATACTGACATATAAAGGAAAATACACTTACTTATCTTAAGAATACACCGTTATTATAGTTCATGATTATACGATGATTTGCATATTTTGATACAGAGCTATCAAATATGCAAGTTACAAATCGATATATTCGCTTGCTAGCTGATAGCTTGTAATATTAACCGCAAAGTAACGATTCTCAGTAAACATCTTGCCCTTTCTAATAGCGTTCAAGTACAAAATAACGTTTTGTTTACAGCCTTCGTAAGATTCTTTGAATTTAATCATAAAATGCGAAAACCATTGATGCGTTTTTGTAATCTTGTTTTAATTTTACGATCAGAACAGATGTTATCTTTAGGAAGGATCTTAATCTTGATTTATATAGAACGATGTTAAAACGTATTATATTTTTTGTGTATAATATATATTGTACGCGTTGTATTCATTATTATGCGTATTTAAGTAGGTATAGATATATTTACTACTAGCTGTACCCGCGATTTCGTCCGCGTGGAATTGGAGCTACCTGCCAAAAAAAGTCCCGTCAAAATCGGTCCAGCCATTCAGAGAATAGTTGGAACAAACCGACAGACAGACAAAAATTGTAAAAAATCTTATTTTGGTGTATGTACCGTATTTATATTCATATGCATGTAGTAAAAAACGGTTATTTAAATATTACAAACAGAAACTCCAATTTTATTTATATGTACCTATAGATTAACTATATTTAAATATTCATCCAAAACACTGTAAATTGCATAGGATAACATAATAGTACCATATACAGTAAATATTATTAGATATTTATTACATAAAGATATTTATACTAAATCTGATGACCTATTTATCTGTGTTAGGTAAACTTAGATATAGGTTTGCCCTATATCTAAGTTTACCTAACTTACCTCAGGATTGCCTATCAATTGCTTTCTGTTTTTACCCAATGATTAGCTGATAGAGAATCCCATATAGCATTAGGCTCGGGCATTATACGACTTTATAAATGCAATAATAAAGAATAAATAAATAAAAATGTGGTTATAACATTACCAAACTAATCAATTATTAAAAACATTCGTAACGGAATTTATACACTATAATAATTATATTAATGAATACTTTTGAATAGGCATATTTTTTATTCTATAGCTCATTCCGAAGTCAGATTCAGCTAAGAAAAATGTGCAAGTAACATTTTTCTTGCCAGTCGTTCTTCTAAACAAATATGATTTTAATTTTGAAATGTAATGTACAATCAAATAAACAAAGGTTAATATAAATAGATATATAAAATGTAAATGCACTGTCAAAAACTGCGAAGTTAAGTTATAATTTGAACAAGGTAAACTGTTTTATAACCTTCACCTCTGGATTAGTCTAAGCTGCACTGTATAGCGAGTACTTCTCCGGTATCCATCGTTTTTTGTAGCATTAACTTATATATTTCCTTTGTTTTGTATAATGATGTATTATAATTTTTTATACAGTTCGTTTTCCTCTTATTTACCTACTAGTAGGTACATGTACCTATAACATTAATATTGACTAGTAGTATAGTTAATAAGGGGTTTACTTAACTGTAGGTCTATGTACCATATGGAGACCATATTAAAATGTCGTTTAAATAAAAACGTGACAGCAAACAAAACAACCGCCTATAAATACCTTACAATATAATAATTGTATTTCGGATCGCATCTTATTACACCTTTTATAATACTTGAAAATGAGTATATATATTCTTCACAATCTCTTAGAAACACAAAGTGTGTAGAGAATTTATTATAAGCACGGTGTAAGCAAAGTCACCCGGATGTCGACATGGGAATAATACACACGCCAGCGCTTGCGGTCTCACGTCACGACGCGCCTTCACGAACACGAACTGTCATCGGGGTTACACCTCCTTGTATGATATATGCCACCCAATTATATCAAAGTAGGTATACCGTATAATACTCTAATCCTTTTCTTATGGATGAATACAAAATAGTACATTCACCTGCACTAGCCGGTTATACGCTGGGGGGATACTAGTGGAGAATGAAGTCGAGAAAGTTAGCCCATCATTGCGAAATCACCAGGAATTTACCGCGATAGTTACCAGGGAAGACCATGTTAAGGTCAACCTAAGAATATTTATTATACCCACCATCGAAACATTGGGGTAGATAATGCGCATTACTAACTAATCTATGGGGATCCGATAATTTTATATTTGAATGATACTACAGATCATATTTTATGATGTAAAGCCATTCACATCAGAAATGCTTGTAAAAAGTAGAGCACAGTATTTGTATCTAGTATAAACATGTTTCAATTTTCGTATGTTATAGTCGGGAACAATTTCCTTGAAAGCCTTGTTAACAAACCTATTATACACTGTATAAATGTAAAAATAGTTGTTTGTAATAACCATATACATTTAACTATCTTTTTATTTAGATATATATAGTGTAGTAATATCTAATAAAAACATCGAAATTTTGCCCAACATTCCTTATTAAACGACCTTACCCTTAAAGAACAGTTTTTGGAAATACCCATGAGAACAGAAAATAAATCTTTAGAATGTTTAGTATGGTTATGAGGAGGCTGCGCTATAAATATTACCTACTATAGGTAGTTAGATGAACTGGGGAATAAAAAGTAAAAACTTTCGTGCTATATTATATATGTGTCGATGCAAAAGGAAACCTCCACATAGTGAAATGGAACTTTGACAAACTTTATGCTCCTGTAGCGTATTTAGAAATCAAAACATGACCGTAGTATTTTTCTTTTAGTAAAATCTATTAGCGTAATGACAATAGTTTTAAAATTATACTCTAAGTATTTACATTTAAATAAAATTTCAACTTTAGATGGTCAGTACCGTAAATTAGCAATTAACAAAAAATATTATTTAATTCCACAATTCAAGTTTCTAGATCTAATTATAGATTCGAAAAGAAGTTAAGTACGAGAAACGGGAATGGCAGATCCATTGCACGAATGTAATATCCCATCTTTTCGAATTTATATCTGATATCTAGGGAAGTACCTATTTAAATATTTTGAACTTGATTTTCGAATCATGATATCTACTCAAAAGACTACTGCTTTTATCCATACTAACGTTAATTCAATATTATTTAGATACACGCAAAAACTATACCTATTGTATTCCATTCTGAAGCCATTAGATTATTTAAGATCAACACAATAAATACACCTCAGCGTTAATTTATTTGTAATTTTAACTCGGATATTCATAAACGGAAACACATAAATATGTACCTACGTAATTTTAATCCTCGGAACGCTCAACAGAGCGAAACCTTAATTAAGAATATGTTAGAAATTGTTCTTATTCAATTATTTTAATGATTGAATCGCTTTCGTGGGGAATATGACTGCATTGGCTTTTTTTCTCAAACTAGGTATATCAATAAGTAAATATATTTTGACCGCTGATTGGAAAGTTTTAGCCGATGCCTATGTCTATGAACTGAGTACCTATATTAGAGATATCAAATATACCTACTGTGTAATACGGGACTTAGAGGATTTATGGTCGAGCGCAGTGATGGCTGGCTCATCCGTCATACTCGTGAACGGGTGCTGCTTGTAGGGACTGGTCTGCTCTAATCACTGACTGATTTCCTCTTATTAATTGTTTAACCAGTTGGTTATATATTCAATATTTTTTCTATTTCAGTATATAATTGAATTAGTGCTAATTGGTGGTTTGTATTCACACACTTAAACTTAAAAATGTAAAGTAATAATAAAATTATTTAAAAGAGCAACACGCAAGTTTCTTGCTCGTTCTTCTTGTGATGAGACAACTTTCCGAATGAGCGGTGGATTAAAAAAAATCTAATGACTATTCAAAAGTGCTTCAATGTAAGTTTATTTGAATAAATGATTTTCTATTCTATTCTATTCTTAAGCTTTAGATTCCTGTAGTAGTATTATTTTTGTCTGCGAATCAAGTAATTTCAATAGTAATTATCTTTTAAGCTGTGCAGTAGGTTTGCTAATATTTGCTAATATTTCTGGTAGATAAAAAATTCTAAATATTATTTAGGTAGGTACCTACTATAAGAACTTGGATGCTTAGTCTTTACGACTCAGGCATGTATTTTAGGTTATTTATTTTTTAATTACAAACATTTCACTTATTTTCAGATTTGGAGGTACTAATTATTATATATAGTATAATAACAACATTTCCAACACTATAAAACTTCATAGTGTCGCATTCAACGTTTTTCCCCACGGACTTACAGATCATAAACACCACTCGGGATAATTCAGATGTAACGACGACGACGTAATTTTTGAGAGTACATGCACTCATACATCTAACTCAATTAAATATTCATCGAGCAGATATATACTGTTCAAATGAATACGGGAAACAGCACTGCCTACGCGAGCACAACCACAGATTCGCAGTAACCAGCAACAGGTTTTTGTTATATTACAGACAAGTGTCTATTTGTGTTTTGCTTTATAAAGGCCTCAGATTGCAGATCAACAATATTGTAGTTCGGGAGCTTCGTTAAGATGGAGCTCGTATGTGCCATAGTGTTGACCTTTGTTACGGTAGTGAGTGGGGTCCCGCATGGCTATGGTGCTCTTGAGGGTGCCGGTGCAGCAGCTAAAGGTTAGAATATATATATGTTTTGTACAATATTGTACTCAATCATTATAATACATATTCTGTCATTAATATTATGTTAGGTGTATATTCCAATTTCAAATTTTTGTACAGTTTAGTACCTACTGTAAACTAGGAAGAGGTATTGGGATCGAGAGATAGTCGGAAATATTTACTGCTCAAATAAGTGGGCACGAGTGAACTAGTTATTTGCAATGCTGTTACTATTATCTAAAACATAAAAGAAAATAACTTAACTAACTTTTTAAATAACTACTAGCTGTGCCCTCGACTAAAGAAAAAATATTTAATAATATAACCAAAAACATGAGGAATAATAATAACTATTTTCAATACAAATAACAAATCTTCAATCTATTCATTTTAGCCCCTTAAGGGTAACAGTTTTACAAACTTTGATTGTCACATTTATTTTATTTATTTCAAATCAAAGCATAAAAAATAGGTTTCAAACTTCTAGCTTTAAAAATGGCAATACCTCCATACAAACTTTCAACTGCCCTTTCAACCATACAAACCTTTTTTCGCATTTATAATAGTAGTAAGGATTATATGTAATAATATTAAAATCACTTGAAGTCGATAATGTATTCCTATACTAAACAAAAACACTTGGCACAACTTTATCCAATCACCATCACATAACCATCCCAGTTTGGGAGGGACTGTTATGCTTTCAGGCTGTCTATCCCACTGTCCCCAGCCAGAGTCTAAATGTCCCGCAAACATTAATACATGAATAGAACGCTTGCAAACTTATAAAACAAGAAGGATGCTTATGAATTACAAAATACAAAGCAAGAACATGCGTACAACATTAATATGTTGATTAATTATAAAGATAATTGATTGCTATATTGTTTAACTGCCTCGGAGAAGTAGCGCTTTGGCCTTTATTCCGATGGTCGCAGGTACAATTGTCGCACGATTTAAACATTTCTAACTATGAGTATACTTGTTTATATTATTCTGAGCGTTGTCAACAAAAAATATCTATTTCTATCAATTTAGAACCCATTTGCTTTGCTTAGTTTGGGTTGGCATGACCCTGTATGAATTACCCTGGGCTATTATTATTCTTCTCATGTTCTTCTATTAAGCATTCCACTCTGATAAAAAATAAATTGTCACGTTAGTTGTAGGATGTACCTTATAATAAAAACAATTAATAATAAACTTAGCAATTCTAGACTAATTTATCATGAATTAGGAAAAAATACCATATGGTAGGTACTACATAGATAGGTTATATATATACCTACATATATACATTAATCTAGAATATGATTTATATTCTTATCAGATTTCTGTCACATATTTACATTACACCTGTTTATACACAAATGCAATAGTCAGAAATCTCTAATATGTTTTAATAGTAACAAATCTTTAGAATTCTTTAAAAAAGCGAATATATATATATTTTTCAGCAGAGGCACACGCCGCAGCAGGTGCTTTTAGCGGCCTGGGAGGGTTACCAATTAGCATACCAAATGGAGCCGGATTTTCTGGAAGTTTCTCAAAGTCGTCATCATCTAGCTTTGCTTCATCAAGTGCAAGTGCTAGTTCTGGTGCATTTAGCTTCAGTGGTTCCAGTACAGGCAATCTAAATCGAGTGGGAGCAAATAATTTTGGTACATCCAGTAACGGAGGTTGCGCTTCAGGAGGTTGTAAATATGGCCCAGAAGGTGTTAACGATAATTCTCAATCGTACAATATAGCAAGTGCCGGTGCTGCATCTCAAGCAGGTGCTGTAACTGGATTCTCTGATAATTCGAAAATTAATAATCAGCGACCTTGTGCAGGCGACTGTTCTAATCTTAAACCATCGGACTGTAAAGGGTCTGGATGCAATGATTTTTCTGGTCCATCAAGTAATTGCGCTTTAGGTGGATGTGGAGGCGATTTTCCTTTGGATACTTCTTCACATAATAATGGGCCCAGCAACTCAGTAATTGGTACTTCTCATGCTAATGATAATACAAATTGTGTAAATGGAAAATGTGGAATAAATGTTGAAATTGATAGTAAGCCCGAATTAGAATTCAATGTAAATAAATGTACCTCTGGAAAATGTGGTCCAAAGACAGAAACGACCTTATCATCAAGTACACCCATATTGGAAACAGTATCATCCACTGGGAATGACGGCTCTAATGATATATTAGTAGGCACTACTGGACCTTTGTCTCCTAAATTGCAACCGGAATCAAGCTATCAATCTCCCATTTATGGCGAAACAGCTATTTCAACGTCTATTCCGATCTCAAAACCCACATCTAATACAGTCCCTAGTTCACCTACTCAAAATAAGTATCCTACCGCATCTGAAAGTCCAACGTCATCTAGTTATACTATACCTGCAGGTCATTTATTAACTCCTAAACTAGAACCTGCTTGCACATCTCCTAATTGTCAGCCAGAAAATAGTAAACCTGGATATAACTATTTAACACCAACTAGTTCAGGAAGTGACAAACCCATAAACCACGTATATCCGAATAACCTGTTGAAAGAAACAAACTCCCCTACCACATTCAGTAATAACTCACCATATACAAACAATATAGGGTTGAAAGGCCCTACATCTTGTGTTTCTGGAAATTGCGGTAATTATCCACCAGGTCGACCAACAGGAATTAGCGATTCAGAAACACAAGCTCCAAAAGATTCTTTGAATGCCAATCACAGGATTCCATCGGTTATTCCGAGTTATATTCAAAATGGTCCAGAAAGTTGTTCGTCAGGAAATTGTGGCACGCAACCTAAACCTGAAAATATTCCTAGTAATCCGTTTATACAACCTACAGAAAACAGTCCTTCTGGTTCTAAATATCCAGCAGTAACTTGTGGTTCAGGAAATTGTGGAAATTATCCTCATTCAACTCCTTCCTATTTTCAAGGAATTTCTCCCAGTAATCCACAAAATTGCATATCAGGTAAATGTAGTTCCTATCCTTCACCGATATCTACAGAATACAAAATCCCAGCACAGAATTACAATAACCCCGCTGGACCTGCGAATTGCATATCTGGAAATTGCAATAGTTATCCATCCACACAGTACTCTGAATATCCAAATAATAATCAAGGTAATTTTCCTAATGCGCCAGTGAACTGTGCATCAGGAAAATGTAATAACCCTTCTAATACAGGATCAGAAATTATTCCTACTCCTACACAAAATTGCATATCAGGAAAGTGTCAGACTATTCCTTCCAAAACAAATGTAGATTCAAACATTCAAGGATTTAGTAATCCTTTAAGCTCTTTAGGACCCTTGACAACTATTCCGGCAAATTGTGCTTCAGGTAATTGCGGTAATTCTCCTATCCCAACTATTAATACGGGTAATAAAATACCGTATTTTGATAGAACTTTACCTGGTAATGTAGAAAACTGTGCTTCTGGAAATTGCGGTTCTAATCCACCTAATACGGGATTTAGCCAAAGCCTTCCTAATAATGTTTCCTCAAATGACTCACAAGAATCTTTCCCTGCATTTGTACCATTACAACCTAATCAGTCACCACAATATAATAATCCAAGTAATAAACCAACGTACGGATTGCATTCTAATAATGGGGCATCTCCGAATAACGATGTCTCATCAATATCCCACTCGATATCCCCAAATCTGAATTTGAATGAAACGATCCCTAGTTCTCAGAAAGGTCCAGCATATACGGGTGGCTTTGGTGGACCTCCAGGATTACTGAAACCTAATAATTTTGACCTCCCACTTCCGGGAGGTTTTGTGCCCACACCTGTAGATAATACAAATAAACCTGAATCAGTATCAAATAAACCAGCATCTTGTTCATCTTCGGGATCTTGTATTACCCAATCCAATCTCGGAGGTTCAACAAATAATAATATTTCACCAGAACATTCTATTTCTACACCTTCTCACTATGACCAAGGTCATCATTCTACGGGAATTAATTCTGCTGCCGCCGCTACGGCTAATGCAGTAGCTTATTCAGGTGGATTTGGTGGTCCACCAGGTTTCTTAAAACCTTATGATGATGGTAAAATTGGTGATGGAAGTGTGACTAAGCCACAGTTTGGTACCAATAATAAAGAAACACTGTCATCTTATGATAACAAAATAAATGGTGCTAGCGGTTTAAGCCACGGTTTTATAACTCAAGCTGGTTCTTTTGCTGGAGCATCTGCGGGATCTTTTGGTAATAGTAATAATAATAAAGAAAATCATGGTTGTAGAGGAGGGTGTGATTCCACAGGTAGTGGTGGATACACTAGTAACTTGGGTTTTAATGGGAACAGTGGATTTGGGTTATCTAAGTATGGACTGTCGGAAGGTCTACATGGAATTTCAAATACAGCTGCCGCAGCATCAAAGAGTGCTGCCGGTGTATTGAGTGGTGCTAACGCAGGTTCATTTGGAACTGCAGGGAGCTTCGCTAGTAGTTCAGCTTCCGCTCACGCGTCATCTGGATTTGCGACTAAAGGAGGTAAGTTATTTAGATATTAATAATAATTTGGCCATTAGATATTTTATATCGTGTAATCCCGTGACTATAATTCTCAAAATAATACCCTCACTTCTGCTCATTTAATGCTGTTCATTTTGCTTGGAAAGCTGAGATCAAGTACTTACATTATGCACTTAGAACACATTCAATTTAAAGATTACCGATTCGTGTCATTTCGGCTAAGTCCAGTACGTATAATTAATTTAAGGATCTAAATTCATCAAAAACAACCATAACTGCATAAAGTATGTAGTAAGTCATACATCAAAAACTGCTCAGCTAGTAGGCCACAGGTTGAATTAAATAAATATGGGAATACTACATCCACACTACTATTATAAATGCGATAATTTGTATGTCTATCTGTCTGTTATCAGACCTTATCAGAATTAACGGCTGAATGAATCTGAATGAAATTCGACTTGAATGTAAATTGTATCGGTAATTGTATATGCTTTCCAACACTAACAGAATTTTCAAAATAGGACCTGTAGAACCAGAGATTATCTTAACACATAAACTTAATCTCATTATAATATTTAAACAATAATATAGATTAGATATGTATGTCATGCTAAGTTTTATTAAACTATTTTCATTTTGTTTCAGGTTACGGAAGATAATAATTTTATTAAAACTACGTATTAGTACTTTAAAGATAAATATTAACTGTATTAAAAGTGAACAAGACTTATTAATGTAAATGAAGTAGAAAAGATTTATTATATATAATGTGATATTATTTACTAATACCTATGTTAGATATCGTTTTGGTATTATTAGATATAACTTCGATTAAGGATATTTATAATAGAGCGTTCCGTCGGTCTGTGTTCTTTTACTTAATGTTTGATACAAAACTTGATTGTTTTTCATTTTGACGCACTGTACAGGATTAGCGGTCCATTGACATATTCGAGTATGTACGAGTACGCATAGATGCATTTGTACATTTGTATATGACGCTGACCGTACTTACTCGAGGTTGAGTAAATACTCAGTATTCGTTTATTTTCACTGAGTATTTACCAACCACTGAATACACGTGTGAATCATAATTCCTGTGGACGAACACAAATATAAACGATATGGGCTTACACTGATAAAGCATTGGTAAGGTCTAAAACATCCACGGTGTTGATGTTGTATATTTTTCTTATTAATATTTGAAATACACTCTTCGGAACGCGCTCTAAAATATTTAAAGAAATTAAATAGTTTAATGTTGTGGATGTATTATTTTATTTTACATTAATATAATGTATTCATCACATAAACCATATTATACCAGTTAAGGATGTAAGGTATAATAACCTTACATGCATAAAAATCTAAATATCCTTAACATATATTAACTTACAAGTTTACGAAATAATATTTAGGTAATGAACACAATTCAAGATGACTCTACATGTTCCCAAATTTCTTTGTTATCTTGGTATTTTGTACCTTAAAATCTAAGTAGGCAGTAGGTAGTTTATATGTCACGAACAATGCCTACGGAAAAAAGCTCCATATACCTAATGATTATTTTTATGTTCCCTTAATTATGCGCATATTATTTGTATAGGTACGATAATTATTTATATATTACATTACCAGTAATTACTAAGAAGTTAATACAATACCAACAACTATTTTAGAATACTCACTAATTAATATAAAACATACCTATTAAACTGATTACTCTCATTAGAGTTGACCTTCTACCTTACTATAACTAGCATATCCTCATAACATATAAATCTAAAAGCTGTCTCATACATCTCATGATACGATCATCCACATCTCACATTGTTCACGACCCAGCTGTTTACGGATGCTATGCGAATAAATAATTCATAAATGGAAGAGAACAATCGAATATACTAAGCGTAGGTATTACTTACATGTATGCGTTCGTCATGAAACAACCCAAACAACTACAGATGTTAATTTGATGACATTATTTCTATTTTAATAATAAATACCTTTCTGTACACATATTTCTGCTTTGTCTGCATAAAATACCTACAATGATAAATTCCTATTGATAGAGAATGTTATACAGCCTAAATCCATTCTAGATAAAAGCGCTATCAAACACTAACAGAATTTTACAATTCTAAGAAAATCAGTTGTTCTTGACTTTAGGCCATTCAACCAAATCATTCCATTAATTAACTAACCTAGTAGTAGGTGATACGTCCTATATATATATTCCCTCATCTGTTATTCGATAATGACAACGTTTATATCTTAGCTAATATGTCGATTTAGAAATCGCACATAGGTTGCTGTGCTAAATCGTGGACCTAATCTGCCAAATAATATATACTTTAATTTTCCTTTTTCCATATCTCATTCAATAGTGATCAAAATCAAGGATAAGTCGACAAAATATTACAGAAAGAACTGAAAAAAACATAGATCATTATTAAAAACCCATGATAATAATATACCTGAAATAAAAATAAAAAATATGTGTTTAAATTCAGGGATTGCTGTTAAAACATTTTATCTATATTTATGTAGGTATGTGTGAATGTACAACTAAAATTTAAAAAAATAAGACTGGTAAGCAACATATATATATATCATACATACATACATCTAAATAGTAAAAAGAAGGATACTTATTAGTAGTCGTTCGGAATTTAAAAACTAAATTTTGCTTTTTATTTGCGTTAACAATGGTGATTGTTTTATTTAGATTTTAGAAAAAAGGATATGTTACAAATCTTGTAATAGATTTGTATGACTGTACCAATATAATGGCTATTATCACGTACACAATAAAGAACCCAGATAGAGAAGTTATTTCTGGTACATACTTACTTTTTTTATATAACGATGGTGGCAAACAAGCATAAGGCCCATCGGATAGCAACAAATTGAGAAATAGTTATCCAGCTAACGTAACCTTTTATTACGCCCTTGATTACTCATATTAATAATAAGTTAAAGTTTATTCCCAAAATAAAGTAATGAGTCGAGAAGATGCGTATGCTAGCAATACGGGATCGAAACTCTATCGGTTTCAAAAAATATTTAACATCGGCTTAGAATAGTCGTAACAAGCACTTAAAGAACATGGCCAATAAAAATAAAAATTCTGCAAAGAATAAATTGTATAATAATATAATTTACTTTTTAATTAATTACCTACCTTAATTGAATAGTGACACATTTTGTCTATATCTGTGATGAAAGCAGTCTCATACTATATACTTATATATAAAAAGTCGTTCAAAAGAATAATTTCATACGGATTAAGTGTCTCTCAAATTAAAATATTAAATTAATCAGTCAAGCTATGAACTTGAATAAAAAAGTTGTCAAACAATTTACCTATGGTTTTATTTACTACCTTCTACCTGTCTGGATTCTAAATAGGCAATAGGTTCTTCAAAGACAATTATTAATGTTCCACTATTATGATCGAATAAAAAAACAGGTAGTTTGAAATTATTTATCAAATGGATCGCCAATTGATAAATACTTTGGGAAACACACCGTGAGTCATGTTCACAAAAACTAACAATACAACCAGTTTACATACAAGTGATATACGCTCGTACCTTTCATATATATAGGTACTGCCAAGCCAAGCGAACAGTTAGGTAAATTCTTTTATTTATTTATAATAATATTAATCTTATTTCAATTATCTCCACAAATAAACTGGGTAGGTATTTCAATCCTGACTGATAGGTATTAGTAGAAAAACAAAAGAGAACGTGACGCATTTGTTACAATATTAACCTGACAGGGCACGAATAGCTGGCAGCTGACAAAGAGACCACTAGTTACTAGAGTTTCTCACAAAATAGGGACTCGTAGTCCCATTTCTACTTATGTAGATACCATCTGATGAAGCTTTATACCTTCCTAGGAAACAATTGTGTTTCAATTGTAACAAAATTGCTTAACTACGCAACTCTCAGCCGATCATTTTCCACTAAAAGCCCTTCAGGATATAACATTAATGTAGGCGTGTTCAAACACAAAAAATACAGTGTTTAAGAATGTCATTTATGATTTATTTAAAAAAAAAAAGAAATGTAATTTTTTATAATTGACATACGTATCTTTAATATTCGGTCCTCATAGTAAGATTTGTCAGCAAGGCCACTCACAGTAAGCCATGCCCTACTCTAAAAAAGGAAGTATGAATGGAGTTTATTGAAGCTGAGTAATATCGCGTGCACCGATCCTCGCCCACTCATGTCAATAAAGGACTGTCAGGGCCGCACTATCATATCATAGAATATCTATGTCTAACACTATTTATATACAAGTACTTACTATTAATATACTTAAGTAAGTTACACATGATTTGTGGCAGGTTTTGATTACTGTAGCTATTGCGATAGGTTTTACTTTTCCTAAAGAGGACAGAACAAAGTTAGTATGGAACTAAAAGAGGTTTTTTTTTAATTAGTAATAATTGCAAAAAATAATGCAGAATCAAATCAAATCAGTATATCTAACAGTTAGTTAACAGTTGTTTGAAAATTATAACTGTGATAAACTACAGCCTAACTCAATATTATATATTGTTTGCGTCACACACAACAAAATTGAAGTAATGTTTAGGTTTCACTACAAACATTAAATCGTAAAGCCATTGCTAATGGTTATGTTTAAGGTTTTTCAAGCGTTTCTGTTTTTTTACGGATTGTCAAAAAAATAAACGCGTTAAATTTGTTAATAATTCAATTATATATTCCGTGTCTAATCGTCAGTCATTAAATAATCAAGATTTTTTAGGTATATAAAAACTTATACAGTATTTTACGATGCAAACATAATCAACATTGTAAATTAAAAGCTTCTATATATACCTATACATATTTAACACAGTTTATATAAATTAGTTAACCACATCTAAACAGATTCATGTTACAATTAAATAATTTTACTGCAGTTTAACGTCGTTTATTTATGTAATTTTATTCTACAATCATTATCTTGCACGTGACACTTACATGCACGAGATGCAGCATGCATGTATATTATTGACTTATATCAATATTGGAATTCATCTCGCGTCACGTGTTTACCTTATAAATAAAGCTCTTATTCTATAATTAATAACTCTGATCACATCATACAACACCGTCTAGTCCCAAAGTATATACATACCAGTTTCAATATGTATTTGTGTAAAATCTACTAAATGTGTAATATATAAATTACTCTTGATATAGTGCAGGCAAAATAGCTATTCATAAAAAAATCTAAATACACCAGCGTTATCTAATCGGAACCTGAGCAGATGTTTTACCAGGTCTAGACTTTGTCTAAAGCCGTCTGCGTAGGTACTTCTATATCAGAAATAGAAATAGAAATAGAAATAATCTTTATTCAAATAAACTCATTACAAGCACTTTTGAATAGTCATATATTGATTCTACCACTCATTCGGAATGCAGATTCATCACAAGAAGAATGAGCAAGAAACTTGTGTGTTGCTCTTTTTAATAGATGTTTTTTTTTTATATAAATAATTACAGTGTAACAAGTAAGAGGCATGCGACAATCAACGTCGCTACGCACTCATTATTAGTGTAATCAGATAATATTGTCAGTGCTATGTATTTAAAATTTTTCTACTGAGCAATTTTATAGTAAGCTTTTTGCAAAGGAAGTGTTTTATTTGACATTTAAATCCAGATTTATAACAGACTCTGGTATTTTATTGTAAAACCTTTTGTCTAAAGCCAAACGACATTTAGGTAAAATCTACGTAAGCGTAGTGCAATCACTAACTCTTTTGAAACTGTCTATATTCTTCCTGGCATACATGATATTTTCATAAATATATTGAGAAATATCATCATATTTCAGCCACCATGCA